GAATAATTTATGCAATTGCTATCTCAACACTAGTATGTCAACAAAATGCAATTAAAATCGTGAAGATTTTTTTGTTTCACTCGTTAACGATCACACAATGCCGAAAAATGCAACGTTTTCAATTTGCATGCTTTTTTCACATCCACATCGCACAAAAATGTGTTTTCAGAAGTTTTTATTGTGGGCCGGCGGTGAAACGATAATTTTTGCATAATTTTACGCTCGAAGCCACCACCACACCACGAACGTGCACATTTTTTTATGTGCTCTCCGAAAAACATAAATCACACGGGCGATACGGATTCGCGCGCGTATGTATTACATTTTATGAAGATCATAAATATTGCACATAAATATCGATCATGTACAATTGTGCTCAAGTTGATAAAACCCAGTCGCATGCGGCGTATCCTAGCGTATAATAGAAGGAAAAAGAGGGTTGAGTCGAACATGAATGAGAGTGCATTAAAACCCTGGAAAATCCTGGAAAACTCGAGCGCATCAAGTACACTTACTTTACTCGTCCGCCAGATATAATCCTTTTCTACTCGTTGTGCGTCGAGTATGTCCACTCAAAAAATGCGAATATGAAATTGATCAAGTATCCTCTTCTCGTGTTGCTTTTTTTTTCGTAATTAATTCTGGTTTCGAGACGTTTTGTGTTCGGGAAAGTGCAATTTCGACTTTAATAGCCTACGAAACGCAGCAGTATCGATTGATTCGATGCATTAGCTTTCAACTATGCCAATTACGCGCGAAGCAAGGTGCTTTCGCCGTAATTCACCAGCATCTTCACTTTAACTCTACCCTAATGCAATTCTTAAGCGATAAAAATTTCACTCAAACATCGCTGGAAAAGAATCCATTGTGTTGAAACAAGATAACAAAAGACTTGATAAGATTATATCATTCGGTGTAAAACAAGATATTCGTTATTCTGGATGCTGAGATGAGAATAAAAGATTAAAACCGGGCATTTCTCAAGAGATGGTTTTATTGTTATTTTTTCCTGGTCGTAAATCACACTTGTTGGTGCAGAATTCTGCAGGATACAGCGCGATAGCGTGCAATGAATTATTTTTCTACTTTTTTACTCATAAATATCTCTCGTAAATACTGACCGGTTTTATATACTCTTCAAAAATATATTAATACTAGTTAACCCGGCAAACGTTGTTTTGCCATATAAATTATTTTTAAGTTCTAGATAAATTCTAGTATAGACAAACAGTAACTTACATATTATAAGTATGTAAGTATGTAAAACTTGATTAACTAAACTAATCGTGTCAAATACACATAAAATTAATAATTTTATTATCTAAAATATAAAAATGAATCGCAAAATGTGTTGGTAACCGATTCACTCAACAACGCCTAGACCAATTTAGGTAATTTTTCTTTTAATATGTTTGTTAAAGTCTAAGGGTGGTTTTTTCGGCGACATAAATTGGAATTATTACCGGTAAAACGGGGAAAAGCTGAGGTTTCCTTTTTTCTATTGATTAACGAAACAAATTCCGCAGCCTTCTTCGACTTATTTTTGATTTATGGTTTTCTACTGAGTTTTCTTTTGTCCACTGACAAACGATACAAATTCCGCAGTTTTCTTTGATTCATTTTTGTTTAATTCTTTCATTTCGTTTTTTGTGCAACGTGGTTAATTATCTACGATCACTAAGTATTGCATGTGACACAATTCGGGGTGTTTTAGTGGGTCCCACTAATATAATTTGTTCTTGAAAGGGTGGCGAAAGTTCGTGGAAGCGCCCTGTCAACGGGGTGACTGTTCTATTCAGGAGAATTTTTTGAACCGACTATAAAATAGAGAGGAACAAAATCTGCCACATTACAATTTTCTTTAATAGAACGAAGTCTGTTGGGTCCGCTAGTTATGAATAAAACAGTAATAATTAATAGTTAATATCAGAGTTACACTGAGATAGCAATATGATAATTGTAAACGTTACTACTACACTTGATACATATACCATAATGATGGCCTAAAACTGTGTAGGGAGTGAGAGAAGTCTTATTGTTTGCGTGAAACAGGAGACCGACTTCAGTCTCATTCCTTCGAGCGGGATGAAAAAAAATTAAATTACCGAAATTGCTATAAAAATATAGGGGTTGGTGATAAAAAAAGTAAATATTTAGAGTTGTATGTATTTTTTTAATGCCACATTATATAAAAATAGAAACAACATTTTTTGTCCAAAATTTAACAAAAATTAAGGGTGAACAACCCTTATTACTTAGAGATATGAAGAATAGATAATATCCGATTCTCAGACCTATTGAATACGCATATAAAATTTTTCTTTGAGCGACATGAAAAATGATTAAATTACTAAAATGGCTATAAAGAAATAGGGGTTGGTGATAAAAAAGTAAAAATATAGAGATGTATGTATATTTTAATGCCACATCATAAAAAAATAAAAACAAAAGAATTTGTCCAAAAATTAAAAAAAAAGTTAAGGGTGAACAACCCTTATCACTTAGGGGTATGAAAAATAGATGTTAGCCGATTCTCAGACCTACTAAATACGCATATAAAATTTGGTAAAAATCGGTAAAGCCGTTTCGGAGGAGTACGGAAACAAACACTGTGACACGCAAATTTTATATATATATATAGATTTTTACCCGCGACTTCGTCTCGGTAGTGTTTAATAAAAATGTAATTCGTTTTTACTCTTTTGTTCTAGACATAGTATGTGTCAATTTTATCAATAAGATTTACAATTTTATTTTAAAGAAATTAATTATATAAAGAATTGCTAATAATGCACTTCAGCGCGCCATCTCGGATTCAACTATTTAACTATAACTATGATTGAATCTCAATGCCAACTTTTATCCTATAGAAAAAGACTTCTTTTCGGTTTTCCTGGCAATTATTCGAATTTTTCTCGCCGCAAAAACCATCCTTGGACTTTAACGAACATTTAAAAAAAAGAATTGGCCAAATTGGTCTTAGCGTTGTTGAGTTATGCGCTTTCCAACAAATTTTACGATTCATTTTTATATTATAGATGAAAAGTTGTCAATGTAAATATTTTTGCAAAGTGACTTTTAATATGTAAATAATGTAAATTATTTGCATATTGAGGTGAAACGCAATGAAAGTCAAAGAATGCGCAAAAAATGCACAAAATGCGTCGTGAGTTCGTCGAGCATCGAGAGAGCTTTCAGTCCAAGGACGTGTGATATTATCCTTGCTCGAATCGCTGAAATATGCGCTTCTCGTGCCTTATGAAAACACGCGCTGTACTCGTGACCGCTGAAGTAAAGAGTAATGCAGGAATGTCATAAATTTCAAACGCGCTTTTCACTTTCAAAACGTAGCTAAACCGAAAATAAAAAATGCTACACCTGGTGAATAAGTCAAAACTTATGCTCAGCATTTTTTAGAAAATATTATCAGAGTAAAATTAAATCTATTTAATTAAAAATTTAGTATTTTGCTTTTAATAACAATTTTCAAGCTGTGCAGACATAATAAATCAACGTCTATGAAAAATATGAAATTTTTTCATATTTAACGCATAAATAACTCCTAGAATTCCCAGTATTTTATATTGCAAATTCTTATACATTGTTTTGTGTCATGAAGATAATTGGGTTGCAGCAATGCAGGCGTTTTGTATGCATAGTCTCAGATTACCGCCGTGAGCGTTCCTAACCATGTTTGCGCGCACACGCATCGTTTGCGCAATAAAACGTGCAGGATTAAATACCCAGCTGGCTGTTTTGTTGACAAAATTATTTCCTCGTGGCGCACGTGGCGTGTCCCGTGCATGCATAAATTTCCCCCAACGCTGTGTAACAAATGCAAAAGCCGACAGTTTTGCATGCGCTTACAATAATGTAATTTTCTTTTAACTTTTAACTTTAAACGTTAAACATTAAAAAAATACATTTACCTATTTAATCCATGGGATATGTGAGTGTTTAGTGTTTGTTTATTACCAATAAACAATGAGTTGATTGTTAATTTTGCTTTGTTTGCGGATCAAACGCAAATTAAATGGAATCCTTTAAGCCGGAGATCTAGGTGGATACGTGGATAGCAATTCACTTACAAGCTGGAGATAAGGTTGCAGATGGCGCTGATGGCAATGTGCGTTGATAGGGGTTTAGGTGGAGATGAATTGTACGATGAGCTGGGAGTAGATAGAATTGATGGAATTGTATGCGCTGCAAATAGAGTGCTGAGTGTTGAGTATGTTACACACGTGTCGGGTTGGGATGTGTTACAACCGCTGGAAATGCAAATTGCGTACTTGGTAATTTACCCTTTGTGCAAATACTCATACCTTATTAAATATACTAAAAACAAGTGGTTTTTATTCCATAAAATTTATCTATAATATTAAAATGAATCGCAAAATCTGTTGGTACGCGCATAACTCAACAACGCTTAATCCAATTTGGCCAATTCTTTTTGTAAAATGTTTATTAAAGTCCAAGGATGGTTTTTACGGCGAGAAAAATTCGAATAATTGCCGGGAAAACCCTAAAGACGGCTCTTTTCTATAAGATAAAAGTTGGCATTGAGATTCAGTTAAATAGTTGAATCCGAGATAGCGCGCTGAAGTGCATTAATAGCAATTATTTATATAAATAATTTCTTTAAAATAAAATTGCAAATCATATTGATAGAATTGACACATACTATGTCTAGAACAAGAGGGTAAAAACTAATTACATTTTTATTAAACACTACCGGGACGAAGTTGCGGCAAAAGCTAATTTTATACAAAATTTTGTCGAAGGTCAATGTCAAGAGCACTGGTAAATACAACTGCTTCATAATTTGGTCCATTGCCTGGTTTTATAGGCAAGGCAGGTTCTAAGGTTGTGTAGACTTCAGTTTTTGTTGTGATTTTTATTAATTCTGTTGTTAGAGTTGAAGTTGTTGTTGGTTTGGATGTTGCAATACTCGAATTTTATTAAATATACTTAAATCAAGTTTTTTATTGAATCTTTTTATTTTATATTACAAAACTTTGACGAACGTCAATGTCAGGAGCAGTGGTAAAAACAATTGCATCATAATTTGGTTCGTTGTCAGGTTCTACAGGTGTGTCAGGTTCTACAGTTGTGAGAACTTTAGTTGTGGTTGCAATTGTTGTTGGTTTTGATGTTGTAGTTGATGTAGTGGTTAATTTTTGAGTTGTTGTAGGTTTTCTAGTTGTTGTGGTTGCAATTGTTGTTCGTTTCGTTGTTGTGGTCGATGTTGTGGTTCGTTTTTCAGTTGTGGTTGAAATTGTGGTTGGTTTTGATGTTGTAGTTGATGTTGTAGTTGACGTAGTGGTTAATTTCTGAGTAGTTGTAGGCTTTCTAGTTGTTGTTGTTGTTGAAGTTGTTGTTGGTCTTGCTGTCGAGGTTACTTTCTCATTAATTGCTATTCTCCTTGTTGTGGTTGAGATTATTCTAGGCCTTCTAGTTGTCGAGGTTGTCGTTGGCCTTGCAGTCGTTGAAACAACTTTATCCTTCGGTACGAAAACCAAAGCAAATTTCTCAGCGGTCAAATACGTCAGAGTAATATTTCCACAAGTACTAATATTGACGTCTAAATCTGGTGCTATATATACTGTCTTAGATGTTGTACAATCATTACGCCGCAGTTTCAAATGAATATTTTTATTGCCAGTATTAGAAACAACCATCCTCGGAAACTTCATCTGAATCCTCGCCATGGTGATATTGGGAATAGTTACTGTTTTTATACCATCTAAATTTTCCTCAATTCCATTTCCTCGTTTCAAATGAATTGTAGTTGTTTTAATTGGTTGATTATTCACTACAACTGCAGCTGAGAAAATCACCATTGATATTATAATCCACTTCATTATTTTAACTTCTAATATTTCAACTTATATTCTGTTGTAGATTGAAAATTGACTGTTGAATTAAATCCATATGTGCTAATTTATAAAGAAGTAAACATGAACTTTTGATAAACTCTCAGAGATTATTAATGTAAGGCAATCTCGGGAATTCCCAGTAGAAATTTAATACGAACCAAACACATATTTCAATATTATGATAAACCTTCAGTATTGTATTTTCCTAAAATTTAATTTATTAACGTTAAAATGTTACACAAATAATAAAAATAGATGAAGGACATTTTTTGATCATAGGTTATACTTACTAGGTTCATAGCTAAAAATTCATGCGAATTTTATTGTCTATATAATGATTGTTATTTATGTTATGGTTAATTAAACACAAATTACATGTTCTACGTACAATTCACATCAATCTAGTTTTTTTGTGTTGAATTTTGCGGTTTATCGTTAGTCAGTGCTGAGAACATCAACCAAAAAGTTTGTTAATATATATTGTTAAATGTTACCAATAACGAATTTAAAATGTGGTGTGGAAATTCCTGTGTTTCTCATATTTTTTTCCATGTTATTAGCAGGTTTGCAACTTTTTTCTCTTTTTTTCTGAAAGTTATTAAAAATAAATATTTTAGCTCCAATCAGTTCAAATTTTTTAATCTATCGCACATGTTATGTTCTAATGGGTAAAAACGAATCGGATTGTGCTAAACTTGGTGTGAATACAAGTGATACCACTACGATTGCCCTGGAAAAGAAAGTTCAAGAAGTAGCGAATTACATTAGTATGATCATGGAGATATTCTCAATGATAGTTCCTTGTATTGTTTGTTTATTTATTGGACCGTATTCTGACAAAAAAGGACGTAGAAACATTTTAATTTTATCAATTGCAGGTTTGTATTTAAAAGTATTCAAATGAAAATATTTTGAATTTGAGGATTGTTTGTAGGAATGGTTGCTACTTCAATTATTCGAGTGATTGTCGCAATGTTGCCAAATTTAAGTCCATGGTTCCTGGCGTTACAAATCATACCGAGTATAATGTCCGGTGGGATGCCTACATTCATTACGATTGCTTTTTGTTATCTTGTAGATGATACTAAATTAGATAATCGAAGCATGAGGTAATTTTATCAATAAGATTCGCAATTTTATTTTAAAGAAATTAATTCTATAAAGAATTGCTAATAATGCACTAAAGCACGCCATCTTGGATTCAACTATTTAACTATAACTATGATTGAATCTCAATGCCAACTTTTATCCAATAGAAAAGAGCTGTTTTCAGGGTTTTCCCGACAATTATTCGAATTTTTCTCGCCATAAAAACATTTTAAAAAAAAGAATTGGCCAAATTGGTCTTGGCATTGTTGACTTATGCGCTTACCAATACATTTTCCGATTCATTTTTATATTATAGATAGACACATAAATATAACATTTTATTCTTCTTTTCAGAATTGGATTTTTAGAAGGTGCTCTAGGTTTAGGCATGCTCTCAGGATTATTTCTCAGCTCACATGTATTCAAATGGATTGGATACATCGGTTCATTTATTCTCTGTTCGGTTTTACAAACAATCGCATTATTATACACCATTTTATTTGTGGCTGAAGCAATACAAATCAATAGAAACGTATGTAATATTATATTGTTGTATGCAACCAATCATACAATTAATTTTATTAATTTTAGGCTGAAGCGAAATTCTTCACTTTTGAACATATCAAAGAAATGTGGCATGTAACATTCAAACCACGAGAAGGCTACAACCGAACCGTTTTATTAGGATGCTTGGGTGCTGTGGTAATCCATGTGTTTGCCATAGCATTCACTGCAACCGAATCGCTGTTGTTGCGTTCGAAATTTCACTGGGATTTGCAAATGCTCACGGATTTCGCCAGCATTCAATCAATTTTCGGGATTATGGGCATGTGCATTTGCATCTACGTTCTTCACAAACTGCTGAAGATCTCCGAAAGTGTTTTGATTGCTGTGGGTCTATGCGCAAATGCAATCGGTGCTTCAATTATGGCATTTGCACAATATGATTGGCAAGTTTACACAGGTAAACATAATTAACACAATTAATAAAAATTATGCAATTGTTTATAATAAATAAATTTCTTTAGCTGCTGGTATAAGAATACCTGCCGGATTAATATCCCCAATGATACGTTCACTAACATCAAACATCATCCCACAGGAAGAAACAGGAAAAATATTCGCGTTTTGTATATCGATCGAATCATTCTGCTCCCTGTTCGCTGGACCTTTGTCGACGATTATTTACACGGAAACTATTGATGTGTTTCCGGGCGCTTTTGATTTAATTCCGGTTATGATCTATATTGGACTTGCTTTGTTTTTTGTGTAAGTACAGAAACCAAGTTATATTATTTTTATATTTATCATTTTTTATGTTTAAATTATTTTTAGGTATGTTTATACACTGACGAAGAAACCAAACGCTGTTATTTATTTAGAGGAAGAAGATAAAACAGATAAATCTGTAAATATTGATGCCAGTGAAATAACCAAAATATGAGTGTTCAATTTCCATTCGTTTTTCGTTTTTGTGAAGATTATTTTAATGCAGTTTTCGTGCACTGACGTTTTATGCGTTTTCCAAACGTGGGAAAATTCAGGTGCTGCAGCAACATAAAAGTTTCTAATATTACAAGCTTCCACCATAAAGCTGGTTCTAAAAATAGTTTTATGACTTAAAAATGAAAGAAAATAAAAAACATAAAAGCAGCAAAACATACATCTTCATAACTTGCTGTTTGGGTTGCATACATATGAATGTTACCATTTTGATGAATGTCCACCGTCATATATGCACATTTTCTGCATAAACATTAAAACCACACTTAACATTGCACTCGGGAAATTTAAATGTCCATTCACATAATGTTGGAGGCAGTAAAGTACGGTAAGAGCAGATGCCATTGAAGGGCGAGCGCAAAACAGCTGAACGGTGTTTCCCATCGCGTTCATAAATATGTAGCATGCGCATTCTATATATATTTATATCCGGTGCTCGCCGCAATGTCCGTCCTTGCGTTATTTATGCATCACTTGTGAATATCCAATTTGTCAACGATAATTCAACGCAACACCGAACGTCAGCAAAAACTTAATGAAAATGTTTGTTTCACACTTTTCACCATTCACACTACGAGTACAATATGAGGTCGTTAAATTTACTAAAATTAAAATTTTCAATATTTAGAATTTAGTTTGACTTATGCTTGCAAAAAAACAAATACAAAATAATATTATGGCTTATTCAGATGATTTTTCTTCGTGCTAGGCACTGGCAACGAGCAATTAATTAAAGAAATGTTCCAGACAGAAAGAATTAATTAAAAAGCGAGCGGAAATAAATTGCCCACGGCTAGGAAACACACGGATAGTACGCGCATCGATTTTCTAATTAGCTTTGTCGAAAACAAACGTGAAAGTACTTAAGAAATTTTATTTTTATTTTTTTTTGTTTCTCTAATGCGAATTAAATGTTTTTCACTTCAAAATCGATCCGTGTCTACCTTGAAATGTTAAAACTCATGAAAAAGTTTATGTTTTTTTGGGTTGATTTTCTTTTCCTTATAATCTATAATAAAAAAATGAATCGCAAAATCTGTTGGTAAGTGCATAACTCAACAACGCTTAGACCAATTCGGCCAATTCTTTTTTTAAATGTTTGTTAAAGTCCAAGAATGGTTTTAACGGCAAGAAAAATTCGAATTAATTGCCGGCAAAACCCTTAAGACAGTCCTTTTCAATAGGATAAAAGTTGTCATTGAGATTCAATCATTGTTATAGTTAAATAATTGAATCCGAGATGGCGCGCTGAAGTGCATTATTAGCTATTTTTTATATAAATAATTTCTTTAAAATAAAATTGCAAATTTTATTGATAGAATTGACACATACTATGTCTAGAACAAGAAAGTAAAAACGAATTACATTTTCAAAAGCTTGTAAGATAAGTAAAATTGTTTTATTTTTACGAACAAAAAGTAAACGCAATTATAGTTGCCTACGTCAAAAGCAAACAGCGAAGATATAACCCAAATGTTAAAAATACGCTTTTTTCTTCTTTTTATAACTTTACCTTACCATCACTAAAATTACTTGACCTAATTAATAAACTGCCGCACGGGCAAAATTAATCAGCAGTAAGTGCTAAGTTCAATCAACTGTTGAGAAATCATCCTGACTCAACAAAAATATTACGCCTTCAAAGTTTAAGCTATAGTATATTATTATATTTTATTTTGTTGGATCTCTTGTGACCAAACCTGGTGTTTGCTGTAGATAATTTTGATCGTACCCAATTGGAGTACTCCAACTACGCGAAATAATGCACAAAGGAAACAACGCTGTCATTAAAGAAAGGAAATGCCACCATTTCCCTCGACGTAACACGCACAATTTTCTTTATAGTTTTTTTTATGTTTGCTCTTATCTTCAAGTACCGTGTGGGCATAAAAATAATGTGTCATTGTGCACCAAACTATTCAAATATTTGAATACGTTTCTCCCACGTAGTTTTTAATAAAAAAAGTAGTAAAACTCATTAATTGCTTGTTGAACATATTATCAATCGATTCTGTCAACATACCTCAATTTTAATTTAAAGAGGTGATAAATGAATACAATGCACTTTAGCGCCATCTCAATTTGAATTATATAACTATAACTAAAATTCGTTTTTTCATAACAATTTTTATCTTCTACAAGCTTTTGCCCGCGACTTCGTGGTGGTAGTGTTTAATAAAAATGTAATTCGTTTTTACTCTCTTGTTTTAGACATAGTATGTGTCAATTCTATCAATAAGATTCGCAATTTTATTTTAAAGATATTAATTATATAAAGAATTGCTAATAATGCACTTCAGCGCGCCATCTCGGATTCCACTCTTTAACTATAACTATGATTGAATCTCAATGATAACTTTTATTCTCTAGAAAAAGGCTATCTTCAGGGTTTTCCCGGCAATTATTCGATTTTTTCTCGACGTAAAAACCATCCTTGGACTTTAACGAACATTTAAAAAAAGAATTGGCCAAATTGGTGAAAGCGCTGTTGCGTTATGTGCTTACCAACATATTTTACGATTTATTTTTATATTATAGATTATACACTTTACAAAATATATTTTTGTATCAAAAAGTAGTTTATTTTACTTTTCTTAATACACAATATCTATATATCAAAATTTATCAAAATTATCAAAATAGTTTTCGCGTCAAAGCGTAACAAACAAACCAAATCATATTAACTTTTATAATATTAATATAAAATACATATTTTTGACAAGAAAAGTATTACAAAATATGTATTATAATTTTTGACTGTAGAATTCATATTTACTTTATTTTTTAGTTTTCCCGGTATATTCGACAATGTATCCACTCAGCACAAAGTTTCAGAAGTCCCAGGAGACAAAATGAACTTGATAGCACAACTTGCATTACGTTTATTACTCATTCACATTCCATTGTACCATACTACTGTTTTTATTGTCTTAGCTACTTACTCCAATTCCTATTCTTACGTTTCCTATTTTTTTCCAGATCGTACTCTTGCCCCAATAGAAACGGCACTCAAATTTGCATCTGTTTCCGAACGCCGACGCGGCCCACGCTATTCGAACTTGACTTTTCCAATCAAACTCAGTGCAATTGACAATTAATATTGTTTTAAGCTGGCGGAGCGGCGATCCGTAATGGCATTAGACGTGGAAACGTAGAAAACGCACGAAGCAAGACGGAATAATCCCGAACTCGGACGGATTAAGAGCAGGAGATTAATCAATTCGAGAATAGCATTCTGTACAATTATGCAATTTATCGCCGAACAGATAACAAGCATTGCTTTTCCAAAATTTAAATTAAAATTTAATTCAAATTTAATCAAACGCAAACAAGTTTTTTGAATATAAAAAAGAAAAATGTTTTCGGATAGAAATATTGCACACTTTAAGTGAAATATTCGTCGTGTAATTCAATTTCCTTGAGCGGTGCCTGCAAAGAGTGCAAAAGCATCCCGAAAATGTCCAGCGCATGTTTGATGTAAGGCGTAAGGCGTAAGTTATAAGAGCAAGCACATCGATCCTGAAGAATTTTTGGGCCGGCTATTATTAAAATGAAATCGATAACCCAACTCATCTCTAGCCTTCGCAAAGTGTGAAATATGTGAAAATTGCTTTCAACAAATTTCTCACGTCACGCAAGATAAGAAAAAAAACATCATAAAACTAAAATTAATTCAATAAATTTTATTACCTACTCAATATTACATGAAAAATAATCAATTACTCTTTATAAAAGTACAAAAACATAAATTTTATATTAAAAAACACAGGAAATATGATTTAATCTTCAAAAGTCACATCGCTTAATAACCCCAAAATATTTGTTAGCAAACCAACGCGTTTTTCAAGGAAACCTTGAAGACTGCCATGATCCATTTTTGTTTCTTGATTTCTGCTTCATTTTTATAGTACTCTTTAATATCTTTGTTGAAAGTATTGATTTTATGCTCCACATCATCTTTGATTGCTTGTGAAATTGGATGTAAGTAATCAAACTTCTCTTCAGTTTTCTCAGATTTAGTAGAAGAATCAATATCTGAATCTGTATTTGCGTTTACGTCAATGTAATTGAATCTTGGACTGCGTTTATTCAATCTTTGTTTCTTGTCAGTATTTTTTCCTTTCTTCTTCTTCTTCGAAATTTGGAGTTTTCATCATTAAAGGTATATCTTCAATGTTCATCGAATGATCTTCTTCGTTGATATTTTGTTTTTTATTGGTTTTATCCTGTGTGGAACCTAATAAGTTAGTAGAAATAAAATCTTGTTCTAATGGTTTTAATGATTTGTTCCCAGGTTTACAGTCTGTAGAATTGCATTTGGAACACAATTTTTGAAGATCCACGCTTAGATGAAACGTGCCGTCTTCATGACGATGCATATGAAGTGGTAATTTGATTCCGTCACCGATGAAATACATTTTGTGTTTCTTCATTTGTTCAGTGACATCTCTCAAATGAAGATCATGCAAATGTTCCGGGATGATTTTACCAAAGTGTGTCATGTCATGCGATGGCATTGCTTGTCTCATTTGTAGTTGAGGTTGAGGTGCTCCTACGAAGTTCTGTCCTTGACCTTGTGGCTGTTGAAATCTTTGGAATCCAAATCCATTTTGTTGAGGGATTGGCATTTCAAAGTGTTCAGGACCATTTCCAGCTTCAGGGAAAGTCCTTGATTGGAATCCGGGTTGTGGCATTCCTCTTGGTGGCATTTCCGGCAGCGGTGGACGGTTATTCTGATTGTTAGGATTAAAATGTTCTCCGTTTACTTGAATTTTTGGAATGGTTGAAGTCCTTGATGGATTTTGATTTTCTGGAGTATGATGAATGTTAGCATGATGCTTGTTGTGACTTTGTCTCATAGCCGGAAGTGTTGGAAGCGGAGGGAGGTGAAGATTTTCTTCAATGTTCTCTTCAATTTGTTTGATTATTTCTGGAAGTGTTTTTGGTTCGTCTTCTTCACCGCTGCGTTCTGTACCTTCTGTCAGGGAGATCCCTTTTTATGAGCGTGTTGTTTAGGATGCAATAGTTTGTCCAAATTGCTCAAAACATCGTTTTTCTTTTCAGATGCACGATAACCATCATGATAATCATCGTGATGGTAATCGTCATGACCATGGTGATAATCATCATGATGATAATCCGGGTCCATGTGCCATTCTGGACCATAATCATCCTTCTTATCTAGGAGATCCTCAAGACATCCTACAGTTTCATCATCTTTACCGTCTTTTGATTTTGAAGACTTTTCTTTTTGATCTTCGTTATTTTGAGGCTTTCTCTTCATATTTTTGATTGTCCAACAATGGCTTCCGTATTTTTTTCTTCTTTGTCACCTAATCCTGACCTTAATCCCAGTTTTGGTGAAGCTGTTGGCTTAATCATATCAACAAGTTTGTTTGGCATAGCTTTCAAGTCTTCCACAATATGTTTAAGGTCAATTACAGGTTTCTTTGTAGTCATGTCTTTTTTAAGGTTATCCAGAGATGATTTCAAGAGATCTCCAAATGCAAGTTTCTTTTTGGGTGCAACTTCAGCGTCATCCTTAACATCATTGTCATTAATCTTTGGAGAGAATCTAGACTTAAAATCATCTAGGTTAGATCCTAGTTTTTGATCAGCACTTGACTCTTCATTCTCATCAGCTTCTTCTTCGACAAGTTCTTCAAGTTTATCCAACTTTTTCCTGGATTTACTTTCAGCATCATGAGTGTCATGATCATTTAGGTTATCTCTAACCAACTTTGCAATCTTTTTATCCAAGTTCTTCTTTTCAACAGGGGTAAGTTTTTTACCATCAGTGAGATCTTTCTCAATGACCTTGGTAAATTTATCAACTAATTCTTCTTTCTCGTCTGATTCTTGACGTTGGCGGTGACTAGGAGAAGATGGTTTTTCATTGTGGGAGGGTCCATTGTCAGCAATCCATTGACGCAGACGTTTTACTTCGTTTTCCAAAAAAGTGGCTTTCAGGGTAGGATCTTGAGGAATGTCATGGGAAGTTCCCAAAATATCATCTACAGATGTAGAAGGTTTTTCACTATTGACAATATCTTCAATTTCATCAGGAGATTCTACGGATTTGTAATTTTTACTTGATGAATACGCAGCTTGTGGTTGAGCTGGTGCTTGATAAGTCGGTTGGGATTGAACTGGAGTGGGACCATACTGTTGTTTGTAAGCCTGTTGTTGATATGCTGGTTCTTCGTATACAGGGGCTGATTCCTGATAGGTTGATTGAGAAGAAGTTGGTGCCTGGTAAGCAGCTTGAGGTTCTACCTGATAGGATGGTTCTTGATAGGCAGCTTGTGCTGGGGCTTGGTATGCTGGTTCCTGATAGGTGGATTGAGAAGAAGCTGGTGCCTGGTAAGCAGCTTGAGGTTCAGCCTGATAGGATGGTTCCTGGTAAGCCGCTTGTGCTGGGGCTTGATATGCTGGTTGTTGATAAGATTGTTCTTGGTACGTTGGTTGTTGATAAGCAGCTTGTGGTTGAGATTGGTACGCAGGTTGCTGATAAGCTGCTTGCGGCTGAACTTGCTGAGCTGGAGCTTGATAATTTTCCTGATAATGACTATCCGACTGAGGTGCATGATAAACCGGACCAGTTCCATGATAAACATCAGATTCTACAGGTTCTTGGTATGCAGGAGCGTTCTGAGGATACTGCTCATACGTCTCTTGATAAGCTGGTTGACCCGCAGCGTATTGCTGTTGATTTCCGGCAGGAGCATATTCGTTAATTTGTTGATTACCCGCTTGATACCCACCTTGATAATCTTGAAACTGATTCGGCTGGTTCTGATACTGTTGGCTGGCTCCCAATTGAGGTTCTTCTAGTTTATCATCATCTTCACTTTCTCTATAATAGCCTTTACCTTTGCCCTTCAACTTCAAACCATTCAGTTTACCAAATCCTCCGAGACCTTTTCCGTACCCGCCTTTATCATATCCGCCATAACCCTTTCCATAACCTCCTTTAGATTTGAACTTACTAAGTAATCCTAGAGTGGGATCTGTATGATCTTGAATAGTTTCATCTGTAGGAGCTTCTTGAGCAACGGTATCTTCTTCTAGGTCTTCAGTATCTTCATTTTCTCTGTAGTGTCCTTTGCCTTTGCCCTTTCCATAGCCATGACCTTTTCCATAACCTTTAAGTTTCTTCAAACCAACTAAGTCACTTTCAGTTGATTTATCTTTTTCTAATAAATCTTCAATTGCTTGATGTTGTTCATGTTCCATGGGTGTTTCTAAACCAGTGAACTCTGTCATATCAGCATGTAGAGGATTCTCGTCTTTGATGTTTGCGTCTTCATCTTTATCTACATCTTCATTTTCTCGGTAATGGCTGCCTTTACCTTTACCATAACCTTTTCCTTTTGAGTGTCCTTTTGAAGAACCATATCCGTGTCCATAACCTTTACCTTTCTTGGTTCCCAGAACTGTGTCATCTTCGGATAGAGTTTGGTCATCATCCTTATGTGGGATTTCAGCAACATCATCTTTGAAGTTTACTGCTTCTTCAGCTCCAACAACATCGTCTTCTTCATCAATAAAACCGTGCTTCTTTGATCCCTTCTTCTTCTTTTTCTTGAATCCATCCAAATCGTCATTCATCTCGGATTCCAGCGGATGTGTTAAGTCCATTGTGCTTCCAACAAGCTCTAAACAAAATAAAAAATAAAAAATTAATTTACATTACATAAATATTGCAAAATAATTACCTTTATCATGTTTCAAGTCATTAGGAGCTTTCTTCTTCATCTGAAAACAAATTAAATCAAGTTTTAATAAACAAAATAATCTCAATTAGATAATTTCAACCTGATCAACAACATGTTCGATAATCTTATCAATTTCTTGCGGTGTTAAATGCGAATCCCCCAACATTGTCTTTTTGGTATCAATAGCAGCATCCAACTCTTTATTCAATTGACTCGTCAAATTGTTAATATCCTCGCTTTCATCGCCTTTGACGCTGTGAAGTTCCAAATTCAGTTCGGCGGGTTTACCGTCGTTCCTCGTAAATACATGAGCCGTGTCAATGACGACAGGATGCGGCACCGGCGACGCTTTCGCTTTGGATTTGTTCTTTGCCAAAACAACCAGTCGTTCCAAGGGAACATCCTGCTGAATGTTTAGGAGTTTCGCCAAAATCTGCTGCTTTGGGCCGGCACCAAAAGAGCCGACAGTGTAATACCGCTCTTGTGTTTCAGAGAGACCAGTTTCTGATTCGGCAAAACGCGAAGCAAGTTGAACCATTGGTCCGTCATTGCGTGCAGGTGAACGGCGCTTTAACACCGAAGGTAATAGATGTGGATTGCCCAGGAAATGATCATAAAGTGGCAGGCGAAGTGGTCTAAAGAAAGATAAACTAATATTTTAATATTTAAGTTTTAAAAATTGCATAAATTCGCATTTGTCAACTGATTTTTTATAAAATTCAACTGATAAATTTATTACACTTACTCATGACATCTTTTTTCTTTGTTTGCGAGTCCAGTCTCATGTCCATGATCGGAAGCTTCGACCAAATCTTTAAAATTGCTAGCGACCGCTCCAAAACTAGTCGAAAATTACAATTTAAAATAGAAATATGTTGTTTGTATAGGATGAGGTCTGTGCTGTTCTTACCAAGTTGAATATTGAAGCAAAAGCACGAAACTAATTATTGCAGCGAACACCTTCATGATGATTGCTATTCCGTCGTGCTCACTCCTACAACATCCTAATTGCGACTGGTGTTAATTCCGCTCGATTCGCGCGAAGAATTAATTACAAATCAGCACTTAAAAAGTGATCCGCTCATCATTTTTTTGCGAAATTTATGTCGCGCGCGCTCGGGGGCGCAATGTGATGAATGAACAAAATGTTCGGATTGCGCAAACTTGATTAACGCGCTAATTGCCGCTTTCGATTTCGATTTCAATTTGCGTTGTTCCAGTTTATTTCACAAAACCGTCGACGGTGTAAATTTCAAAAATAGCAGACGACTCATTTTTGAATATTATTTTGTTACTAATTGTTACTAATGTTATTTCAGCAATTTTTATTTTTTACAGTCTTGTATTCGTTGGACTTGGAAATTTCGCTAGACGAAACATATTTCGAGGTTTTAATATCCAAATCATGCTATGAGCGACATCTTTGTATGAATTATAACACTAATACGGAAAGTATTGCAACATAAAACTTGTTCATCGTTCTTTACGTTGTTTTTAACTTATTTTTGAATATTACTCGGTTATTGATTATTTATTAAAATTATTACATCAAATTTTATTTTATTTCAATTTTGTATTTATTAAATTTGGAAATTTTTAGAACAAAACATTTTATTTTTCAATCAAGGTCGTTAGCGCCATCTATACATGAATTATTGAACTAATATGGGCAGTATCGCAACATAAAGCTTGTTTTTCTTCAAATGAATTTTTTACCTAAAAGCTTTGAAAAACAAAGAAACATTTTCTTTGTTTTGAACTGACTTTATTGGAATGTTTAATAAATATCTTTGGAAGCTCAGGGCAATACACTGAATAATACATATCTCAATAATTTACATTTTACAACATTGCACCTAGATTGTGCATTCAACATTTTTAACAACATTTGTCCAGTCGACTTTCGACGGACATAAATAAAACGCTGGAGCCACTTGACAACCACATGGGCACTGACATCCCATGATCCACGAAAAGGACCCGACTTTATTATTACACTTAGGACAGTGTAATTTCCCCTGAGTGCTCTGTGTGATCCCACCCATCCACGACAACGGCTCCAAGAAGTATGTCTTTGTACAAACAGCATTCTCCATTGTCTTATCCAAATGCGTGATTAAATTCGTCTCGCCAGCTAAGACGCGTCTGCACTTCCTGCATCGATACACATTTGGCTCCGGCTGCGTTTGTGTGAGACCTGGATCGGCCTTGACTAAATCAAAGTAATCTTGTGGTAAAATCCGGCACTTCTTTACTTTATCAGCGGCCATGCCAAGCCGGAATATTTTGTACTTCATATGCTTGGGATCCACTTTGAATCCCATCTCTCTGTACAGCACCAGTTGTGAAACAAATCCCTGATTAGGATAAACCAAGGATCTTTGCTTCTTGGCCATATCAAAGGCCTCAATGTAGGTCAATCCATACTTCTTCATCAAATATGCAATGATCACAGTGGCACTCCGAGAGACACCAAAATAGCAATGCACAAAAACAGTACCTTTGCTGACTCCATTTGATATAAACTGATAGGTATCATCGAAGTGACTCAGGAGGTCTTCTTTGGGAAGATCTGATAGCTGAATGTATTTGGTGGTGATGTGTTTTAACTCTAGGATCTTTCTTGGCAATGGGCAGGTGTCAATTGTTAAAATGTGTGTGATTTTGTATTTGGTCAATGTGGAAATGTCGGTAGCTGCTGTCAAGTTGCCCAAGTACAGATTCTTCTCAATTAGATCCAAGCTGACTGGACCTCCATTGTAGTATTTATGGACAACATCCAGTCCTGGTTGATCTTCCATTGCTTTGCTCCTATGAAAATATGAATAATTAGTTGCAAGTTTCATCACTTAAACTATACAAGTATTGTATTAAATTACACATAGAATAACGACTTACATGTTGTATGTTTCAAGATTAAATAGATTGGAGATTTTTGTCTTTATTTGTGTTTTGTGAACATTGAGGTTAGACTTAGATCAGACCACTTCCAAACAGAATTCAACTGCGTAATACAACGCAGGGGTGCGAGGTAGTGCGAGGGTCGAAGATTGGGGACACCGGGGATGCTATTGATTTAATAATATTCGTTCTTTGTTTTTATACAGCCGGAAAGATATGTAATAATTTATTGGATTACTTGAGGGTTTATTTATATAGGTGGTAAATAGGTGGTAAATATCAATGTAGTGATGATTAATGCGATTAATTATTGTGAAATACTTTGCTTAACTAGTCTATTAGATCTATTTTTTAAATAATTGATAAAATGTAAATAAGATTATATATTAAAATCAAATGTTTTCAAGATTTGCATTTGTTAATTACACTGTGATTCAAAAAACAGTTTTTTATCAAAGAAAAAGTATGAAAAAAAAATGAAGAGTTTAAGTTACTATCTGCTTTTAATATTTTGGTATCAAGTATAAAAGTAATGTTTAGCATACTTTGTATATGGTATAAAATTCTATATGGATTTATATGATAAAACACGCAATGGCGTGGTTTTTGCTTTAATTTTACTTCAAGTCTTTTACCTGTAATGAAAATATACCTGAAATTACTAATATAGATATTAGTAATATCATTGCTTCATTCGAAGAATAGTAATATTTTATAGCCAAGTCAGAAACCCTGTTTGAACGTTTTTCTTGGGTTATTTGTAATGAAAATATACAAAATATCGGTTAAAATATTTGTTACAAGATTATTTCTTGATTTTTTATATATTTAAATGAATTATCAAATACAGAACACTTGTTTTGTTTCAATAATTAATTTGAAAACAAATAAATATTCCTAATAAGTACTTTTGGGAGTATTAAAACTGTAATAAACATATAAAATAAATCAAAATTGAAGGAAAAATATTTTTGCAATCTAATGTTATTTAAAGTTAAATTTTTGTATTAAGAATGTGCCAATTTGCGGTGTCAGGAAAAAATTTAAAATTATGCTGATGTAGGTACGTACATTGGTATTAATATTTTGCGTACCGGCAACGTTTAAAATTAGAAGTTTCTAAACATTTTTTAAAAATTAATAGTAAAGTATTTATAATAATCTTCACTTGATAATAACTAACCACAATCCTTACTTTTCTTTTCTCTTTTGTCGAAAATTCGATGTTTTTTTCGGCGGTTTTTGTTTTTGTAAAGAATATTGTGACTGAATAGCTGAATGCTTCAATAGTTGTAAATAGCATCGTAAAATTATGAAAGATATATATTAGTTACATATTAATGGTAATGGTGGTGAGTTAGGTGATGAAATTCCATAATCATATATTTTACAATATTATAATATTCATGTGCCTGATGATGTTACTGAATGGTGAATCCTGTCGCAGTTTTATATTATAAATTTGTAAAATTCATAAAAAAAAAGTAGATGAAGTTTATTTTCAAAATATGTAGTGCCTATTATTCATAAGTCTCTAGGTTTTAAAATTCTTCAACACTAATTTAATATTAAACAATTGTATTTCATGCGAATATATGACTACATCCAACTTGTTACAGGTACCTACGCCGATAAAAAAAATAACTTTATCCTATATCAGCAATAATGAATCATCGCTACACGTCGTCAAGTGATAAATTATGAAGCATATGTTGGCGCTTTTTTTAGGGCTAGTGGCTGCATCATGCGACACGTTGAAAGATGAAAGCGTATGAAGTATAAAACATTGGAAGAGTTAGAACATGAGTGTGTGCATGACAATTGTCTGGAACAGCAGGGAACACGCAGCCGACATCAAACGCCGTGCGTTGCGATGTGACCCCTACGCGTTTGTTCAATTTAACCAATTTACGCCAATTGACCGTAATAGCCTCTTAATTGCCTTCAATTGCTCACATCCCGAAAAATTCTCCGAGAAGACGAAATAACAAATATGATAAAACTACAGTGTACTAGAATACAAGTGTTCAAGTAATATTTTGAATATTTTAGCATAAAAATTCTAAAATATTAAATTTTAATTTATAACGTCAGTAGTTTTCAGAGTTGTTTTAATGTATAATTATTGTATTTGCCAAAAATACAATTTATTGGAATAAAATAATGAACAATAGTTTAAGGTTGTAATGTTGGTTGCCTACATTGAGAAAATACTAAAATTCACGACTTTTTTTAAATTTTATCCTAACAAAACTATAAATAATGAATTTAAAGGTATATTATAGGTAATTTACATAGTTATTTTAATGCATAATTATTAAACACGCATAGAATACCATTTTTTGGAATAATATATCAATAAATAGCTTTTAGATGTAATATTGTTTGCCTACTTCATTGAAGTACCAAAAAACACAATATTCTTTCAAAAACATTCATAATTGTATAAAAAGTGTTTAAATAATGCAATAATTTAACATAACAATACCATAAATATTAAATTTTGATTTATATCATAAGTATTTCTATCTAAAGAATGTCTTGTTGTAATATTGGTTGCCTACTTCAAAGAAATCCAATAAACCCCAATAATTTCAAAAAAATAATCATAATTCATATTTGTTTGTATTCCAATTAAATAAAACTCATCAAAATTCCTCCTACCGGCAGCTCTCGACTCGGCACACGCTCGTCCACAGATTTTCGTATGAGAATCCCGCATGTTCTACCAAACCGAAAAAAAAAACGCGTCATGCCGTGGCGAGCGATGCGAGAAGCCGATGGGCGCGTGCGACCCCCAACATTCTATATACCCTCATCGTTCATTACACTATTACACCCATTACACCATTCACGATTTCATCTTTCCCTTCCGACTCGAAAACGAGAGCGCACCGTCTAATTAAAACCGAGTGGCTGCTTCTTTTTTAACGCGCGAGCCATCCAAACATATGGTCACATGGTGGTTGCATTAAGTGCCGAAATTCCGATGATAGTCATCGATGAATATACATTACACACATTCATGATCTGGCTACTTTTATGCATCACGAATGCAATTTACATGCAATTTGTTCCCTAATCTGATAAAACACTTTTATTTTTATGTAAATTTTATTTAGGGGATTTTTCAGTTACAAATATGCTGGTAATTAATATTGAGATGTTAATCTATGCTAAAATTATCACGCCGCCATCTTAGATTTACCTTTTCATGTGTATGTAATCCAATGTCACCACTTTTAGGTTATGTCACTGATGAAAACACTAAGAATTACACGTTTTGCACAAGTTGCGTTGGTCATGTTGGTGATTATGTCACAAAATGTATTTTCCAACCCCTCGGGACGAGATCCCAGTGCACACTGCATTAAATGCTTTCGCTCTCTCTGGTTGTGCGTAAAATGTTTTTAATAGCAACAAATTGGACGATATTGAGTTGTATTAAAGAATCCCCGCGTCCTCGCCGGGCCGCATCGCATGCATCCCGCCCGGCTAATAGCCGCTAATGGGCAAAAATTGGGTAAATTGATAAATTCACTTAAAGACGCGTTCTTTTAATGCACACACCCGCCGTACGCCTGCCCCATTGGTCACAACTAGTAATATTGTGTAGTGGTGTATGTATTGGTCATTATAAACGCTGATTGACGCCGCATTTCAATTGTCATTAATAAAAATTTAATTATTATTTGTGCGTGCGCGGCCGCCATTTTGAATGCGCATGTGTGCGACACAGATCTCCACACATACAGAGAAATAAATTACAATGGGGCTAGTTAATCCGTATTTATTAACTTTAATCAAGCGCCAACTTCTATAACTCGGGCAATTATTGTTTTTATTTATTATTCCTTCGGAAAGCGTACCACCAACACCTCGCGGTCAAATTTTGCATCGTGTGCAATGTGTGACATTAAAAATTAAAACGAAAAGTGATTTGTGTGCTGTGAAATTTTCCCGTGCGAAAAAGTGTGTCCAATTTGTGATCGCCCACATAACCTCTGAGGAAATCCACGTGACCAGCATGTAACGTGCGATAGTTTTGGATATTGGTAACCTAAGAGGTGCGCCTGAAGCACCCCTAAGTCTAAAGGGTGGTTTGTTGTTTTATTTGTATTGGGGTTGCGAAATTTATCGCCAACCTGTTGGTTTAAGAGACTGGAGTGTCGTTTTGCTAATAGAAGGGAGGGTGGCGGGTGGTTGTGTTTACGGGTGGTGTGGAGTGCTTAAGGGTGGTGGCCCGCCCGCCGAATCAGTGAGAACTTATCGACTTCGAGTGCGTTCTGTTTGCGTATCGGTGGTTATGCGATCTATTAAATTTTAATGTCAAGCAAACGCCCCTATTATCCACGGGGACAGGAAATTTTCTCAGACTTTATCAGGGTAGTTTTTGATAATTTTTGACAAGGATCAAAAGTTAGTAGTGTACGAGTAGTGTTAGTGATGGAAAAATAGTGGGAATTAGGTTGGAAGCAGTTAGTAACAATTTTTAGAGAAAAATTTTTGCGAAAAAAGTTGTTAGATTTAATAATCAAAAAAATTTACATGTTGTATTTAATTTAAAAATATTAGTTATACCATTTGGACATTATTATTTCTATAAAATATTATTTTTTACTCTTTTTTTTTTCAAAAAAAATGTGAAAAAAATTTTTTTGTAAAAAAATTGAAAAAATTTTTTTTTTAAATTGATTTTCTCAACTAATGCAATATAGTTACAATAATTTTTTTTATAATTTTAAACATATTTTGTTGCAAAAATGTTTAATTAGCTTTTTCATATTCAAAAATAATTTTTTCTAATTTTTTTTTAAATTTTTATTTATTATTCAAACAATATCAACTTAATTAAAGTAATCCGCAAAATAATAGTAGTTTATATGCAAAAGTTAATCATTTATCACTTGCTGATGTCGTTTGCAAAATAAAATACTCAGTTTTTGAAAAATTGCCAAATTTTTTTGAAAAACAAATTTTTTTTCTAAAAACATTGCTACACTAAAAATATCTAAGTTTTAATGATGTTTTATTATTATATACAAACAAAAATAGTCAAATAAAGTTATTATTATTAATAATAAATTTTGTTCTTATTTCTGTAACATTTAAAACTTGAGATTTCTCCTTCTCAATTTCAAAATTTCAACAACTTGTATTTCTACCAGCATAATATCATTGTCATCATCTCATTCTAACATGTACCCTATACATCATCTCCCACTTAGCACTCGAAGTTCAGAGTTCCCCTAGGAACATCTCCTCTCCTCCACCAATGGGGTGTCTCCCAGCTACCAGCAGCCGCATGCGCCCGCCTCTCATTCGCCGGCCACTTAAGCTCGTTAAATATAAATTGGTACAAATAATAATGTCACAAGTCAGTAGCGAGCTACCAGTGCCAATTGTCAATTCGTTTTAATGCCGCTTAATATCGCTGCTAATCAGGACGAATTAAAGAAAATTGTCGATCGCGATTCGCGACCAGCGCTCTCGCACAACGCGCCTTTCCGAAGCAATTAGAATTCGCCGTCGCGAATAATATAATCAACTTCATCAAACGCAATCAGCATTAATCACATCAAAACTTTTAAAATTAGTGCGAAGTAATGGAAGGCCAAGGATTTGAGGACCACACCTTCAACGACTACGCCGGTCAACCTTTGCCATCGTTAAACTCCACACTGCTGAAGAATCAACAACCACCACAGGATAACAACCTGAATGTGCATTCGATTCAGGTGATGTTGGGTCTTCAACAAGGACATGAACTCTTTGCTAATATGGGTACCATGGGTGGTCAGATGGATTATAAGGGATCACCACAGAAGTTGGACTCACCTGGTATGCATCAGGAGCTGGGAATGTTTAATCTGGAGAATAACAATACTCCACAAGTGGGATCTACGAATGGTGGAGGTGTGAAACGTAAAAATGAAGAAATGATGCAGAATCAACAAAATCTCAGTTCGAATGAAATCGGTACCACTACAAGCAATAAGAAAAACGACAAGAAAAAAGGGGATAACAATGGAGTAAAGAAAAAGAAAACAAGGTAAGATTTTATTAATTATAAATAAATTAAAACAAAACTAATTAATTTTATTTTACTTGGTTTAGAACTACATTCACAGCGTTCCAACTTGAAGAGCTAGAAAGAGCTTTTGAACGTGCTCCCTACCCTGACGTCTTTGCTCGTGAAGAACTAGCACTAAAACTAAATCTCTCCGAGTCACGTGTACAGGTGTGGTTCCAGAATCGTCGCGCCAAATGGCGCAAACGTGAACCGCCACGTAAAACTGGTTACATAACCACCAACTCACCATCTTCAAGCATCACCAACTTCCAGAATGGTCTTAGTCCTTTCACACAATCACAAAGTATAAACTCGATCAATTCCTCGGCGCCTGTTGATACCTGGAGTTATCAACAACCTACCTATGACATTGGACACTTGAATCTCATCAACTCACCGCCCAGTTACCAAAATTTTGGGTCCCCTCAAGGTGGATATTCCTACATGTTGAATTCGCATGATAATCAGCTGTTTGGTGCACCATTGAGGACTCATGAATACCCAACTCCTACTCTTGGTAATTCCAGTCCTCCGCCGGGTTTGAACCGGGAGTATTCCATGCTGCAGACGCATAGTCCCAATGGTGATGATAATTCACTCGGTGGAAAGATTGAATATGTGGGACATATGAATGGATCACCTGAACGTTATGGTAATTTATCACCGAAATATGATCCTAGTTTGATGCATGAGGTTAAGGAGTATGACCAGAGGATAAAAGAGATTAAAATCGAGCCGAATGGTAGTCAGACTTATGTTACCCTGCCGCCATTTTAGAATGTTGTTAATTGTGTGCCATTTTATAATATTTTTGTAGTTTTGTAAGAAAATAGCGCTAACTGAGCAAAATATCCAAAATAAATGTTATATAGAGTAAATATAATGAACAGAGGCCACCGATGTGCATTAAAAGAAGCAATTTTGCTTGAAACTGTCAAAATTGCGTTTGTAGCTTAAAATTAAGAAAATATATACATAATTAAAGATTGTGTAAGTTAATACGATGTACATAATTATTATTGTTTGTTTTTATACTGTGTATATGTGAATTATTGTGCCATTTGTAATCGACTTGTTTTAAAAATACATTTTTAATAGTCATTAGTCATTTTTACTATAGGCAACCCAATATGCATGTTTTGAAACACATTGGTAAAGAACAGCTGAAAAAATCAAAGTGGCTGTGAGTAGAAAACAAAAACGCAGACATAAACTGTTGATTATTTGATAGTTTGTGACAAGCCGCAAATTTATCCACTTGTGGTCATTTGTCACAGAGTGAAAATCAAATCGAAAAAATGGCAAAAAACAGGTAATACTTCAATCAAATAAAATCATTGAAATCTTTATCACATCATTATAATTATGTTGATTATGTTGATATTATGTCATTTTTAATCTTTCAGTAACATGTTTCCTCGTCCTGTACCAGCTCATGCAAATCACTGGGCGATACCCAACGGAGGACACGTCTACCAATGGAATGCAACTCATGCAACAGAGAACGTCATGGTCAACAAGAAGCCAGTCTTTTGTAAGGTAGTGATGGTTCCAATCAGTAGCTTGAACAAGAAGAAAGTCAATCAATAGTAAATTATTTGCTTGAAACAATAAACATGCGTCAACTTTGAAATGTGTGTAATGGGTTGTCTATGTTAAAATTAGAAAATGACTCATTTTCCACGCTGAATCATAAATTTTTGCTGGAATGAACCTAAAATATTGCAAGATATGTAAATTTAAATAATTATCATATTTTTGTTTTGTATAAATACTGCTGTGTTGAATGTTTGAAATTAGTACAAAATAAACGGTGAAAACATTCAGTTTTAGTAATATTGATTCAAAATGATGCGTTTTGTGATATTTTTCTTGGTAGCTGTTGCAATTGTTCAAATAATCGCGTTGCCTGTTCTTGAAAATCATTCTGGCGATGCAAATCATAATATAAACAAAAGGTATTGATACTTTGTTGATTAACACTCTTTATTTTGTGTTGTATTATTAAAAAAAATACTTTCCAGGCAAAGTGATTGGTATTACAATCAAAATAGTGCTTCTGGTGGTAATAATGGTCGACAAGGCGGAGGACAACAATATTTCAGACCTCAAACAGGTAGGTTTGTAAAGTTTATGATCAAATAATCGTAAATATTTAATTAAATTTTTTGTATTCTTTAGGAAACAATCAAAATAACGCCCAAACTCAAACGCAGTCAGATGGTGGTAGACCACAAAGGCCTGGAGGTTCCGGGAATTCAGGAAATAATGGGCGCCCGCAAAACGATCAAACCTGGAATGGTCCAGGACATTTTGGTGGCTCCGGTGGATGGGGAGGTTCAGGAGGCGCTGGAAACACTGGAGGATCTGGTGGTGCGGGTGGGTCGGGCGGCTCTGGCGGATCTGGAAATCCTGGCGCTCCAGGAGGATCAGGAAACCCTGGATATCCGGGAGGTGCTGGAGGATCTGGGGGTTCTGGAGGATCTGGTGGTGCGGGTGGCTGGGGTGGTTCAGGCGGATCTGGAAATCCTGGAGCTCCAGGTGGATCAGGAAACTCTGGATATCCGGGAGGTGCAGGCGGATCTGGGTCCTCTTGGGATTCAGGAGCACCAGGAGGTGGCGGTGCAGGCGGCAATGAAAATTCTGGAGGTGCTGCAGGACCTGGAAATTCCGGTAATTCAGGGGGTCCTGGTGGCTCCGGGGGCGCTGGTGGATGGGGAGGACCTGGAGGTTCAGGTGGATCTGGTGGAGCAGGTGGACCTGGTGGTCGGGGAAATTCAAGAGGTCGTGGAAGCTGGGGACGATAAAACCCTAATTGAATTTAGTACTTATTGACGTTGTATACTCATATTATATTACTTTGTTTTGTTTGTGATTAAAAAAACGCAGCATTCTAAAATTTTATGACAATTTTTTTTTTTTCAAAACTTTCCACTGCTATGGAACTTTTTGCAATCTCAAAACTCAAAAAGAACGGAAATTTCCACTCAAAATGCAGGCAAAACCTTTTTGTTACCCTCTCCATTGTCATTGTCCAGAGAAAAAAAAGGTAAACACACTGACCGTATATAAATAGAAGAGGGTCGGAAATGCATTTATTCTTGCTAAATTTTTCAAAGTGCAAACATCTTCAACCAAGCAGTCAAAACCGGTAAGTAATCTCAAATAGCAATCAAAACTCTACAACTCTTTTATCTTATGCAACCATATCTACACAATCTCTATAAAATGAAGTTGTATTTATTTGTTCTACACTTGATCACTTATCGAATCATTGAAAATGAAAACTCATCCACTCATAATATAAATTGCGATATTATTGCTTTTTACTATGCAAGCCACTTGTATGATATGTAAACATGCAATGATCACGCAAGTATTACGTTTAAAATTCTAGACGTTTATATTACATACATCATTGATAATTGCAGTTCGCCGCCGATATAATAATGAACGTGCGCAAACTCCTCACACTCAATACGCAGCTGCCTAAATTGCTCAACTTTCAGCCAACGATTCTACGCTCAATTTCAGCAAGTAAGTTATAAAAAACAATTTTTAACAAACAAAAAAATCACAATATTCATCAGCGTAATGATTGTATACTCACTAAAAACTTGTTATTTTATTAATAAATAAATGTTTATGTTTTTTGTAGACATTATGAAGGCGCCCACGATCAAAATGAACAATGGGCTGGAAATGCCCGCATTCGGCCTTGGTACTTGGCAGGTAATTAAATAACAACAATATATTAATCTGCAACATTGTTTAAACGTATTAAATTTATTCTTTTTGCTTGAATTTTTGTAATATCATCACTACATAGTATAAAGTAAAGTCGCTTTTTTTCCGGTCCCTTTGTTCGCTTAAATATTTGAAACTACGCAACGGATTTTGATGCCGTTTTTTTTAATAGATAGAGTCATTCAAGAGGAAGGTTTGTATGTATAATAACATCCATTAAATAGTGGAGAAGTACTGTTATTTTTGAGGTTTCTAATGTGATGTCGTAAATACAAAGTTTTCGATTATTCCCGTCTGCTCTTTGTGCGATGCTTCGTAGCTTCCCCCTCCAAGCATAGACGTGTGTATGTGTGTACGTGTGGGTTGAAGTTGACCGGTTGATGTTTTTGTTTGGAGAAGGAAAGTCGCTTTCTCTGTCTGTCTCTTTGTATGCTTAAATCATTGAAACTACGCAACGGATTTTGATGCGGTTTTTTACTTCCGTGCGAAGCCGGGGCAGGTCGCTAGTTATCAATAAAATGTTATAATTTTTACCTAGTCCGCACCTGGAGAAGTCGGAAGAGCTGTAAACGCCGCTATTGAAGTGGGTTATCGTCACATTGACTGCGCTATGGTGTATGGCAATGAGAAGGAAATCGGCGAAGGAATCCGTGCTATTTTGGACGCGAAAATTGTCAAACGTGAAGAATTATTCATCACCACCAAACTCTGGAACACATTCCACGAGCAAGATAAAGTCGTAGACGCATGCCGCAAATCATTGGAAAACTTCGGCTTGGATTACATTGATTTGTATCTTGTGCATTGGCCAGTCGCACTTAAAACCGTCGGACCTTACAATTCTTTGTTACCGTTCGAGAACGCAGTGGGATATGATTACGACTATGTCAAAACTTGGAAAGGTATGGAGGAGTGTGTTAAACTGGGCCTGGCGAAATCCATCGGTATTTCCAACTTCAACAAAGAACAAATTGAAAGGGTCTTGGCCAATTGCACCATTAAACCAGTCACAAATCAGGTAAATAAATTTTTAAACACAAAAATTTAAAATATTTATTTTTTTATTTTTTATTCTTTTCTAGATTGAAGTAAATCTATTCAACACCGAAGAGAAAATGATTGCACTTTGTAAACAGCATGACATAATTGTCACTGCATACAGTCCGTTTAGCTCCCCAGCTAGGCCCTGGGCGAAATCTGATGAGCCGATGCTGGATTGGAAAAACCCTACACTTGTCAAAATCGCGCAGAAGCATAACAAGTCCGTTGGGCAAATTCTCCTCCGCCATCTTGTCCAACTCGGCACTGTACCCATTCCAAAATCGACGAATTCAACGCGTCTTCGTGAAAACATCGATGTGTTCGAGTTTCAACTCTCCGCTGAAGAAATGCAACAGATTAATTCATTCAATGTGAATTTCCGCGCAATCAAGGCTCCGGAATTGGCTGAATTACCGCATTATCCATTCGATAACTGGATTTAAATAATTATTTACATAAATATATCAATATAATATTAAATTAAATAGAATAATGTAAATAAAATAACATAGATTTTATTTTAAAGCAATACTGGTTTTATTTATGCCTTTTATGAAAACAGGTAAAAGTAAAATTTCAGGTAAATTTTCAATGTATTAATACTTACCATTAACATTGCAAGTATTGTGTAGTTTTTATGAGTGGGGAATTTCTGTTTTGCTCCTCTCTCGACTGCCGAGAGCGTTGTTGTTGTGTTGTTGTGGTGCTATCTCGGTGTCCGGTTATGAGTTGTGTGCGAGTCGTGAGAAATCGCCGCATCGTCACGTCGTCGATTTTATAAATCCTTGCCCAGTCCGTCGGTCTCTCATTCGCGTGAGACGTGCAGAAAAACGCGCAGGCGAATAACACGCATTAACGCTCGCAAAAACCCTGTTTACAGTGACAACAGAGTGAATCGCGTTCATGTCACCAGCACACCGGTGATTTAACAACAATTTACGCATCTTACACAAGGTAAACTTAGACTAAACTATTGTAATTTTATAATAACCGCACGTTTAAGATGTGTTGATATTATTGTCATAATTTTAAGCGTTTTAAGCGTTGTATGATACGTAGCCATTTTGTTTTGACGCAACGGGTATTTCCCCGCGTTGAACTTTGCAACAATGATTAAATTTGAATTATCTTGAGGGTAATATGTTATTATTATTAAGTTAATAAGTAGAAGACGGTTGAAGTAAAAATTATTTGAATGATAGGCAACTTAATATTAGAGACCGACCGAAATTTCGGTTTCGGTTTCGGCCAAGAATTCGAGTTTCGGCTTCAGTTTCGGTTTCGGCCAAAAATGGCCGAAACTTTCGGCCGCACCGAAACTCACTTTTCGTGAATTGTCGTGCGTCGCTCGGCTAACTTCGCGGCTAATGGCGGTCGTTACTTGCCATCTCAGTTCGCTCATAGAAACTTAAATTAATTTTATATTATGTATCAAGTGACCAAACGGGGACTTTACTCCCGAAATGGATTTTGTGTCTAAAAAACGTGAAAAAACTGGCGATGTGTAGGTAAAAGTAGAAAAATATGTTTATGTAAATTAGTTTCGGTTTCGGTTTCGGCCGAAACTGATTGCAGGGCCGAAATTTCGGTTTCGGTTTCGGCTAAAATCCAGTTTCGGTCGGACTCTACTTAATATACACATTGACACAAATAAAAACTATGTAGTTTTTTTGTTTTGTATTAAAACACACTGTATTTTTTGGTTTTAACAAATTAATGAACTAAACTTTATCTTTGATGTATAAATATAAATAATCATAAATCGAATGATAGTGACCCAATAAACTTTGCGGTTCTAATCAACATTTATTATAAAATAGTGGATCAAGTTCAAACTATTCATAATCTTTATGAATAGCACTCGCATGACAATCTACCGAGTGTTATAAATACAAAATAATTATTTATAACGCGACCGATTTGTTTGCAATTAAATTGGCGATTAGATTTTAATGGAACGCTCCGAGAACCTTGAATTCACATTATCACATGTAAATTAATCGCGAATACGAAACGCGCTTCAATGTAAAATGTAAACGAATTGTGTGCAAGCGGTTTTTTTCTCTGCTGACCAAGCAAACTGCAATGCCATTGTGATTAACTATTGTTAAACTCTTTTATTATTCAAAGTTATTCAGTGTGCACATTTTCATGCAACGTAAAGCTTTCTAAACGTATACAAAACTAATCCATGAAAATAAAAACAAAGCAACACAAACAAATGAATGTAATTACAACAAAGATTAGCTTTTTGGGTTAATTCCGAAAGTTTTGTTGGCGTTGAAAGCAATTTGAGTCGAATAGTGGTTTAACCTAGTGTATAAACTGATTCAAAAGGATATTAATCCCTGGGTGGCGAAACCAACATGTAATTATGATAATTATGCGGTTTAACCGTGCGATGCGAATGTGGCAAACAGAATACACGGAAAAAACGTCCGTTTCCTGGCTTATCGACACTCCTACGCATCAAAACTCTACGAAAAGTTGTAAAACTTTAATTGCAACGCATTTCATCTCATAAATTTCCAGGAAAATAACGCAGTTAAGATTAACATAATGCAGTGTGTTAAATCTGTTGTTTACTCCACTGAGCACGTTTGGTTGCGTAAATTCAAGGCGTTGATAATCAATTTTGGGAAGTTTTTATTTAACCGCATCATCTTCGGAATTTTAATGAATCTAAATCGATCCGCGTACTTTCCGCACTTATTATGACATTGCTGACGTAAATCACCATGTAACCATGGCGAATCGCATTGAATTTCAAAACATCACATGGACATGAATGACATATGACATTTATTTGATCAAGGATGAATCATTTGCTAACAGAGGCAGATTCTTGTGAATTACTACTTTGGTTAACATGAGTTGAAAGAAAAGGGAAAGTTACTTTCATTCAAGACTTCTTTTTCGGATCTGTTGAATGAGGAATGAGGAAGATTGATTTATTTGCGAAAGATGAAGTCACTGCGCAAATATTTTCTTAGTATAACGACTTTTAGACACGAATTGTAGATTAATTTGCAATAAATAACACAAAAACATCTTTGACGACTTTTGTAGTTCACGTTTTCGTGATAATTTTTTAAATTATCTAAAGATGAGTCACGCATAATGATAAAATGGCGGATTTTCAATATTTACGACGCCATTGTATACGCCTGCATGCCGATTAAAAAATCACATGCATTTCGGTTGCGGCGTCTGCGTCAAACTTGAGAAAGTGAAACATTTCTGGGTCAATCGCCACAAGGTAGACACACTGCTTTCACCTGTGCGGACAAACACCAAGTAGCTCCGGTATTGTTAGTCGGTGCGTGGAATTCGTCGCGATCGTTCCTAAAAACAGCGTGCAAACAAAGCAAAAGTAAAGTTTTTGTGTGTTTCTGTTGCAAGAACTCAAGATGAGGACTTTTTACCTGCTGTTCGTTACGTTAACGGCAATCATCGCGCATATTACCGCAGAAAATTGTCTCACCAACAATGACAGTCAAACGCCGAATCCAGACGGCAAGAATAAACTCTACACCGGCCAGCAGGAGTTCTCGCTGAATCTGCTACAATCCATCAACGCACACAGTCCGAATTCGAATATTTTCTTCTCGCCGTACAGCACGTATCATGCTTTATTGATGGCGTACTTTATTTCTTCCAATACTACAGAAATGTATTTGAAGAAAGTTCTCAAACTCGACCCAAAACAGGTACTTATTTGTTTGTGATTTATTATAGGCAACCAAATATACATGTTTTTGTTTGCAGAGTAAAATTGATGTGTTTTCTGCATACAAACTGGATAAATTGTTATCATCAATTCAACGCAGTGGAGATTATGAGTTTACCAACGCTAATCGAATCTATGTGGATAAGGATATTCAAGTACGTTCGTGTATTCCTCCACTTTTCGAGGATGAGCTTCAAACGCAAGATTTTCAAAACGCGCCAGATGTATCACGGCGTAATATTAACTCTTGGGTTGAAGAACGTACGCATAACATGATCAAAGACATTCTGCCTCCGGGTAGTATAGATTCACAAACAAATCTGGTGCTGGCCAATGCGGCGTATTTCAAGGGATTGTGGGAGAATAAGTTTGATGCTGCCAATACTAAATTGGATGTGTTTCACATCAGTCCGTCGAATAGAACTATTGTTGACATGATGAACGTACAAGGATCTTTTAATTTCGGTAAGTTTTTAGTGGATTCTTTTAAAATTTGTTGGTTATATTTATTGTGTTATAGATATCTCGGAGGAATTGGGTGCTCACATTCTGGAGTTGCCTTACAAAGGAGGTGATATCAGTATGTTCATTCTCCTTCCGCCATTTGTGAAAGAAGATGGCGTCGCAAATATTTTAAAGAAGTTGACGCTGGAGCAATTCCAGAAGATCGTCGGTGACGAAAGCAAGTTATGGCCGCGTACCGTCAACGTCTCGCTGCCGAAATTCAACCTGGAGCGTACGATCGAGTTGGTGCCGGTGAGTAAAACAAATTTTATTTAAAAACACACACACACAAAACTCGCACGTCATGTGGCAGAACTTGTTTCGTCGGCGTCGCCAACGACGACCCGACTCTATTCCGTTTCGGCTTCACTCCAAAATTGGCACCCAAATAATGTCGTGTTTCCTATTTCGCTAAATTCGTATCTCCCCACCAAAAAATACCAAAATTCCTAGTACCGAAACGCAATGGCATTGCGCATACTGAACCAGAACAACCTAAGCCTGGTGAAAACTGTGAGCAATCGAACTGTGCCGTTATGTCGCCGCTTCCGCGGTTGTTGCATGAGCACATCGCAAGCGGTAGGATCATCAACTGGTAAAGCGGAGGATCCTGTAACGAGTGAGGATGTCGCTGAATTACAACGACGTCTCATGATTCGCCCACTGACGCGGCGCTTCGCTGATGAACTCCAACCGAAGAATCTACCTGCCTATGGCCAGCAGCAGCAGTGGTCCATGGAGGAACACTTGCGGAGCAAACATGGAGAAATGGATTACATCGCTGTGTTGGCCAACAGGTCTGCAGGATTTAACTTCTCAGGCCGCCGACGTAATAATCTGGATTCGTCCATATTCCAAAACCCGGGTGGATCCCGGGCGTATAGCACCCGCGCGCCGCGTCTCCATATGCTGAACTTTCATCCCGAACGACCTTTGATGTTATCTGTACCTCCGACTTTGAACGCCATCCAAGAGAGAAGTTTCACCGAAGATGCTTTGAAATTAATTTCCACGTACAAAACGCCTGAGGCCAGCAAGAATAACGGATGTGTCTGGAATCGTTCTTCACACATTCTTGATAATACCCCAGGTGTACAGGTAAATCAAGCTCGAGAAGCACATAAATCTCATCGGAAGAAGACTACGAAGCGAATTTTAGAAGAGTGGAACAAGCGCTCATCGCAGGATTATCTACGCATTGATAATATTCTCTATAAATATAAACGAAAGGAGCTTGCCAAGAAGGGTCTTCTGATTGAAGACTGTCCCAAGGATAAGAAGAAGCAACGCAGTGGTAGGCAAGACCAGCATAAGAAGCACCCGCATAAGGGTAGGCGAAAGAACAAGAAGCATAAGAAGAAGCCCGGTTGCAAGAACAAGAAGCTCAGAGTTAAATGCGCGTCATTGGAGGAAAATACTGAGAAGGGCATTGAAGCAGCGCTTGATGAGCTTGTTGGAACTCCTGCCCCGGCCCCGACTGTTCCAGCAGTGATGCCCACTTTGTTACCTTCCGCCAAACACTATGAAACTTCTAAGAACCCTCTGACACGCAATGAGGCCCTCAATTACATCTGTGGAAAGACCAGCAAGAATAACAAGGCTCTGGATCACTTGTTGAGCAATGTGCCGGCTGCATTCAATCCACAAGGTTCCCATCTGTCGAATGAGCAACTGAGAGGCTTCTCGACGAGGCCGCTGCCGAAGACCAATGCGTCACTGGAGCAGATTAATGAAGCGTACTCTGATGAGGCGGATATGGGCTATGAACTGGAGGAGGCCGCCGTGCGTGCCGATGATTTCTGCGATGAGCTGGAGACGATTAAACCGCTGCCAGCGTTTAAGGCGATGAAGTTGCCTGCTGAGGCGATGCTGCCGCCGCCGAGCTTGGCGGAGGCGGAACCCCTGCCTCGATTGCGCAAGCGCGAGGCTGTGTTTGATGAGTTGTCATAAGCTGTAACTCCAACTCTGAGGTTTTCTCTTCACGCGCACGAAGTTTACGTGTATGGATCTCGAGCTGAGATAGTGCCTATATGCGTCCGAACTTTGGGAACACGTGGAACGCCGTTAGTAAGCTATACATCGCGTTTACATTTTGGAAATTAAATAAAGGAATAGTAACAACGATAGTTATATATTTCAATGAGTTTCAAGTTTGAGTTTTTGTGTTTTCGTTTCTTTTTTTATTAGTTTAAGTAAAAATTCTTTTGGGACGTTGTTTAAACAAAAATTTACCAAATTTTCATCTTTACGCGTGGTTTTAATAATTTTTCGGACATATTTTTCTGGTTAAACTAGTCATTTGGTTGGGAAATACAAAACAAACTAAGTCCTAGCAACTTTACTTGACTATACCGACTGGGTTGGCTTTTGATCTTATTTGAAATTTTATTATGCTAATTTGAATGGGATATGATGTATACCTACTAGTGACATGACGTAATGCAATAACTGACAGATCAGTTTAATTGTTCTGAGTTCCTGGTGACAATTAACACCGCCCACTCAAATTTTGCTACAAACATCTACTTTCTTTAGTCAATTATTTGATAATATCAAAATTAAGGAGGTTATGTTATTTGGAGCAATGATACAATGATTCAAAATTGGTTATGTCCAGATTTTCTAATAGTTTTGAGGCGGAATTACAATTATTGCTTAATGTCAATTTCAATTCAGAATTGTTACTTAATATAAAGACGTTTTTCAATGGCTTTACGTAAAAAAGCAGATTGAGAATATGCAACCCAACATACATTTGAGTTTACTGTTTAATTTACTGAGTCGCCGTGGTTACTTTTTTTCCGTTTGTTTGATCGAAACTGATACTTTCTGTTTTTCATCAGTGAGCAAAATTTTTGTTATGGGTTGGCGTTGAATTTGTTGATTAAAAAAAGAAACGCGCAAGGCGTCACAATTTAAAATTTTCAATCCAATCCGCCAAAATTTTACGATTTTGAAAATCTACTAAATTCTCCAATAAATGTATTGATCCGTAAGAAATTCCAATACCTGTAGGCGTACGCTCGAGGCCGCATAGAAAGCACTCAAAATCTCAGCAAGCACAGCAACTCACAATTTCCCTTTCGGCGATTGCCAAGTACAATACTTGGCTACCAAAAATTATCCGTGTTTTCCGCGAGCAGTTATCAACACTGTGACCGTATAACTTTCTCAACGTAAGTTCATCGAGACGACAAAATGGCCTCCCCGCGCGTCTTCAGCATGATCGCCCTGCTGGCTCCGCACCTCAAGCTGACGGCGGCGAGAAACTCAAGTACGTCAGGAGCGGCGCGTGCTGTCTACGAAGCGGCGACATCGCGCAAGCAGCGCATGTCCTACAAGACTTGGGCGGAATTATGGGGCGCGAATAGCGCCAATGCGCATGCCGCCGCCGTCAGGAACGCGGCGTCTCGGACGCTAGCGAGCAATGCGCGTGCGCAGAAGAAGTCTGGCTTTGTCTCTACACTCTTCAAGCGGCACTCGAAATCGTCGAACCTTTCACGGAGCACCATCCAAAAGCAGATGTCATACCGAGCAGGCTCTGCATCGAAGAAAGCACGCAGGAAATCTGCGAAACTTAGTCACGTCACAAAATCTGGCTCTGGTCCCGTTGTTGAGAGGGTTGATATGAGCAATAACTGCTTACTTAACTATGAGAATGCAAGCCATGCGTTGGTCCTAGCCAGACTGAACAATACTGTGAAGCGAGCACAGTTTGGGACGGAAGTCAGCAGTGATCTAACAACCAACATTGGCGTCTTCCTCAAGGGTTATTCATCGCGTAATCAATCGGGACCGATGATCAGTTTTGCCGATCACGTGAAACAAGCGCAGAAACAAATCTTAGTACCGCCCAGTCGGTTGGATTGTGCCACACAGAAAATGGGCGTGAGTTGCAAAGCGGCATCTACCGGATTCAACGCGAACAAGAAATTGTTTCACGTTCCCAAGCAAAAGTTGGATGTGACTGCTTCAAGCACTGTGTCGACGACTGCACCTGCAAGTGCAGCTGTCAAGGCAAAGCCTAAAGCTGAAATTCCCAAAGCGCCGAAGAACGCACGTCCTTTGACGACAGCCACGCCACCTGCAGCGGCTGCGCCTATTTCTAAGCACGCGCTCGCAGCGCCGCATCGTGAGGTGACTATTAAACACAATACGCCGCAGCGACGCGCGCAGCATCAGCAACATGGCGCTGATGCGAAAATTAGTTACCAGCCTTCGCGGTTGCCTACCATGCGCACTCTGATGAAGGAATACAAGGATTTGAATCACGATGAGGTGTTGAATGCGCGCATGAATAAACGCATTCCACGCGCCGATGACGGAAAGAAGATTTACACGAAGCGCCAGTTGCCACAGATCAACATGAATGACAAGTGTCCGATGGATGATTTCATCATTCAGAAGACACGTCCGGGGATTCGACACGGCGACACTGCGCAGTCGTTCCGAAGCTAAATTGACCACGGTGAAACCAATTTCGATACGCCTTGAAACGCATTCTTTCTTTTTCAAGACAAAATCGATGAAGTCTTGATATATTCTGTTAATTGAAATTTCTAGTTCTATGCGCCTGGTTTGTTCTTGGATTGATTTTCGAAATAGTTTTCTGTCAAAGAGCAAATTGTAATAAATTTGGATTTGATTTTAATATAGGCAACTTTGTTATCCGTTTCACTGCAAGCAAAAATATGTATAACCTTAAAATTTGTTGTCAAGTTCTGTCACAAATACGCCATGAATTGGGACAATATGGCGCATACAACTAATCTTGCTAATCAACGCTCATTAACTGGTAATTAGGTAGTTGGGATAAATAACTGAAAATGTGTAAATATTTTCCTGTTAGATCCTAGAGGCGATGGGTGTGGGCAACCTTTTCCGGCAGGATGCTGATTTCTCGCAGTTGACAGGCCGCAAGGATGTGAGTCTCGGCCGCGGCATTCACAAGGCGCGCGTGGAGGTGGACGAGCGTGGCACGCGCGCCGCTGCCGCCACCGTTCTCTTCACGTTTCGCATGATGAACGACGAACCTGTCATACCTTTCCGCGCAGATCGGCCCTTCGTCTTCGCGCTCTACAATCGGCGCGTGCGCACGCTCCTCTTTCTGGGCGTGTTCCGCCAGCCCCCCAACGCCCCACAACAACGTTAACATTAACTTGTTTTGCAGGGACACACGATGATAATTCTTAAAATGCCAAAATGTTATATTAGTGACTAAAATAAATTAATGTTAAACTACAACACTTATTAATCCTGGATTGAAAACAAAATGGTTTCCATACAACAGGAATAAACAGCATTTGTTTGATTTGTTTTAGATCCTGGACCGAATGAACATCGGCGATGTCTTCACACAAAACTCCAACTTTTCAGTTCTGACCAATCAGAAAGTTAGTCTGGGAAATGCGCTGCACAAGGCGAAAATCGAAGTAAACGAAGAGGGGACAAAGGCAGCTGCTGCTACGGTATTGTTTTCATTCCGATCGAGCAGACCTGCCGAACCTGCCATCTTCAATTGCAAACATCCTTTCGTTTACATCATCTACGACAAAAAGGAACAAGCAATCCTCTTCCAGGGCGTATTCCGCAGCCCTTATTAACCTATTACACTCACATCATCACCACAGAACATTGTAATCATCACAAGCATGACTGATTTTTATCCTGGTCATTTCAAACCAACGTAAAAATCCTCTTACGCACGTCATATCCATTTCGACGTGTAAATAAAGTTGCCTACGTTAGATTCCTACAAGTTTCTGTATATATGTGGCAATCGCACGACACGAGTTGTAGCAGGCTATTTTTATATGTATTTAATTCGTAGATATAATACGTAAATGTGTATGATTTGTTTTTTAATAATAAAGATTAATTATTAATTGATGTGATGTAATAAAGTGATGAGCTGTTCGGGTTTGCTCGCGGGTCACTCGGATGAACCCGGACTTTCGATACGGAATTGTACTTACCGAATGTCCTGAATAAATAGAGCATGAATGTGAAACACGCACGTCCTCGCACCGTAATTTAAAACGGGCGATTCCCGCGTGGACTTTGTCATCCACACCCGACGTAAACTCCGAGAATCACCCGATATGACGTAATTCAGTCTATCTCCGTTTGTTTTCGTGTTGTTTCATACTAAACATAAAGCCTTGTTCACACACAATGACTAACAAAGTTGACGTTGATAATAGCAAAGATAAATGGGTATAATCTTCACTTACAACAGTACTTTCTAATATATTACATGTCTGTTAAATTATGAGTTGAGAATTAATCATATTTTGCATTTAAAGTGTTCATTGTTAATAATCTTTTTCATCATTATGATTGAACACGTGAAATGGTCTTTACTAGTTCAATTGCAAAGCGACCTCTGGCGTATGAAATGTGAGTTAACACGCGCACAAAATGGTATCGCACGAACTTTCATAGCGTTTTCACATTGTGAATCAATAATAAACGATGCCTGCCGCGCGAGCCGCGTGTATCATGTTGTAATTGAACATTGGTTATTCATCAGTCAGCGATTGAATGTGCTACGTGCGCATGATGTTGAAAATTTTACAGAAACCATAACGACCGAGTGTTTTGTCAAAACTCGTCGAAATGTCGCCGCTCAGAACGCTTAAAATGAAATTATCGGTGATATTTGAAGCGTAAAACCTTGACTAGACGCTCTAATGTGTTCTAATGAGTTAATTGCGAGTTGTTGTGTCTTGCTGGACGACTTGCACAGCGGTTTTATTTAGTTTTCTGCGTTGCGCGGCGGCAGTTGAGTTGATTTTGCTTCGTTCATGTTCGTCGTTTTGGTGACGTGTAGTCAGCAACGTGTGTAAGCGATTTCTCGCTTCTCGAAGTTGCAAGTTGTCGCTCTCGGTCGCGCACTCAGTTGCGAGTTGCTTGCGGGTTGTGAGACTGTGATAAGTGCGAGCGCACCGTTGACCGGCGCCCGCGGTCCGTGCATAACAAAAAAACTCGCTTCGGGAACTTGTGGTCGCAAAGTGTCAGTGTCACCAAAGCAGCAGAAAAAATACGACACGAATTCCGAAAAAAATAAAAAGGTATACATTTCGTCACGTAACATGTCGCCGCAAAAAGTAAACAAATTTTGTTTTTCGTTGCCACAGCCGAGCTGCTAGCGTCATCCCGAAAGCGTCAAAACCACATCGCTTGCATTTTCTACAGTGTTTTACTTTTACACCGAACTATAATATTTATATAAATGTTAGGTGAGTGAATTCCCATTGCATTATTTCATCATTCAGATGTATGAATTAAGGTTATGTCATTCCGTAGATTATCAGACGCCAGCCGTGCAAGCGCCGGCGAGCACCAGCAGCGGCATTGCGTCGGCGAAGCTCACCACGACGATGTCGAGGAAGCGAACACGCAGCCGGTCCGAAGACAATCTCTTCGGCGCTGGACACAATCACAAGATTCAGTCGGTGATTCCGGTGAGTAACGATCGGTGCTAATCGTGTCAACTCGCTGCACTACGCTAGTGATCATATGATCACTATCTTCATGTTGACAAAGCAAAAAAAGCAAAGTTTTTCTAGTTAAATGTGATAAAACATTGAATTATGACCCATTGGTAATTATCATGTGAGTCATAATTAATACCAGGCGACCATAATTTGAATAAGAAATGATTTCATAAAAATATTTTTATTTTAACATAATTTTAGCATAATTACAATTTATTAGTAATTATTTAGATACTTACATCATATTGATAATCACTGATTTTATCTAATCAATAGATTATAACTAACTAATTAGATGAATCGGTTTAATCTGGATTTTTTTTTGTGGATCTAATCACTAACAATTACACGATTGTTAAGTTGATGTTGACTCAACTTAAGTTAATGCACTTAAGATTATAAGGTACTTACTTCCTTGGCCATTCATAAAGTATTTTTTGCTTACCGGATGAAAGTTGTTGGTATTTTCGGTAGACTGTCAGTTTTGGTGTCACCGGAAATAGCTGAAATAGTTTCTGACTTTCCAACTCAACCATTATCATTGGTGATGAATGGTTTGAAAATAGAAATGCATGGTGTACTTCTATTTTAACTCTCGCTCAATTTCAATTTACAATTTTCAACTTCGGTAAATGACTGCATTTTTTTTTACTTTTTTTTTTGTACCTGACGTTGATAAACGGTATGCAAATATAATTACGTGTGGTTTATGACTGTCTACATTTGCAATTCTTTATTATTTTTTTGTGTGTAGTGTTGTTGACTATTGTGATAATGCCATTGTGAGTCTGTTTGGCTCATATATCGTTTCGTAGAATGAATACATGTGGAGTCAGTCCTTAGTATGCAATTTTTGTGCTTCGTAAATAATATTTAGGTCAAGCGTAAATTGAAACGCACGAGCCAAACGCATACGAATCTCTAACAGAAATTATTTTCGAAAATTTTAGCACAATTTTAATGTGTTTTTATTTGTATGCATGAAGGTCTAACTAGATTTAAATAATAATCTTTTTACTTACCAACAAACATCAAAACAATAGCAATATTTAAAATTGAAATGAAGCAATGCGATAAAAAATCAATAATTTGCCAAAAAAAATTAGAATACCGACTGAAGATAAAGTTTTCCATGTACTTTGCACATTACATTGAAATACATGTAAAAGAAGTGAGAAAATAATTCGGTAATCACATTTTGTTGCGTTTACATTACCATTGTTTACAATATTATTAAGTTGTTTTGATGTTCTTCCAATCTAGAAACTCGTTAGTGCTGACTACTGAGTTTTGAGTAAAAGTACACACTTAAGTGACTATCGGAAAGATTCACAAGGCACTCAGTCGGTAACGGAACGTCGTGAGGTGCGCATCACGCAAAAGGCTTCAACTCTTTGCGACGCAAATAGTTTAAGTATACTTAACTCAACAACTGCATGGTGCAAATTCTTAACGGCATCGGAATGTTCATCGGAGACGAGAATACGTGACGAACAGTTACCAGTGCTACTTTTACATTTATAAATTAACTTTTTAAAAGTTGTGTGGTGTGTGTTATATAATTGCGAAGGTAGAAGGTCACTTCCGATTCGTGTCGGTAATTATTTCCGCGGTTGATTAACGCAAAAAAAAAAAATTAAACATGGTTAAATTGATTCAGCATTCAACAATCGTAAGTTATACTTAAATTAAATTAATTTATGTTTCCGGAAGTTGATTTATTAACTTTTTTTAAGATTTTTTATTTATTTTGAAATTTTGTTACATTTTAACCTTGATATTTAATTTATAAATTGTGATGAAATTTAAACGATTTCACAATCAAAAATCAAGTTTACTAGTTCATGCTGATGTTGCAATACATTTTGCAATTTTTGAATAAATGATTAATGACACAAATGACATAATTTAGCTTTTTTGCATTGTTGCGCGGTTTATTCGCATTTAAACGCGAATGAAAAACAATACGATGTGTAGATTGTGGGTAATAACGGAAGTATATCTACATAACTGACATAAACTGTATAATAACGCTTTAAATTTACAGTATGTAATTGTAACAAGTAAATAACATGGAATGCATGATTGCATGAAGACGGTAAATTACTGGATTTATTTTTTGTACTTTTCACTTCGATAAATACAAAAATTACGACTGGCGTTGAAATTCGAAAGTTTTTACTTTACAACTTTGCTAAAATATTTTTTGCATTGTCTTTTAATTTAATACATCTGCGGAATGTTGATTTGTGGATGTAGATACATCAAGGTAGATAAATGGAATATAAAACATAAGAGACGGGGCATGGGTATTCAATGGGCGTACTTTCACCGGTTGGAAACAAGTCGTGTTAGTTTTTAGGTTAGTTTCGTTGTATATGGACATGCTGCGCTTGGACTGGAATCGAAAACATCGAAATTGTTTGAAGTTAAGGGGATATATTCTTTGTTAATTTGGGTTTAATTTATTATAAACTAGCTTTTGCGAGGGATTTTGTCTTCGTAATTTTCAGTAAAAATGTTATTAATTTTTAGATTCTTGTTCAACAGTTAGTATGTGTATTTCATCAATATGATTATCAATTTTATTGATTTAGCGCCATCTTTGATTCAATTATTTAGCTATTACCACGATTAATTCTCTATTTCAATTTCCTATCTCTTATTTAACACTTTTTAAATCATATTTTTGATATTTTAATAGTTATTCTACTATTTTGGGATGACACGAATCCAACAAATCATAAATCGTCAATATCGGTCCATTCGTTGTTGAGTTATAAATGATGTAACTAACACGATTTGTTTTATATATTGATTAATTTTGATTTTAATAAAAAGTACTCAAACTATTAATTACTTTCTCGTTTCTTCGACCTATTATGTGCCGAATTTGTCAATAATTTTGTACCCCTTAACTTTGCAAAAAATAATTTCAAACTCCCAACGCGCAAAATCTGTAAACGTAAATGACCTCAACATTTCGATTTGCACTCACAAAACTCCTTCTAAAAATACTCGGCATTTGTTTGGAAACGAAACAAAACATTCTTTAAATATAATTAAAGTACAAAATAATTCGCACAATGCACAATATCAATTTCTATATTATAATTATTAGAAAATTAGAAATTGCGTTCTTTATTATTTGCTATGCGCATGAAATGTGAAATACTTGTTTTGTGGCCTACGTGTCTATTTACTCTTTCGCCTCCGTCACGAATTAGAACCTACATTTAGTATATTGATGGCACATTTGTTGCTGCTGTGAATGTGAAAATTATTCTCTCGCGTGATGCACACCGAACTGTAAAGGATCATAAAATTTAATCAGTTAGACAAAAAATTTTCCCGCAGTAAAAAGCACGAAATTAAGCTTGTGCTAGTTTGAACTCGAACTTTGCAGCTCGCCATAACATAAACAATCAACAATAATAACTAATAATATCGACATTTTGTTGATTGCGCGTTTACAACTTTTTAACAACTCGACGTGTTCTTGCACTCGAAACGGGTCAAAAGTTTGAGATGGTTTAGCTTCACACGTTTGTTATCAAAATGTGTTTATGTGTACTTGAATTATAGCATCAATCGTACGTTTGAACTTGATATTTACTCGCGCGTATAGCGGAAATTTCCAGTATTTCAATTCATTGAAATATTTATAGTTATTAATGACGTGATTTGTAACAAATTATAGAAAATGGGATGATTTTTGTTAAGATTTGTAAAAATTTGCAAAGAATGCAGGAGAATATTAGCATATAGCAGTTGTGTAGTTTATTGACACTGTAGCGGTAGACTAAAAGACAATAAAAAGAAGTCAGGTGAGTTACAACACTTATAACTCAAGAACGACTGAACCGATTTTGATTATCTATGTATTGTTGGATTTATATTGGTTCAGAATAGTAGAGTAACTATTAAAATATCAAAAGTTGTGATTTAAGGGGTGTTAAATATGGAATGAAATACTATAGTGCCATTATTCGCAATTCTTATTGCTTTAAAATAAAATTGCGAATCTTATTGATTGAATCGACACATTCAAAGTCTTAAACAACATAAAATTAAAGCAATTAAGGAAGATAGATATGGTAAAAAAGGAAATAACCTTGTCTTCTGTAATATAAAAATTAATCGCAAAATCTGTTGGTAAGCGCATAACTTAACAACGCCTAGACCAAATTGGTCAATTCTTTTTTTTTAATATTCGTTATAGTCCAAAGATGGTTTTTACTGCAAGAAAAATTCGAATAATTGCTGGGAAAACCCCGAAGACAGCCCTTTAACTATAATCATAGTTATAGTTAAATAGTTGAATCCGAGATGGCGCGCTGAAGTGCATTAATAGTAATTTTTTATATAATTAATTTCTTTAAAATAAAATAGCGAATCTTATTGATAGAATTTATGTGTCAATGTCTAGAACAAGACAGTAAAAACGAATGACATTTTTATTAAACACTACCGGAACGAAGTCGCGGGAAAAATTTAGTTGTACATAAAATACTCATTAATTGCAATTGAATCATAAATAAACTAAATACTTTCTTTATTTGTATGTGAATGTGAATAAGCCACTGGTGTTTGTTTTGTATTTTATTCCCAAATGTAAAACTAACAAACAACGAAAGAAGATTGATTGAATTGTTAATTATTTATTGATCGACAACAAATTGAACAAAAGAAATACGTCGACGATTGTTGGCTATCGATTAAATTCCTCGTTCTTGTGGTGGCATTTCTGTATATCTGTCGTAGGTAGTATGCCGAGTCATTCTTGGTATTATTTCGCCAATAATGTCGACGCCCGCCTGACAATCTATGAATAACCGAAGCAAGCTAGCCACTCAGGCCGTGTTTTTAATTTCAATTACGGTTCGGGTCACTAGTCACCGCGCTGCGTAGCATTCTTGACGTGACATTTAAAACTGATAAATTTGTAATTTGAATAGTTTCCTTACACGACCATAGAGTTGTTTCCTTTTTGAAATAAATTTCCAAATTTTTACAATCAGTAAAAATTTGAAATTGAAATTTATTGCGAATGTGTGATGTATTGTTTTGAAATTGAGTGTTAAATTATGCTCATCACGCCACTTTTTGACGTGTACATACGCTTTGTTCATGATTTTTAGGGTATGTTATCGTAGACGGCTATACCGTTATCAATTTGTGGATTGTAATGTGGGCTGATATTTTAATTAAGCATTGTTTAATTATGAAAATGACATTCAAAAATTTTGTTTTTCAGTTTTACTCATTTAAACAAATTTTAATGAAAAAAAAAATTAAAAAAATTTTTTTTTCTCATATTTGATCTCAATGAAAACAAAGTCTGGTTAGTTACATCATTGATAACTCAAGAACGGTTGGACAGATTTTGATGATTTATGATTTGTTGTGTTTGTCTAGACTGTGAATAGCAGAATAACTATTAAAATATCAAAAATTATAACCTAAAGGGTGTTAAATAAGGGATGAAAATGTATATAGAGATTCAATCATATTTATAGCTAAAGAATTGAATCCTAGATGACGCTAAAGTGCATTATTAGCATTTCTCTTTGCTTTAAAATAAAATTGATTATTTTCTAATGTCAATTTCATCTAGTATGATAAAAATTAAACAAATTTTTACTAAAAAGTAGACAAAACCTAATATAATATATTTACTAGTTTGCCTGGAATAAACTTGAAATATCGTGATAACGTCTATTTCCACAAATTACCACCCATTTTATCAATATTGATACTTACGTGCGCTCATGGCTTACTTTGAACACATCGAATGATTTCATTGATCAATACGTGAATGACACGTTTCTAGCGTCCGTCTCGCCGCTCTTATCGATAAGCATACACTTCCAGCAATTTAACAACAAACAAATTGCACACATCGTAAACAAAATGATCTCAATACAGTTCTTTTCGATCTACATATTTAATATACGCACAAAATTAATCCTACAAGTTAAAATTAGCAACATAATTTAATGTTTGCTATGACTATGACTATGACTAAGTCGTGATTTCTTGCAATAAGCCGTGAATTATATGTTTATATAATATTCTTGTTATATAAAGCCTCAATGTTAAGGTCACCCGATTATATTGTATGTGAACGCGTGTGACTTCATCGGAATGTTATGGCTTATTCAGAGCAGAGGTGGAAATTATTAGTTTAACAACTCTATTATTGGATGAAATCAATTTTTATGCCCACCATTATAATATAAGCAACAAATGCGCTTATTTACGAAACATTTTCATAATGTTTTTCTTTATGCAAAGCAATTGAATTCACTGCTTTGAAAGTGTTCATTAGCGGCACTTTGCGGTTATGAAGTAATTGAATCGTGAGTCATCTGTTGATTGTGAAGTGGATATCGTACTTATCGAAGCATACGAGTGTGGTGGTTGCTTTTAATCCAGCAAGGTAAAGTAATATTCTCCCATTTGCACCAGTTGCACTTGTTTTCTGCATCTTTTCTTCTTTCTTTCTTGCACCTTACTTAATCTTGCAATAATATTTATTATTTTAGTTTTTTTTTAATTTTTATTTGGACGTGTTAATGAAAAACAATTTTTCTATGAATTTTTAACATTTTTACAGAAAAATTGCGATTAATTACCACGTTAAATATAAAATATATTAAAAAAATAGTTTTTAATGTTTTTGTAGAAATGCCTGATTTTAATCTATTTTAATGCCATGTTTTTGCTTGCATTGACATAACACTTTAATAATATAATAATAATATCCTAATATACTTATCCACTGATATAAAACATGCAATTTTTTTGCTTTCTATTTGACTTTTCACATAATTGTGTCGTCCTGTTTAGTTCTGCTAATATTTGCACTCAGATAAGACAAACAGTTAGTTTTATTTACTTGTACGAGATTATTTTCTATAAATAGACATTGTGCAAGAGTGTTATTTTATTTTTAAACTTTCTAGCTTAGTTTAAACTTGTTCAATTTGCTTTGTCTTTGTTTATATATTGTTTAGTCTACCTCTACCTGTAAAATGCTTTTTCGTTTTATGGTTGCTTTAATTATTTTCTAATTATGTTCGTAATTTTAGCCGACGTTTTATGAACCGGCCGTATTCAGCTCAGATCCTATCGCTCGCCAGCGACTGGCAGAATGCGATTATACGATACGTATTACAAAAGAGATGGCCGCCACGGGTACCGCCCCACGGCTGGTGCGAATGTACGCCGATGGTGCTTTCGATCTGTTCCACCAAGGCCATGCCAGAGTTTTAATGCAGGCGAAACAGGCCTTTCCGAATGTATATCTTATTGTTGGAGGTATGATTCAATTTTAATAGTTTTAAAAAATTTTTGCTTTATTTGTTGTTTTTTAGTTTGTAGTGATGCAATGTTGCATCGCCAGAAGGGTAAAACGGTTCTCACAGAAGAAGAACGCTACGGCGCGTTGACGCACTGTCGCTACGTGGATGAAGTCCTGCGGGACGCACCATGGGAACTCACCGAGGACTTTCTCACCGAACATAAAATAGATTTTGTCGCGCACGACGACGAGCCGTATCCATCTGGTGATGTGGAAGATATCTACGCCCCGTTGAAGGCGCGCGGCATGTTTGTTGCCACCCAGCGCACGGAAGGCGTGTCTACATCCGATCTGGTGGCGCGAATTGTACGCGACTACGATGTCTACGCACGCAGAAATCTCGCACGTGGTTATTCAGCGAAAGAGCTAAACATCTCCTTTCTCAAGGAGAAGAAACTGCGTTTCAAGAATCGCATGGAGCAGCTTAGTCGTAATATCGGCGAGCGGAAGGACGAAGTGTTCAACAAGTGGGAGGAGAAAAGTCACGAGTACATCGATAAGTTCCTAATGCTCTTTGGTAGGAACCGCAATCGATTGTCGCGCTACATCGAAGCATCGAAACAGCGCGTTTTGAAGGCGATTACGCCCCCTGGCACGCCTGCTTGTACGAGCAGCGAGGACTCTTCTTCTGATGATGAACCATTACGTAAACACAGACGGTTAACTGATTGAGCAGAAAAAAACGGACGCCATTTTTACACGTGGGCGTGGATTTTAACTATATTTACACTTGATTGTGTATTGTTTTAATATTATAACAAATACTTTATGAATAAATTATGTTTGGAGTGATAGAGAAACAGATAGTAGAGTTGCCAAAGTTTCAGGCACTTTGCCAAGCGCCGATTACGAATTTAAGACGCCAAAAGCCTGTTTCACACTGAAGATTTATATTTAATTCGTCATAACCTCAAATATCATTAAATTATTAACGATTACGGATGTAATTTGTATTAAAATAAGCGCGAATCAAATTGTTAAGCATTTAACATTAGGTTTCAAGTAGTTTAACGGCATACTTGATTGAAATTCAAGTACTTTAACTAATAACGTGTTTGCGTCTGTAGTAGTCTCTAGTTTGAGCTGATCGTACGATCCGCACGCGTTGGCATTTTACTCGTCATTGTTAAACAAGAATCATGCCGAAACGCAAGCGTTCTTCGAAAGATCGCCCAGATTATGTAAATCTAACGCGTAATATTTGTTAAATTAATATTGTGTATTGTTTTGTGTTCGCAGACGTTGTGCAAGGAGGCACCCTTTGACCATGAAGCGGAAGCAAACAAAACTCGCGCGGAATGTGATTATTCAGTGCGCATCAGTTTTGATATGGCCAAGTCCGGCACAGTTCCACGACCTGTACGAGTTTACGCTGATGGTATCTATGATTTGTTCCATCAGGGTCATGCCAGGCAACTGATGCAGGCGAAGAATGTGTTCCCCAACGTTTACCTCATTGTTGGAGGTAAAAAAATCCAATATCATGTTAATATATGAATATTATTGATATATTTTATGTTTTTAGTTTGTAATGATGCACTGACTCATAGTAAGAAGGGTCGTACAGTAATGAACGAAGAAGAACGATATGAAGCGTTACGACATTGTCGCTACGTAGATGAAATCGTCCGTGATGCGCCCTGGGAAGTGGACGAAGAGTATATTGCAAAACACAAGATTGATTTCATTGCGCATGATGACTTACCCTATGGCACTGATGATTGTAATGATGTGTACGCCAAATGGAAGTCCAAGGGCATGTTTGTCGCGACTGAGCGCACTGAAGGTGTTTCCACCTCGGATATTGTCGCGAGAATTGTTCGCGATTATGATATGTACGTGCGACGTAATCTTGCCCGTGGTTATACAGCCAAAGAACTTAATATTTCCTATCTCACCGAGAAGAAGATCAAGGTGCAGAACAAGATGAATGAATTCAAGACGCGCAGCAAGAAAGTCAGCCAGGATATATTCCGTAACTGGGAGGATAAATCGCGTGAGTTTATCGATAATTTCTTGCTGCTCTTTGGAAAAGAGCGCTTGACTCATTTGTGGAATGAGTCCAAGGGGAAAGTCCTGCAAGCGTTGAGTCCGCCCAGTTCACCATCGTCCTCGTCGTCGAGTAGTAACTCTGTAAATGGCGACTATGATGGTTTGGAGGAACGTATGTCTCCGCCGCGAAAAGCGCCGCGATTTGAGATCCAGTCCTCGTCCAAGACGTACCTCTGCGAGGAGGACTATAGCGACGAGGAGGATGAACCTATTCTGTTGAAAAAGTAGTCGTACAATACTTTCGAAACACTTTACACTTAGTTTTACATTTAAAGATTTAGAGATTTACAAAAAAAAAAAAATTGAAAGTAATCGTAGGACACTCTGTACATAATTATTGGGGGAGTGTGCGCATGCGCATACAAATTACGTGCGTATTTTTCTAGTATTTACGGTCATTTTGGAAGACTGACACAATGATGACTCTTGCATTTTCTATTGTATTGCATACACACACTATTCGAAATGGTATTCTTATGAGCTTAGTCCTCGCTTAATACTAATTATTTATCATTTATAAAAGTAAAGTTTTCTAATGTGTAATTCAATAGAAATGTTGCAACAACAAGATGGCGGGCGGACGCCTACAACACATACAAATATTTCCAACTTATTTATTTGTACCGTTACCAGAATTTCTCCAAACAAAATTTGATGATGTGTAGTAGGTTATGAAATTGAAAATGAAGTATTCAAAGTGCTAGTCTCATGATGATGATAAATGTGTTGAAATTGTTTTGCAACTTGCAAATCTAAAATCTGTAATTGTTAAAAATAGGTTATGATTAACTTAAAACTTAAACGATATTAAAACATACTAATATTGACGGTAGGAAGAAGCTAAAAACACCAAAAATTAACTTTAACGTGTTTGGAGCTGTTTTTGGGGGGCAATTGTAAAGTTGGATGATAATAATCTCGGAGGATTTAACGTATACATTAATAAATTCAAGTACCTATAATAAGATGGCGGGCGTGCTACAACAAACAAAAGTAAAGCAACCAACCAGAAACATCCTAGATGTATTTTATTAGCAGACTTTACAAAAGCAAAGTTAAATTATTGTTATAAGCTTGTGATAAAAATATAAATTACGTCAATATTTGTTAGTTCTTGGTTTACCCACGCCACTATTCTAATTATATTAGATATATGTTTGATTGGGTTGCATCCCTTGAATATCAAAACGTTTTAGTTAACAGCGCAACAAGAAGATGGCGCTGTCAAAAAAGTGGTTAAAGTTTAGTATTCAACACTGTAATGTAAAATGCTATTATCGTTAATTGAGTTTTAAACACAGCGATAATATAAAAACAATACTTATGCTGTCATAATGCTGTGACCGGTTAATTATTGCATGCAAAATTTTCATTTGCATGAAACTATTTGTAACTACCGCCACTTGTGCCAAGAATTCGTACTAAATGGCAGAAAACAAGCGGTTTATTGTTCGAAATTTAAATCTTATTGGTGTTTGTGTCGGTTATTAGTGTAAGTAAGAATGTGTGTCATTAGCATTTATTCGGTTTGTGCAGCGCGAAGGTCAAACAAACCGTCGTCGGCGGTTAGCAGCGTGAACGGCGCATTGTCATCACAGGAAGTGTAAGGATTCGTCGCGTACCTGTCGGCGTCGGCACTGCGCTCGAGCGCGCTTCACTTTCGACCAATGAGAGCGCGCTATTTCAACTCGGCGCGCCGTTGAATTTAGTTGAGGGAGCGAGCCAGTGCAAGCGAAGCGCGTTGAGTGTTGGTACTGCCCGTCGCGTCACAAATCGCGATCATTCCCCGTTTCTTTCCCAAACCAATCAAGCAGTGTCTGCTGCGTCGAGTGCAATTAGTGCAATCATGTACAATTCGATACCAGTGATGCGCGGGTGTCGCGCAGCGCGCTGTTGAGTGTCGTGTGTTGATGTAACGCCGCCGCCGTTTGAGGCAACAACAAAGGCACAAGCTGCATGCAAGATGGACGGGCACGTCGAGCACAAGAGCGTCAGCCAGCAGGCGTCCGTCGGCAGCGATTCCACCAGTGAGGACGCCGGCACCATCCGACTCGCAGATAGTAAGTGCGATTTGATTAGATTTACAACAAACGCGCGCGCGCGCTGACGGGTTTATTTTAAGCCACCCCGCGGAATGCACAACTCGTCAGCGCGCCTGAAGGCTCGTTTTCAGGTTAACGTTGACACACTCAAGGTTACAAACAAATGAAAAACAAAACGATTTCTTTTTTAATAGGTAACTCGTCAGTGATAAAACGAATATGCTTGGTCGGCAATGCAATGCGCGACGTCAACTCCTGTGGGGCGGCGGCGAGTTTCAACGTGTCGGTGGTGACAAGCGAAACGGGAATGGAGTACATTCACGATCACAGCTGCCGGACGATATTCGTTGTCGAATCCTTCGAGAGCGAAGCCTTCGATGCGCTCTCACGCTACAAACATCCACTTTTAGGCCCGCCAGCTCTAAGACAATTAGCTGCGAAAAGGGAGCATCTTCCTGACAATACCCGCCCCCTTTACAATCTCTCCATGACCGGTGTTGTTGTGTGTTTCACTGGATTTCGTAATAAAACAGAACTGGTAAGTTAAATTCTTCAATAAAAAAAAAACTGTTTGTTTAATTGTGGTGAAACTTGTGTTTTAGACAAAATTAGTGCCATTGGTGCATCACATGGGCGGCTCAATACGAAGGGATATGTCCGTGAAGGTGACGCACTTGATCGCGAATGTTTCTGGCGGCGATAAGTATCAGTACGCTGTGACGTTCCGCGTGCCGATTATGAACTTGGATTGGGTTTTGGCGAGCTGGGAGCATCGGCACGACACGAATTTCAATGCGAATAGTGAGAGTTTTATGGTAAGCAAAAGCATAATCACGTTTTACCTTGTAAAACGGTGTTAATCAATTATTTTTACACTTGCTAACCGGGACTAATTTGTAACTCTAGTAAGTATTTACTAGTGAGTGATGCATGATGTAATAAGACGCTTGTTATTAATGTGAGTTTTTGTTTCGCGCGTGATTCCAGAGCGACTACAAGCTGAAACCGTTCCATGGCGCGAAAGTCTGCTTCATGGGCTTTCCGGAAGAGGAAGAGAAACACATGGTTGAGATCCTCGAGTCCAATGGCGGTACAATCACCACCATGGACGACGCGACCTGTACCCATGTCGTAAGTCCAGCTTCACAATTTAATCATCAAATCGCATTTTCTTTCTCCCAAAGCATAGAATTGTCGCACGGTGTTGGTTGATTACTTGCAGGTGGTGGATCAGTCAGAGAGGTATCCGCTGGAAGCAAATGACTCGCTAACGCCATCCAAAGTCTTATCCCCATCCCCAATCAGACCCTGTCCATCAATTAATCCTAGCGATTGTTTTCGTACACCGAAACTGAACGCGTTGAATACATTGCACGAACATGCAATGGACACGTCTATCGATAGCAGTATATTAAACACCACTGAAGATATGCAAAATCTTGACTTGGACACTACTGGCGTAGGTGTGCAGAGTATCGGAAGGAAGCGAAAGTTGCCATCACCTGATAGTCTTAGTTTCTGTTCGAAGCGTAAACGTGACTTGAGTTACAGTGAGAATACACGCAAGAAGATTTCGAGCTTTTTTAAGACCCCGCTTGGTTATTTATCAAATCGACGCCGCACTATAGGTGGTGCGCAGAATCAAAGCCTCAACGAGAGCGTTATCTCAAGTTCGGGTGTTTTTGACGTGGAGACGGTGGAGAATTTGAGCGCGTGTAATCGTGCCAGTGTTACGCCAACGGTCAAAGCGAAGAAACCACGGAAAAATCTGTTTCTGCGCACGTTTAGTACAAGTAAATTCATACGTCCGAAAAGTAACGTCAATGATAGTTTCACGTCCGAGTGCAGTGACGCGGTGGAAAAGTTCAATTCCAGTTGTTTTCCTGATTTCTCCTCCGCATCCTCAAGCGCGCGTTTTCACGAGCTTCGCAGCAATTTCGGCCAGGATCAGCAGCGAGTGATTACTCAATCTGCGGTACTAACTCCATTCACATTTTACTTAACTTTATTCATTCAACTTGTTGCATGGTTTTATGTTTTAATTTGCGTTATTTTTTAGGTTGTGGATGAGTCGAAGGTGACGGACCGTCCGGATGGTCCCGGCAAGGCGCACATGGTGAAGGCGGAGTGGTTTTGGACCTCTGTGCAGAAGGAGTTTATTCTCGAGGAGAAGGAGTATCTGTATGAGGATTATCTTGAGAAAGTGTTATCGCCGAATACACGCCGTGATTCACACCAGGCGACGCCGAGCAGTGCCAGTCGACGGAAGCGGAAACGTTTGCATGAGACGCTTTCGTCGTTGGCGCAGCAGCAATCGCCGGCGTGTGTGGTTCATCACAAGCGGCGGTCTTCCATTAGTGATGCTGGCTTGCTGAGCGTGTCTGGTAGTTTTCTTGATTGTACTACCAGTCCCGATAAAGCGCTACAGGATGCGATTGAATCACCGGCCGTACCGGACACGCCGAGGAAGGGTCTCACTGCACGTCAGCAAGTTTTTCTTGAGCTGGTGCAGACCGAGTCGAATTATGTTAACATATTGCACACAATTATGAATGTAAGGATAATTTTTTGGATGTATAAATGTTGTTTTTTACATAAATTTATTTTGTAGATGTTCAAAAAACATCTTGAAGATATGGATGAAGAGGATGCGCTGTTAAACAATACAGAATTGAAGATTATTTTTGGTAATCTTCCACCTATCTATGAAACGCACGTGCGCATGCTCGACGAATTGCGATGGACGTCGTCGCACTGGTCTGAAGATAAAAGTATCGGCAACATAATCCTCAAATACGCCACTGATCTGCTGAAAGCCTACCCGCCTTTCGTCAACTTTTTCGAGGAGATGAAAGAGATGCTGACGCAGTGCGACGCTAACAAGCCGCGATTCCACGCATTTCTCAAGGTCTGCCAGACGAAACCCGAGTGTGGTCGCCAAAGTCTGCAGGACCTACTAATTAGGCCCGTCCAAAGATTACCCAGCATAAGTTTATTACTAAATGGTAAATATTATTTCTATTAGAATTGATATCTTCTAACATTGTTTTTATTTCAGACATTTTAAAACATACTCCAAAGTCAAACGCCGACCACGGTGCGCTAGATCAAGCGCTAGCGTCGATACGTGAGGTGATGACGCATGTGAATGAAGATAAACGGAAAACCGAAGGCCAGCGTGTGATGTTTGATATCTTCAATGATATCGACAATTGCCCACCGGATTTGGTGTCGTCACATCGCACGTTTGTGACGAAGTGTGATGTGGTGCAGCTGTGTGCCGAGGGACTGGCAGGCAAAGGCAGTCCGTTGCTATTGTTCCTCTTTAGTGATCAGTTGGAGATTTGTAAAAAGCGCTCCAAAGGCTTTCAGACGCTCAAGTCGCCGAATGCGCTCAACGGCGGCCATCATAAAAATTCTGCCAGCAAGCCATATAAGCACGTACGACTGATGTCGCTCAGTATGATTAAGCGGGTGATTGATATTAGGGAGACGGACGATTGCCAACGTGCGTTCGGTTTTGTATTTCGCAACAATGATGAATTGAAGGAGCGCTTGTTTACGTTTACGGTCGCGGGTGGTGAGGACGTCGACAAAATGGTATTTTTGCGGACGTTGTGTAGAACGATGGCTACAAATGCTTGTACAGCAGATTCCGTAAGTTTAATGTTTTTGAATTATTTTGATTTATTTATACATCTTTTTGCTTTAGGACAAGTTCCTGGTAAATTTGGACCCCGCCGACTTGGAAATCAATACGAGTATGGTAAATAACGGCACGCTTTCGAAAGCTATCAAGTTAGCAGCGAATCGTACGAAAATCCGCGTTGGTCGAGCGTTTTCTTTCAATAAAACGCCGTCGAAACTGAAACGCGCTGTGTCCTCCATGATGTCGCCATTTGGCAGCTCTACGAATCTCACGCCTTCCTTACAATTAGCTCAGATGCGACTGGCTAGTTATAACAACATCAGCGTAAGCGTTTTTTTTTATTTAATTTTTGTTTTGTGTAACTTCGTTTTTTTTTTTTTAAATGAAACAGGAATTGGGCAACGCTGAAAATGCAGAATCTCCGCCACTAGCACCGCTGTCGCAACAGCCGACGCGCAAGTTCAAGACGGGCTCGCTGGGCGTAAACGCGCTGAAGCGATTATAGTAGTTCATACTCGATATCATTTTTATATATCTTGCTTACGATTTGTATACACTAGAGTGGATGAGATGTGCGTTAAATTAAGGAAGAGGAATTGATTCGTATGCGTATAGTATAGTGAAAGATTGATCCGTTCGCCGCTTTTATTTATAAGTTTTATTGATTAATATATTTTATTCGCTCAAATATTATTTGTACATATAAGTTTAATAATATAAGAATGAAATAAACAGCAACGAACAGCATTACGTATAACAAGTTGTGAGTGTTTGTGCTTTTAAAATGATCCTGAAGTAAAAAATTCAAACTTTGTAAACGGCGCGTTATGATTGGGTAGTACATGTGCTGAATCTTCCCCCACTTTTCTTTGCTGTCCCTTCCACCAACATGAAAATAACCGCCTTTAAAAAGTGACATTTTCAACAAATCAATCAACCGAAACAAGTTAAACATTTATCAATTTCTCTGGTTAATATCAAAAAGTTAATTGCTTCTGAGAGTCTAAACTTTAAAACATTCAAAATGCCTTGTGAAATGATAACTCTGCAGCTTGGCCAATGTGGCAATCAAAGTAAGAATTGTTTGTTAGGTTACGTTTATTTATTTTCAAAAATCAACGTAGTAAATATTGTAAATGCTTTAAAATATCATTGTTATCATTCTTACAGTTGGCTTTGAATTCTGGAAGCGTCTCTGTGCTGAGCATGGCATTAATCCTGAGGGAGTTTTGGAGGAGTTTGCAACTGAAGGTGTTGATAGGAAAGATGTCTTTTTTATCAAGCAGATGATGAACATTATATCCCAAGGGCTGTTCTCATGGATCTGGAGCCTAGGGTTATCAACACAATTATGAATTCTCCATATACTAAATTGTACAATCAGGAGAACATATTTCTGTCTAAAAATGGAGGTGGTGCTGGAAATAACTGGGCATCTGGATATTCTCAAGGAGAGAAACTCTATGAGGAGATTTTTGATATTATTGATAGGGAGGCTGAAGGATCTGATAGCTTAGAAGTAAGAAACATTTAAAAATAACATTAACAATGTGCACATTTTGTTTTGTCTTTGTTTAAAACATTTTTTTTAAATTTTTTTAGGGATTTGTTCTGTGTCACTCAATCGCCGGCGGGACCGGTTCTGGTATGGGTTCTTACATGCTAGAAAAACTCAGTGATCGTTTCCCAAAGAAATTAGTACAGACATATTCAGTATTTCCAAACCAGGACGAAATCTCAGACGTGGTTGTCCAGCCATATAATTCACTCCTAACTTTGAAGCGACTCACAGAAAGTGCCGATTCTGTTGTCGTTTTGGACAACACCGCATTGAACCGCATTGCTGCCGATAGATTACACATTCAGAATCCGACATTTACACAAATAAACAGTTTAGTCTCAACGATTATGTCTGTGTCGACCGCTACGTTGAGATATCCATCTTATATGAATAATGATCTGATGGGCTTGTTGGCGCCGTTGATTCCCACACCCAGGTTACACTTTTTGATGACTGGTTACACTCCGCTTTCGACTGATACCGATGAAGTCAGCGTGAGGAAAACTACTGTGTTGGATGTGATGCGACGTCTTCTTCAACCCAAAAATATGATGGTTTCTACAACACTGGATAGGAACTCACAGCATTGCTTTATTAGTATTTTGAACATCATTCAAGTAAGTTAATTTATGAAAATTTTAAAACATTTGCGTATTTTTTTAAATATAATATATTTTTATCATAGGGTGAAGTTGATCCAACTCAAGTTCACAAGTCTTTGCAACGCATACGCGATCGTAAGCTTGCTTCGTTTATTCCTTGGGGTCCTGCAAGCATCCAAGTTGCACTCTCAAGAAAATCGCCATATATACAAACTGCGCATCGTGTCTCTGGACTTATGTTGGCTAATCACACGAATATCAGCTCGGTAATGTCAATAAAATACTTTTAATATTTAATTTATTAATTTAGTTATATTGTTTTATAGTTATTTGACCGTGCATTACAACAATTTGACAAACTACGCAAACGCGAAGCTTTTCTGGACCAATTCCGCAAAGAAAAAATGTTTCAAAAGGATCTCACTGAGTTTGATGAAAGTCGAGAGGTTGTGCAGGACTTGGTGGATGAGTACGTCGCCGCAACCAAGGATGATTACCTCACATGGTGTAAATAGGTGTAGGATTTTTGGATGAACATCTGAATCTACTTATCTGTGCCATTTTTTTTTTTAATATACTGTTATCAAATTGTAATAGTCCCAGAGCCAGTGACGGCCAGACTTTTGTCATTTTAGAAAAGATGAAAATGTTTCTATGTGTGTACCCAACACAGCAAAGAACGATCCCCAATTATGAAATCTGGATCGTGGTTCCTTTTGCAATTAACACGCAGTTAAGATAAGCAGTTAAAATATTTTTGCATATTTTATTCGTAACATTATTATAACATGCGCTGGTTCAATTCCTGGTTTCGGCACGTTGCTTGTCAGAGATTTATCGTAATATTGAAAAATTTCGTTTTAATTGTGGTCTGCAAAATAACACCCAGTATCTCCCGAAGGATATGACTTTTTACAGTTTTTCACCGCCATGTTAGAGTTAAAGACTTCCTCTACACTATGCATACATTTGCAAGCCCTTCTAAAAATACTCAAAAGTAGTTTTTTAGGAAATAGCGTTTTTCATAAAGTATGTAAATATGGTGTTGAAAACACCCTGTATCTCGTGAATGAATTCACATTTTTAAAGTTTGTCACCGCCATATTAAAGCTCGAGAGTTTCTCTGCACGATGCATACCTTGTCAATCTTCTAGCCCTTTTAGAAGTGTCCCAAAACTCTCTTTAAAAATTGACATTTTTCAAAATAATGAAACACATGGCGCGCAAAGCACCCTGTATCTCGTGAACTAATTGACTTTTTTACAATTTATCACCGCCATTTTAAAGTTCAAGAGTTCCTCTACACGATGCATACCATTTCAATCCTCCAACCCTTCCGGAAGTGCCCTAAAATGGCTTTTGAAAATTGGCATTTTTCAAAAAATTGAAGACATGGTGTGAAAAACACCCTGTATCTTAAGAACTATTTGACTTTTTTGAAGTTTTTTACAGCCATCTTAAAGTTCGAGAGTCTCTCTACGCGTTCCATATCTTTCCAACCCCTTAACACTTCCAGAAGAGCCCTAAAAAGCCCTTCAAAAATAGCAATTTTTGTCCCAAAAATTTCATTATTTGGTCAACGAACAGTGTCGAATTTTTTTCTTAATTTTTTTTGGTCAAAGAACAAGGTCGAATTTTTTTTTATCGAATAACAGAGTTGAACTTTTTTGTTAAAATTTTTTTGGTCGAAGAACAGGGTCGAACTTATTTGCCAAAAAAAAATTTCGGTCGAAGAACAGGGACGAACTTACTTTCTTAAAATATTTTCGGTCAAACTACAGGTTCGAACTTTATTGTTAAAATTTTTTTTGGTCGAAGAACAGGGTCGAACTTACTATCCGAAATTTTTTTCGGTCGAACAACGGGGTCGAACTTTTTTGTAATTTTTTTTTGGATGAGGAACAGGCTCAAACTTTATCCTAAAAAAATTTCGGCCGGACGAGAGGGTCGGACTTTTTTTTAATTTTTTCCCGTGAAAGCGACGAGATTAAATTGCGATTAAAACGGTTTTCATATTTGTATGTTGAATTACATTTTACAGTATATAGCATGTTAAAATTTTCAGTGATCAACACTTACGTATTAATTAAAAATGGTCAATAACATGGAAACTAATTAAGATAAGACAACCAAACCTGGATTAATGGAATCCTGGTGATGCCTTATTTCAATTGGAAACATTTGTGGAAAATCGGAAAGGTAGTTTTATTTGATCCGTTTCGAATTTACCACCTATTTTCCCAAATAATAATGTTATCGGAAAACTGACTTGTAATCTTTCATTTCCTTGGAAAACTTAATCGATTAGCGTTTTCCATTTTCTTCTAGGTTAAAAAAACTTTTTTGAGTCCAAAAAGAGTCAAGTGTAACCTCTTGATGTTTATGAGAGGTATTTCGTCAACTTTGGAAAATGGAAAAACTAAATCTGCCATTTTATAGATCCATATCACGACATAAACAAAATGAAGAAAGTTCTTTTCTATCTTTATTATTTTCCGAGAAAATCGCGGTGGAAATTTTTATAGGCACATGCTATATTTCAAATTTTTTATATGTTACTAGTTAACCGGGCAAACGTTGTTTTGCCATATAAATTATTTCTAGTTTCTAGATAAATTTTAGTGTAGACAAAAAGTAACTTACTTATTATAAAAAATAGGGGTTGGTGATAAGAAACCAAAAATTTAGGGTTGTATGTATATTTTAATGCCACATTAAAAAGATAAAAACAAAAAATTTCGACCAAAATTTAAAAAAAATTAAGGGTGAACAACCCTTATCACTTAGAGATATGAAGTTACCGATTCTCAGACCTACTGAATACGCATATAAAAATTTTCTTTGAGCGGGATGAAAAATGATTAAATTACTAAAATGGCTATAAAGAAATAGGGGTTGGTGATAAAAAACTAAAAATTTAGGGTTGTATGTATTTTTTAATTCCACATTATAAGAAAAATAAAAACAAAAGAATTTGTCCAAAAATTTAAAAAAAAGTTAAGGGTGAACAACCCTTATCACTTAGGGGTATGAAAAATAGATGTTAGCCGATTCTCAGACCTACTGAATACGCATATAAAATTTGGTAAAAATCGGTAAAGCCGTTTCGGAGGAGTATGGAAACAAACACTGTGACACGCAAATTTTATATATATAGATTTTATCTAGGAGTTAATGTTGAACATCAGGGTGCTTTTCATTTTTGTTTATCTCTATTAGTTCCTGAGATAGTTGATTTTTAAGTTTCGATGGGAGTGCACATTTCACTTAATGAGATATACTGGAAAATTCTTTACTGCTATTAGGTGAAAAGTTGTTTAAATTGTATCATTAATGAGGTAGTTCTCAATATTTAATTAAACAAATCATTTAAATGTCAGGCGCCTCCGCCAATTTTTTCATAGTTAATAACTTTTATTAAATTTAAAATAAAAGTACTGTTTTATCATTCAGGAATTCAAAATTCCAACTTTTTATTTAATGTTTCGACGGGAAATTTTTAAGAAAAAAGTTCGACTCTGTGGTTCAAGCAAAAAAATTAACAAAAAAGTTCAACCCTGTCATTCGACCAAAAATGAAATGTTTGGGACAAAAATGGCTATTTTTCAAGTGCTTTTTAGGGCACTTTTGGAAGGATAATGGGGTTGGAAAGATATGGAACGCGTAAAGAGACTCTCGAACATTCTGAAATAAATTAGTTAATTGATCTATATACAGCATAACAGAATTTTTATAGTTTCTGTCATTCAGTACATTCACTCACACATCACAACCATGAACGATTCAATTAACAAAGTCGAATTCAAATTATACTTTTAAGGTCATTCCGAGATGTCGCTAATATGTCCTTTTCGACTAAAAATCTTCTCGCGTTTTTATCATATCGTTGTTGTAAGGTATTGTAAACATACACATTGCTCATCGCAGCGACGCATTTTATCAATTTACATTGACTTTATCTTATTTTACGCTTGAAACTAAATCATAAAATAAAACAAATTTAAATAATTCATTTTTTTTTATAATTTATCAACAGATATTATGTAATATATAATCAATTACTATATTGTATGTACGATTATGATTAATTAACAAATATTATGTGGTTTGCCTTGCGATTTAAATGCAAATAATATAATAGTCTGACCGTCACGGGCTCTTACTCTATAATTCCACTACCAATCTAAAATTTACCCATTGTTATTTATTACTCTGTTGTATATATTTATTGCATCCACAAAAATAAACGTAAACTAATCAATTGTTGTTTCAGGCTCGATTCTGACTTGACAGAATTGTGAAACGTCAAAAAGTAGCAACATCAAAATTATTTGTAAATGTGGTTTATTGATTGAATAATGAACGAACAATACCATTATCATCATCAGAATCAAAAGGCGGAGTATACTGACTCACAGAATGCACAATTCGACGATGTCATTATTCGAAGAAGCAATGAAATTGTAATTTAATTGTCAACGCGCTTATAATTTATAAACGTCGCTATTTTTTATTAGATTATCGCCCGAGCAAACGTCGAACTATACAACGCAATGTACGGTGATCGACATTGGAATCTGGTTGATGTTGGTATGATTTACTTGATGCAAAACCAGAACCTATACTATTTGATTCTCTTTTCAACTGAAAACCTGCAGCCAATTTGGCAACGCGAAGTCAGTCGGAACCTTATATACAAGATTGATAAGCCCTATTTTCATATACTTTTTGTTAAGGTTTGTATTATTATCAAAAGATAGGAAAACAGAGAAAATGTATTCATGTTTGTTTTAGAAAGAACTTCATGGTCTTAATTTTGCTGATTTAACGGAAGCGGAAATGTTTTTCTACGCGATGGAACGCCTGTGGCCCTTTAGGAACTTCAGTAAAATGATTAGTAAATTTACGACGCGCTTTGCAAATTTCTGTAAGTTTTCAGCAAGTCCAGTTCTTTAAAAGTTATTCATTTAATAAATTTTGCATCGTTCTAAACTCTGTAAGGCTATTTCATATTATATATGCTATTATAATATTAGTTAGCAGAAAACGAGTTCCACCAATGCCCACAATCTCAAGAAATCAACATTTCCAAATTGTAGATACAAAACCACCGTCGTCTTTCGGAGAAAACCAAGTAATATACTCTTATGTTACAATGCTTAATTCTATATTTATTTTGATATTCCATGAATGATGTTTTGAAGTTCTACAGAGATGAGGTGCCTACCAGGATGACAGTGTTCAATGGAGCAGGGATAAACACACAAGATCAACATCTTAACTATGCCTACGACTACAGTGACGCCGAACAAAGCCACTATGGTAATCAAAAAATCGTTTCAGGACGTGTTCCAAAACCACCTCCCTTGCCACCACCAGTTATGGGTTTTTCCTATGCTTCTTCCAATGATCGAATGGGTCGAAACTGTAATGGTCTAAATACAAATACGAAAAACTCATTTGAAGCGCAGATCAAACATGAAGCCAGAAAACACAATTCGGCCATTCAGAATTTGTTCAAGTATCTTCCATGATTATGATTGCGAAATTATAAATAATGTGATGTGTAATGCCCTTAATTCCATTGATCATCTGAAGAATCGTCATCGGTATCCGAATAATTATGCACAATGTTTCTTTTTGCAAGTGCCAAAGCAATTGCATTAAATAGCTGCGGCTTCTGTGTATTTTCCTTAAAAAATGATTAGTAACTAAACAAAGACGTGACAAGTACGATTGGTCATACTTTTTGTGATGATTCATTGATTGGCTCGTTGTAGAAAGGATTAATCATTGAATAATGTTTCATATCTTCATCGCTAGCCCATGAAATTGCTGGAGGTCGAAGCATGGGACGTTGGGAAGATTTTACGCCAGTTTTAGAATACGGTCTTAATTGACAGGCAATCCAATTGACATAGTCATGTATTTCAGGAGTATTGAGTTTATCCGTTGATAAATTTATATGAGATTTTAACTGGAATTAATATTAGCTGATTTTGATTAATACTGAAAAGATTTGCTTACTTCTTTCTTAATTTCTTCAATAATATCGTCATTTTCAATTCCTTCGTAGTTACCATCATTGTCAAAGTGGGCCAGATGTTTACAATTGATCGGATGACTAATTTCCGGTCGTAATTCACGTTGTTTTCGTTTCGCTTTTAATTCACGCACTAAAATCAATTGAAAGTAAGTTAAGCTGATATTATAATTTGTGTTTACATACGGGACCACCGTGAAAACAGAGACAGTTTCATTTTTTTGATACAGTCGAAAATCTTTTTGTTGGTTGCAGGGATTGAGTGGGTTTTCAGTACGTGTTGATTCATGTTTCGATAAAATTCATCCGCTTCCAGAATTTCGCAAAAGTTAAGACCGAAGACGGCGTTATCACCTTCTATCATTTGGAAAAAGGTGTTTGGTGTTTCGTAGACAAATTGTTTGTAGATTTTTTGATGCCATAATAAGGATGCGTCAAGTGGTGAGTACAATTTTAAGTAGTGACATTGCTTTAACTGGTCGAAGAGTAAATACAGAACGCCTACATGAATTAGCATCCATTTGGATTGATGGCTTTGGTATACTTGTACTATACCTGTTGCCAACGTCTATTAAATAATTACATTTGATTTTTTTAATTAATGATAAATTAAATTAAGTTAAATGTATTTATTATAGAGGATTACTTACATCACTTGTTGATTCTTCGTTTTTGAAAAGCTCGATGAACATGAGTGCCTCATTTTCTGGTAAACTATTGGAAAGTTTAATTATTTTCATGGTCACTTGTAGGTATGTGCTGAACTACTGGGCAGTTTGAGTATAATTGAGTAGCAATTTCATTTCAAGGTATTGTATTGGTTCTTGATATGTTATGACTAAGGCACGATTGTTTTAGTAATTGTTTAACTCAAACTTATAACTGATATTTTTAAAAATATCACTGCTTTATGTTAAATTTATATTACTGTTGAATTTTTACCATGAGTTTATCTTCGTTGCCGACTAAATTATTTCGTTTGATCGTGTTTTTTTAATGAACAAAGTTGTGATCTCTGATAATTAAATTCTATCATATAAAAATCACAAAATCTGTTGGTAAGCGCATATCTCAACAACGCCTTGACCAATTTGACCAATTCTTTTTTTTAAATGTTCGTTAAAGTCCAAGGATGGTTTTTACAGCGAGAAAAATTCGAAAAATTGCCGTAAAAACCCTAAAGGCAGCCCTTTTCTACAGGATAAAAGTTGGCATTGAGATTCAATCATAGTTATAGTTAAATAGTTGAATCTGAGATGGCGCGCTGAATTTAATTAACAGCAATTCTTTATATAATTAATTTCTTTAAAATAAAATTACGAATATTATTAATAGAATTGACACATACTATGTCTAGAACAAGAGGGTTACAGGGCTAAAAGCATTGTAAAAATCTTAGTTGATATTAGTAATTGAATAAAACAAACTGATTTAATTGCACGTTTATAGGCAACCAAGTTTGCCACGTGTGAAGATTGCAAAAGTACAAATGCTTTAATGACACAAGATTGTAGGTATAAATATTTGATCATTATTGTTTTAAAATATTGCATGAAAAGTTTAAACTTGTTTTCACTTAGATTATCATATTGAGATTCACAATGTTTAAATATTAACGAAGTGAATTTTGCATATGTTACATTTTAATTACAACGTATTTCCTAGGTCTGTTAAAAATTGATTCCTTACTTAACTGATATAACATTATATAAAAGGCACGCATTATGCACGCGTTTATTTCTAGTTTTGTCACCAGCAGCGTTAAACAAAATGGAAAAACACACGACATATTTCTACCACCCGGTGAATGTCTTATTCTGGACGGGTTTACAAATCTACGACATCGAAGACAAACGTTTAAACATGTTATATAAATTATACACCTTTTTGGTAATGGGCGTTATCGGTGGCGGTTATCTCGCCAGCGAAATAGCATTTACCATAGATCACATGGATGATCTTGAGGTGTTGACATTTGCTCTGGGTTATGTGATGGCGCACACAATCAGCGTTATAAAACTACTTCTGTTAATCAGCAAACGTAAAGCCGTAGGGAAATTTATTTCGTCCCTCGAGCAAGGCGAATTTTTACCGAATTTTGAACGTGGTGGAGACGAAGAGAAAGAAATAATTGATTACGCTGTATGGCGGTCGATGATGCAGGGAAAAGTGTTTATCATCACCGTCGGGATATTGGTAGCATCAAATTTTCTTCAGGGGTTGATTAGTACGAAACAAATGTGGGATGAACATCGTGCCAATATGACGATTACTCCACAGCCGTTTCCGTATCCGTCCAAATTGCCGTTTGCTTTCAGTTCACAACCAGTTGTTGCGTACTTTTTAGCTTTAGTTTATCAAACATGCTGTATATGGGTATTTGCAAGATATCTTGGTCATTCAGATACAATCATCACTGGGTTGATGATGCATGTCACCGCTCAGTTTAAGATCGTCACCAACTCTTTGCTTAATGTTTTGAGCAAAGCAGAAAGAAATACGAATATTTATGTAGAAAAGAAAACGTTAATTATGTAACCACAATAACATAAATTTTTAGCTCTCGAAGATTACAAAAAATAAATCTCTGGAAGTTTATGGCGAGCAAGATATTGATTCAGGTTTAATTAAAAAATTAAATGCTAATTTATTGCTTTGTGTCAATGATTGCGTTAGGCACCACAACGCCATTTTGGATTTATTGGATAACATGGAGAATACCTTCAACGATTTGGTTCTGGTTCAACTCTTGGGGTATTTAATAGCAATCTGTGTGGGAATGTATCAACTACCTATGGTGGATTTATATAATAAATTATATTATAATGAGAATTACGTAAAAGTATTAAATATTTTAGGTGGAAATTGCAAGTGCTACTTTTATGAGTACCGTGTCGTTTACGCTGGCAATGACGTTCCAACTGCTAATTTACTGTTGGAACGGCAATGAATTGTCCTTGCATAGTGTAAAAGTCGCTGATGCCGCTTTTGACTGTGCTTGGGTCGGATCCTCGAAAGCAGTTCAGCTGAGCTTGGTGCTTATTATCCAACGCGCTCATCGTATCTGTTATCTGACAGCAGGGAAATTTGTTGATCTTACATTGGAGACTTTTATGACAGTGAGTGAAACATTTTGAGTGGGAAGAGAAAAGGTACTTGTTAAATAAAATGGTTTTTTGTTTGTTTCAGATTATACGTGGATCATTATCTTACTCTTTGGTTCTACGCACGGTCAACGAGGAAGAACTATAAATATTGTTTACATAAAAGTTATTGTTTACACTAACTTACTAACTTACTGTTTACACCTTAGTAAAACATAAAATACTGAAATATTTATTAGAGAATACCTGCACGTGATCAATTTAGTGCTTAGTGTAATAATGGATTAAATGTTAACATCTAGAACTAACGCAAATGATAAAAATGTAATAATGTTTCATAATTTTTATTTATTTGTTTGCAGCTGGCAGCAAAGTCATTATCCTCCAAAACCCGGATCCCCTGATTTTAACCTGGGATCTGTTTTGGTACTTCCTGAAACACCACTACCTGAATGTCACTAGACAGCTCGTTGTTCTCTCGAACGTAAATAATTTGAATTATAGCATTCCAAATTGAAAATTTTTACTACAAAGAATAAGAAACACTAATTTAATTATACGAATATCTTACTAGGCATGTATATTTAATTCAACTACTAGCTACTGCCCGCGACTTCCGGTAGTGTTTGATAAAAATGTAATATGGTTTAACTCCCATTTTGTGGTTTTACTCCCATGTTCTAGACATAGTATGTGTCAATTCTCTTAATAAGATTCGCAATTTTATTTTAAACAAATTAATTATATAAAGAATTGCTAATAATGCGCTATCTCGGATTCAACTATTTAACTATAACTATGATTGAATTTCAATGCTAACTTTTATCCTATACAAAAGGGCTGTCTTTGGGGTTTTCCTGGCAATTATTCAAATTTTTCTCGCCGTAAAAACCATCCTTGGACTTTAACAAACATTTTAAAAAAATAATTTGGCAAATTGGTTTAGGCATTGTTGAGTTATGCGCTTACCAACACATTTTGCGATTCATTTTTATATTATAGATATTACTTAAGCTAATTACTTAATCCAGAAATAACTGCACCCTGGGATAATAATGCAACTTTAATAAATTCCATAACTGACATGAACTGATTTAATGACACAGTCCGCAGAGGAATTCGCATATGTTTTCGTTCTTAATCATATCTATATCCATAGATTCCCACACACAACCGATAAATTAGCATACTCATTTTCTTCTTTTAATTACAGAGCACAAAATGATATTAAAATGAATTACTTTTCCTTTCCTTATATATACCCAACATTTAGAGTTTCCTTGCTAGTTTTGAGAGAATATTTCTTTTTCTAAAACATGGAGAAACACACTACATATTTCTATCGTCCAGTAAACAACTTATTCCTATGGGGTTTGCAGATCTATGACATCGAGAATAAATATTTCAATATTTTGTACAAATGTTACTCTTTTGCTATGTTGGGAGTTCTCGGTTTCGGCTACCTTGCAACCGAGATAACATACAGTTTGGATCATGTCTATGACCTACGACAGTTTACATTTTCCCTGGGCTATGTGATGGCTCATACGATCAGTGTGATTAAACTAATTTTATTCGTATTTAAACGGAAGGCAATCGGTAGATTTGTTTCATCTTTAGAACAAGGTGAATTTCTACCGAGTTTCGAGCGCGGTGGAAATGCAGAGAAGAAGCTCATTGACGACGCAATATGGCGGACAAAAATGCAAGGCAGAGCTTTTATTTCCACCGTTGGATTATTGGTGGGGTCCAATTTTGTTCAAGTGGTAATTTATACAAAACAAATGATTGCTGAACAACGAGCTAATGTTACCATCAGCCAGCCACCATATCCTTACCCTTCTAAGTTACCTTTTCGGTTGAGTTCTAATCCAGCCGCGAGTTATTTCCTTGAATCCTTTTATCAATCGGCATGTGTTTGGATTTTTGGTTTGTATCTTGGTTATTCTGATATGATCATCGGTGGACTGATGATGCACGTCACAGCGCAGTTTCGAATTGTCACTAATGCCTTGCTTACTGTAATGGATAAAGCCGAAAGGAAAACTAATATTCAGGTATGTTATGATTTTACTTTCAGCAACACAAAAAAATTAATAATAATTTTATACCTATAGCTTGCTAATATATGGGAAGACAATTCAGTAATGGAGGTTTATGGAGAGCGATATATAGATCCAATTATAAATCAGAAACTCAACGATAATTTGTTGATTTGCGTGAATGATTGCGTTAAGCATCACAATGACATTCTTGATTTATTGGAAAACATGGAGAATACTTTTAATGACTTAGTTTTAATACAGATATTAGGTTATTTGATAGCAATATGCGTCGCTTTATATCAAATGTCGTTGGTAAGTTGGTTTTAAATTATGTATTGTAATTGCATAAACTTATGTGTTTTTGTAATTGATAAACTCAAAAACGGCAGAACAGATTTTTAATATTCTTTCACCAATTAAAAACTGTCTAAAAAGTGAGTAGCATGAGATGTATTTTGGGTAGAAAACAAATAGTTACATAATTCATATTATTGCCTAAATGAAATCATCTTTAAGAAATTTATTTATTTCTAGGTTATACGCGCGACTTTGTCTGAGTAGTTTCAGTAAAATCGAAATTAATTTTTACATTCTTTTTAAAGACCTTGTATGTGTCCATTCCATTAATAAGATTTGCAATTTTATTTTTTAAAACATCAGAATTGCTACTAATTCATTGCCGCGCCATCTCGGATTCAATTATTCAACTAAAACTATGATTGAATTTGTATACCAATTTTCAATCCATATTTAGCACCCTTCACGTCATAATTTTCGATATTTTAATAGTTATTCTCCTATCCAGAGCAAAGACAAATCCAACAAATCACAAATCATCAAAATCTGTCCAGCCGTTCTAGAGTTATAAATGCTGTAACAAACGCAACTTTAAAACATGTGTATTGATTAAACTACATGTTTTAGACAAAAATTCCAAGCGCGTCATTCATGAGTACGCTGTCGTTTACAATGGCAATGACATTCCAATGTCTCATCTACTGCTGGAACGGCAATGAAGTGTCTTTGTACAGCGTAAAAGTCGCCGATGCCGCTTTTGACTGCAGATGGATAACTTCTTCAACAGCAGTGAAGCTCAGCCTGGTGATGATCATCCAGCGTGCCCAGCGACTTAGCTATCTTACTGCTGGAAAATTCGTCAGGCTTACACTAGAAACATTTATGTCGGTAAGTTAATTAACATCGTATTGTATTTCATATTATTGAACAAATTTTTTATTTCCTTAGATTTGCCGTGGAGCGATGTCGTTTTCATTGGTTTTAAGGACCGTCAACGAGGATGAAATTGCATAAATGTTAATTACCTAACCTCACACCTCACCTATTATAGTTAACCTACGTAATTGATGTCACACTAATGGTTGCATATTTATTTGTGAATCTTGCACGTGTTTGAACTAAATTATAGTTTACACTGCATCACATCAAATCTTTACCTGTTTAGATATTGATTTGAGAAATCCGCACATGTCACCCACTTAAATTATAAATTAGGATAAACTTTCTGCAAACTTTTAGCAATTTTAACAAATAACAAACAAACTTTTAAACTGTCAAAAATTCCTTTAAACATTTCATATCCTTATACTTAGTTAGTTATTATATAAAAGCAGAATGTTTTCAATTTTTTGTATAGTTATCATAAACATGGAAAAACACACCACTTATTTCTATCGCCCCGTGCAAAACATGCTCTGGGGCGGCGTAAAAATCTACGACATTGAAAATAAGTATCTAAACATTTTACACAAAATATATTCGTTTCTCTTGATCGGAATATTTGGTTACGGCTACATTATAACCGAAATAATCCACGTTTACTATCACATCCACGATATGGATGAGTTCACATTGACTCTGTGCTACTTAATTCCTCATTTTATCGGCATTGGAAAGGTGATTATCTTCCAAGTGAAGCGGAAATCTATCGGTCGATTTATCACATCTCTCGAACACGGCGAATTCCTGCCGAATTACGAACGCGGCGGTAATGAAGAGAAAGCCATAATTGATTACGCGAGAGCAAGAACAAACCTGCAAGCGAAAGTGTTTGGTATTGCTGTCACAGCAATGATAAGCTCGAGGATAATTCAAGTTAGTTTTCATACGAAACAGATGATTTACGACGAGTATACAAATATGACAAATTTTGAGCCGGTGTTTCCTTATCCGTCAACGCTGCCATTTCCTATTAATTCCGATAAGGCTATGGGATACATTTTTGTGTTTGTGTATGAAACATTTAGTATGATATTATTTGGATGGTATCTGGGTAATTCCGATGCAATTATCACCGGGTTGATGATTCACGTTAGAGCGCAGTTTAAAATCGCAACGAATGCGTTACTAACTGTAATGGATAAAGCTGAAAGAAATACAAATATTTACGTATGCAATATATTATTTTTAAATGTTTTATTAGAAAATAAAAGGTGTGTTATTCGCAGCCGTCCAAAATGTTTGAAACACTCATTACTTTGGAAGTGTACGGAGAAAAAGAAATAAACGCGAGTTTAAGGAGGAAATTAAACGATAATTTATTGATTTGTGTGAAGGATTGCATTCGACACCACTACGCAATTCTTGATTTATTGCAAAACATGGAGAATACTTTTAATGAGATGTTATTACTTCAGTTTTTAGGTGATTTGTTGACTATGTGCGTTGGTTTGTATCAAACATCATTGGTAAGTATACGTATGTGTATATTGGGTTGCCTAGCATGAAACTAGGTTTAGCAAAACATTTACGTTTATTACACATAAAATCGTTATTTTTTACTAGTAAATTGATGAGTTATTCAGTGCGAAAAATAAATTAATGACTTAACATCATTAAATCCATAAATATCACATTCAGGATATAATTTTCTTGAAATGCAATTGAAATGCAATTCGTGCCAATTTTGGAAAAAGTTTTGTTCTATTTTCGATAATGAGATATTAATGACAGGAAAGCAAATATCCGTCGCTTTGCAGCGTAATTGTGCGCTGTGCGGTCGACGATTAAATCATCAAATTGAATGATTGCAGCTGCCGATCATGAATCCGTCTTTCGTGAGCATGGCATCGTTCACGGTGGCGATAACGTTCCAATTGCTCATCTACTGCTGGAACGGAAACGAGGTGTCCTTGTACAGTGAAAAAGTCGCCGATGCCGCGTACGATTGTCGGTGGCTGAATGCGTCGCGCGAAGTCAAACTCAGCCTGCTGTTGATCATGGAACGCGCGCAGCGGCGCAGCTACCTGACGGCCGGGAAATTCTCGAAACTTTCGCTGGAGACCTTCACGGCGGTCAGCATCCGGAAACTGATTAATGATGGATTGAATAAGTGTGTTTGATTTGTTTTAGATTTTTCGTGGGTCAGTATCGTACTTTATGGCGTTACGAAAGTTCCATGAAGCTGGAATATACGAGTAGATAATTTTCATTGCGTGTGCCCCTTCAATAGATGTCGCTTTATATTATTAGTTCATAACTAACATAACCATGTCTACAAAAATTGTTTTCTATGTTAATGTTTACGGTTGTGATTTTAATTTTATATTGTTTGACATAATCGACAAAAGTAAAGAAAATAGAAGATAATTCTATCGTAATAACCAGCCTGAAATAAATTTAATCTATGTAGGTATATGTAAAACAAAGTCGTGTTAGTTAAAACATGTATAACTCACGAACGGCTTGATAGATTTTGATGATCTGTGATTTATTGGATTTGTCTCTGCCTTGAATAGCAGAATAACTATTAAACTATCAAAAATTATAACTTAAAGAGTGTTTACTAAGAAATAAAAATTGATATTTAAATTCAATCATTATTATAGCTAAATATTTGAAACCTAGATGGCGCAAAAGTGCATTTTCAGTATTGCTTGTTCTTTTTAAAAGAAAATTTCAAATCTAATTTTAAAAAAATAAATAAATTACATTTTTACTAATTTTACTTTACTTTTACTTTTTCACTTTAAAATTAATCTTAAGTGTTTCTCTAAAACTGAAGTTTGGTAACAATAAAATTTATATTTTGATAACTAGCAAGTTAATAAACGATAGAGTTGAGTTTGGTGTAATCGGTGTAATGTTTGTATTATGCGCAATATTGACATAACTTCTAGGACGCTGTTGTGCGTTATCGCCGCTAGTTCAGTAAATATGACACGGCTGAATTGATTTGAACGACATTATTGTGTGATTTGTAAGTTGCGGCAGACAAGCAGTCGCTTGTGGACACAAGGCGTAAATCGTAAATCGATCGACTCATTCATCGACTTTATTGTGACTGTGGTGTTTCCTAATCATCAAATACTGTGATATCCGGTGTTTGCAGATAATGATAATGTGCTCTCACCATAAAAAAAAACTAGCTGTCTATGCGATAGAAGTGCATGTATTTTTATTTTAATGATTAATTGAGTTGTTGAATATCGTCAAAGATGTTTTATGGATGATGTCGCCCACGTGCGCAGTTTCGTGCCGTCGGCGTACACGCGAATCGATTAGTGCTAAAAGGAGAATGACTTCATTCATAAAAACCGCTTCCTGTCTGCAAGCAAAGGCGTTTGCCGAGCGAACGTGTTTTGTTTGCTCGCAATGCGCCGCGCATCGACCTGCAGTGTACTTCTTGTACCACTTGAGACACTTGAAACAACGCCAATGACTCAAAACAAACGATGCTAATGAATTGCTCTTCGTGTGTATTGCGTGTATCAAATATCTCATTTCAATATTGCGGCACGTGAACTATTTTTGTCTCTGGGTGATAAGTGAGGTTATGAAGTGAAATTGCACCATATGAAACAACTTCCGGTAGACTACATTCATAGCATTGGTCAAGGTTTAGCGCCAGTTCTTTGTATTATCGTTTATGTTTATTCGTTTTTCTTAGAAAGTGTTTTGCAACTTAGTTTGGATTTGCAATTCGTTGATGGTATCAAGATTCGGAGAAAATTTTATGTTGTTGACATCAACGACGTGCAAAAACATTAATTCAGGGGAGGCTTTTCTTGTTTTTAACGTATATGTATATAAAAGAGAGTTTTGTTAGTTACACCATTAATAACTCAAGAACGGTTGGACAGATTTTGATCATCTATGATTTTTTCCTTTCGTCTTTTACTAGAATAACAGAATAACTATTAAAATATTAAAAATTATGATCTAAAACGTGTTAAACAAGGAATGAAAATTAACATAGGGATTTATCGCAGTTATAGCTAAATAATTAAATCTGAGATGGCGCTAAAGTGCATTTTTAGATTTTTTCATTTTTTATAATAAAATGGCGAATCTAATTGGTGGAAGCGACACATACTGAGTCTCAAACAAGATAGCAAAAATTAATTACATTTTTACTTAAAACTACACTGGTGAAATCACGTTCTTGCCCTTGAATCTTAAATCTGCTATATGTAGCTACGCCACTGGTCTGATCTGGCTACCATTACCTATCCCACTTTCTTAAGGACGCCTTACGATTACGAGCGAATAAATATCTCGTAAAATTAAATTATGTCATCGTCACTTCCTGTTTCCTGTCGCAGACAACACAAGAGTGCCAAAATAAAAATAAAACGATACAGTGTAATTATTTATCCCCCACTACTTTTCCAGTAGAAAATATGTACGTGACGTGTTTTCACAATCGACAAAAATAAAAAAATACGTGTTACATACCACATAAAATATTTCATTGAATAATTAGCAATATTACGCCATCAATGACGAATGAAATGATGTGTTGATGACGGAGCTGTTTTATTACATTTGTCATCGATCGTCACTACGTCGAAATCATGTTCATGCTGATTGTGATCATAATTCACAATCTGTGCTAATATTAACAAAACTGTTTGCTTAATAAATAAATAATTCTATACAACTAGGCAACATTCACATTACTCTCTATTTTTAGGCTTACCTAGAATTATGTTTTACTATGTGAACTAATAAAACTGTTTAAATTCTGCATACTATCATAAAACTAAAATGAAACGTTGTAACAACACGTCTACGTGATCAACATCAGCAGAGCACAGCACAAAGTAAACAAACGAATTTATAAATGAATGAATGAAATGTTTGGAGTGTGTAATGTTCTAACTTACCTTGCAGAGTGAGACTGTTTAAATGTCTATAAAACTACTGAATAAATATATTTTAATCCATTTATCTTCGTTTTATTATATTTTTTATTTTTACGAGTCTAGCTATATTTTTAGGTTAAATAAAAGCAGACGTTGTCAATTTTTAGTACTGGATGGCGCCGCCATTGTCAAAAAATTGCAACTTATTTGTTTATTTTTAGCCTAATAATTACTAATTTAAAGCTAACAGTAATAATAATTATAATTCATGGAACTACACAGAATTGCCGTGCATAATAATTCTATTGTATTGATGTACAAACGATCGTTAGCGTCCGCGTTAGATTTTTTTTTTCGTTTGTAAGTCTATTTCTTTATTCTTTATATTCCTGCAGAGCGCGTTACTCCAGTTCCCATGCGCGCGTCGCGTTGTTTTTCTTAGTTTCTAATGTTTCAACAATTTTCTGTTATTTTCGTTCGCACCGGTTCGCACCATTGTTTTTCGTGATTGTTATTTTTTCTACGGTGGAAACTGAAACAAACGAAGACCAACACGCGTCATAAACAAACGAGACGCGTTGGTTATCAACTGATTTCATCGAGATGTGATCAAAATTTGCACATAATGTCATAATTATATTGCTGCGAGCATGATTATTACACAGAACACACCTTATTCATATCTCATTACTGTTTATCAGTGATTAATGTGATTATATGCGCATTGTTTCGAGTGAAATTAGTTTGCAATGAATTAAACTAGTGGGGAGAAAATAGTTTCATACAGTTGGCAACACTGTTGCTGACGCGTCAGTGTGTATAGTTTGTAAAATATACATAACCTACAAAATCATATTTGAATTGTGTTGACTTGCAGTGTGCTGAATAGAATTGTGAAGCAGATTTTCATCCACTGAAATATTAATCTGTTTATTTCTAGGTTTATTCTTGAAGTTTATATTAGTACCGAACAAAATACCATCTTGATAAGTACTTGAGTGAGATCTACGGCTAGATATAATTGCGATTCGTGCAAGTTGAGTTTTGCGACAATCGCGACCGTGGGAGAACCGCTGTGAATAACTGAATGAACTGGTTTTACAATAAGAAAATGCACATTGCTCCTGATAGTAAAAATACTCACACATAATAACAATAATAAATGTCATACAAATTTATTATTGAGATACAAAGTGACGTCACGCTGTATAAAATAGCGACATCTGCGTCACAAGTCGAGAGAAACATATTCACCAAAAGTAGCAAATCAAGCCAAGTATTTATGAACAATGTGTTACGCACAACAATGGCGCACGTCACACGTCGTCGGATCAAAGCGCGTATTCACCACATGGCGCGTCGGACACGAACGCAATCTCTTCGTGCGTTTCACACTTTGCACGTAGGTACACATACCTACATACGACGCGCTTGGTGCGCCACAATGACGAATTAAAATTACACGAATTATTACTTCAAGTAGGCGCGACGCCAGGGCATTGAATTCGGAATTCATGCGGGCATGATGAGACGACAGTTAGATGCGGTTTTATTGCTTGCGTTTCGCACACTATCTGCTACAATTATGTGTAATATTAATTATGAGATGAGAAAAATGGGATTCATTCATTGATACAGCGTGTGGTATTTATTGTTATTATGTTATTCTTTTGTTTTGGATGTCAAAAGGTTAAATTTGTAAAAGAAGAAAAAAATTAGCTTTGTTCGCGATTTTTAATAAAAATGTAATTAATTTTTGTTTTCATGTTCAAATATGTGTCGATTTTACCAATAACATTGCCAATCATTTAAAAGAAATTAGAAATGATAATAATGCACTTTAGCGCCATCTAGAATTCAATTATTTAGCTATAATTATAATTGAATTTCCATACCAATTTTCAATTCTAATTAACTCACTTAATGTCATAATTTTTTAATATTTTATTAGTTATTCTGCTATCCAGGATAGAGACGAATCTAACAAATCACACATCAACAAAATTTGTCCGGCCGTTCTCGAGTTATAAATGTTGTAACTAACACAACTCTGTTTTATATATAGATATTGTATTTATAGTTTAAAACTGTACAAATTATACATATTTTAGTTCTTGTAATATTTAAGATTAAGTTCCGTTGACGTTTAATTATCTAGTTAAAAATGTCTTAAATTAATTTAAAGTTTCTTGTTTAATGTTTGTTTAACACGTTTGGATGCTTTCGAGATGAGTATAAGTTCGTACTGCTACAGCTAATAAAATTAAAACGTTCAACTCTATTAAAGGGATGTGATTAACGAGCCGGCGTCATAAATATTAATAGAGGAAGGAAGGATGCGCCCGAGCCATATCCGATGCCACTGAATTTAAGGTTTGACTTGACTGATGGCGGTGATAATGCGATGACAGTACTAACTACACACAACGCACTTGTGCAAACACTTTTTTCATAAATCTGCATTGCAGTTGAATAATGCTATTGAAAAAAGTTTGGTATTTACATTGTGACTGTACTGTACATTAACCGTATACCTAACTTTTATTGTGTAATCTATGCTAGGAGAATCAATGGCTGGAAGAGTTTTGAACAATTACAGAAAAAATAATTTTTATGGTATCTGGTAATGACATACATTATTAGACATCGTATATAAGTGAATTTTTGGGAAAATAAAGTGATTTTGAGAAAATAATTCGTTGAAAAAAGAATTTTCTAAATTTAAGATTTATGAAACTTTGGAAATTAAAAGTCCTTGATGTAAGAAATTAGCCAATGCACCTTAAAATGCAAGAATATTATTAGGAATGCATCAAAAATGGAAATAAATAAAGCTTAAAACCAGGAACAGATGATTAAGTCAGAAATTATTGCAATCGACCAACAAAAGTGCAGCCAAACATCCTTTTATGTTGCTTTTGTGACGAAAATTTAGAATTTTAATTCATTTGAACCTATTTACTAACGTTGATAATGCAATATTCAAATAAAAAGAAAGAAAAAAATTAGACAAAACCCGATCATGCTTCCAACCATGTTTTGTACTTTTGATGAGTATCAATTTCCCCACAAGAAGCTACCATTACGAAACCATGACATTATTAAAATAACCACTAATATTACGACCACAAAACACATTTCCCAGCTAATCAGGCGTAAAACGTATTGTGTGACGTGTGTAGAAATTATGCAAAGGGATTGAAAGGGCGATGTGCGCTGATACAGGATGGAAAATCCAATTAGAAGGGTGTAAAGTTATGCGGCGCTGAAACGCGTGTAGGAAAGCATTGGAAATGTATTTTTAGACCGCTGCCAACTTCAAAGGCTCGCTTTCCATTCAAATTAACACAATCGACGTCCGGCGATCACGCCAACGCCTACACGTTCAACGTGGGCAGGCCAATAATCTATAACCGTGTCACATTGAATTATTCCCGCAATCGCAGGCGATTTTTTCGAAAAATTATTTCAATACTTCTGCTGATAACAATTTAAACAGTTTTGCACAAAGGAATTTTTAATGTAATTAACTTAATCAAGTTGATGCCAGGCAACTGGTGTTAAAACACTTAAAACATTCCGAATCTTTTACATTGCAGTAGGAAAAGCAAGTAGGAACATGTGTAACATATGTAACACCGTCTAACAATGACCGTGTGGGTCGATTTACAGCTCACTGCACTTTTATGACTAAAACATGTCGTGGTTCTTGGGTGTTTAAGTTATAATTCTGGCATTTCCGCCATATATGAATTAAATTTACGCATGGAATGAAAAAAATGTCATTATGTCTTTATGTGCGCAGAATTGAGGTTAGTTTAATGTCTAAGATGGCGGTGATTTCCGTTTTGTATGCAAAAAACAGCAGAAAATCGCATTTAAACATGAATTAGCTCAAATTTTAAAGATAATTAATATATATTCTATTTCTGGTAGTGTTATCATTATACCCCTATACGGCAATTAAACAAACGAGCCTGTAATTAAACAACAAACAACAAAAACAAAAAGCTATCGTTATTCGACGCTATTAATGTTAGCACATTCAAGGTCATGTCACGCCGCGCGATTCATTGAGGTAAACGAGCCGGCATCGCCGGCATGAATGAAACGAAATGATAACGCATTCGAAAAGTGTGTGAATGACACGGCACGAATTGAAAATAATTATTTTCGATTATTGTGCTGTAATTTATTTCGTTTAGCGAATTTGGTTGCCTAAGCAGAGTTTAAACCAAACAAAAACAAGTTTTGTTTCATTATTCGTTAATTTTGAGCACTAAAATATAAATTTAGGCGTTTTCCAGGAAGAGACATGTGCGAACAGTGTAATCGGTGCCAGCTGTAACCTATCATAATACAAACGATACCAAGCAGAACGAGTTGAACGCGTAAACGTAATTTGTCGCGCGCGTCCATTCATGCTTTCGCCGTCGAATCCATTCGAATTGTCGAGTTCGTTCATTCGGCAATATTATGAATGTACTGTGCAAGTGCAATAGTTGTCTTGGCGATCGCTAGAGTTCGCTAGTGGCATATCTCTATCTGTGTTTAATTCAAGCGGAGTTGAGTTTGCGTGGAGTTGTTCCCGGTCGGTCGCCGCCCGCCGATTCACACCATCACACGCAGCGCGCACTCCGGCTCAGTTTCGGTCGCATTCGCGTCGTCGCACGTGCGGTGCTTGCATTGTCGCTGCGCATCCTTTCATCCAGTCGCTAATCATCAAAATCAGCACCACGTCGATTAGCAGTTGATTTTTTTCACGGAGACCAAGCCACGACCGGGATACTACCGAGGCGCGCAAGTGTGTGGTGAGCTGTGCGTTCGTTTACGATCGGTGACGTCACGAAAGCAAACGACAATCGAGTGTTGTTAAACAAAACAAGTGAAACACGGAAACGCATTATATGAAATCGCAATGGGTTTACTCTTGAGCTTTGGTGCGCACAGTGGCGTGATTCGTTTTCATGTTGAAACAAAAGCAAAGCGCCGAGTGTGAAGGGTGTGAAGTGTGAAAAGTGGAAAAGCGGACTGTACTTGTACACTCTGCGCGCAGGCAAGACGCACGCCGCGTGTGTGTCCCATTCAGTTTTTTTTCGACGCACCGCACGAGCGAGAGCGCCAGCAGCGGCAGTGCGACTCGGCAGCGCGACCGACAGACACACGCCGCGGAGAGGATATGGTTAAATAAAACATGGCGTCCGACGACATGAAAGTCCGTGTCGAGGAGCGCCTAAAGATCAAGATCGGTGAGTGCCACAGCCCGCTTGAACAAAGTCTTTTCATGCACGCAGAGAACCACGAATTTCGGCTTCTTTTGGTGGCAGCCCCGATGTGTTGTCATCGCGCGTAACCTCAATTTCCTGGACGCGTTATTTTTGTTGTTATTATTGGCCTACTAAAATGAAGTTTTCCTTTTCTCAATGCAATATCAATTTCAGGTGAAGCCAAGAATCTGCAATGTCGGAACGCGAATTCTGTGCACCGCGACGTCTACTGCACAATTTCCTTGGACCAAGAGGAGATTTTTCGGACTTCAACAATAGAGAAGACACTTAGGTATAAGCATAAATGAGTAAATCTTCAGTATTCATTAATTTTTAATAATTCTCCACTTTGCAGTCCATTTTTTGGTCAGGAATTTCAATTTGAAGTCCCTCGTACGTTTCGCTACCTCTCCGTGTACGTGTATGACCGAGATCGCCACTTAAAACAAGATAAGGTCCTGGGAAAAGTCGCCATCAAGCGTGAGGACCTCGCCAATTACAACAATCGCGATCATTGGTTTGCCATTCGGCCAGTGGACGCCGATTCGGAGGTGCAGGGCAAAGCGAACATCGAACTGATCTTCGAGCATCCGCACGGCGTTGGCAGTAATTCGTTAGGTTGTAATTTCGCGCCAAATAAAAGATTAACGGTGCGTGTGATCGAGTGCGTGGATTTAACGCTGCGGAACGGCTCCTGCGATCCGTACGTGCAGGTGTGCGTGGTGTTCACCAACGACAAGCTGCACTGTAAGCGGACTAAGGTGCGAAAAAAGACAGCGTGCCCGGAGTACGACGAGACATTCGTGTTCGATGCCGGTGAGGAGGGTCGCGAACGTGGTGGAGATGTGGTGTGTCCCGAAACCGACGTCGAAATCTGCGAACTGCAAGTGTCTGTGTGGCATAACGCTGTTGGCGGCGATGTGTTCCTGGGGGAGTTTCGCGTGCCACTGCGTGGACTTCAACAGCAGACTCGGGCGCCGAAAAATGCCTGGTAAGAATTGTTTTTGATTCATTATATTTCGATTCAATTGTGATTGTTTCCCATGGAAATCAGGGCAACAAAAGAATTTCGGAATTTTTCAACGCAAACAATGCGACGGCGAAAAATGAGCTCACAATTCGAGAGCAGCGCGAATTATCTCACTCATTAGACTAAAAATCTGTGCGTCTTTTTATTACGACTAATTAATGCGGAATTGTAATAAAAAACAACAACGCTTTTTTTATCTTAATTGCTAACACTGACGAAGCCATGGTACAAAAAAAGTCATAGATATTTTTAAATTACGCTTCGCGGTCATTATTTTTCGCTGGCCTCACGAGTTTGCGGTTTGATTAACGAATATGCACTCGAGATTTTCGAGAACAAATATCAGTTTTTCATTTATTCCCGTCTACGCCTGTGAATCATAATATTGCGTTGGTGTCGAATGCATAAATTTTTAATCGTGTGTATCCTTGATTGCCCGACCAATCGAATATTTTTGCAATTCAATTCCAGCGCACGTTACTTTACACTCGCGTGCGCGCGCATCTTGTTACATTATTGATTCATTCTGAATTCATGAATGAACCACGCGAGATTGAATCGCATGAATGTGGAAACTACGCGCATTATATTCTAATGCACATTCGAATTGATTGACGGTTATTGATTGTTTTGAGTGTGTGTTGGTTTCGCTGTATTTCATTCATGGTTTTTGTTTTGTTTGTGAAGGTATCTACTGCAACCGCGTTCGAGTAAAAACAAACCAAACAGCTCATGCTCAACACCGCCCGGTACAAGATTGTCGATTGACAATTCGCTAGGATCTCTGAGGCTACAAGTACAATATACTGCCGATCATGTATTCGAATCCAAAGTTTACGCGCCGTTGCGTGCGTTATTATTGAACAGCGTTCGAGCGAGGGTGAGTTTACGACCAGAAACATTCGATTGAATTTATTTAATAATTTTTGTTTTCAATTTAAATAGCCGATCACGTCGAGCGCCGTTTACATTCTGGGTGAAGTCAGCACTAGCAAAATGGATGTCGCCCAACCGTTAGTTAGAATCTTCATGCATCACCGACAAATAGTTCCATTGATTCGCGCACTGGCGGATGCAGAAATCTCCAATTTAACGTATGTTGCAACAATTATTTTTATTTTTTATGTTAATTGTTATGTTAATTTGCTTTTATTCGCAGTGATCCCACAACAATATTCCGTGGAAACACACTTGTGTCTAAAATGATGGACGAAGCAATGCGAATGATTGGCCTGCAGTACCTACACAAGACACTGCGCCCGATTTTGGAGCAGGTTTTCATGGAAAAGAAGCCGTGCGAGATTGATCCAACGCGAGTGCGCGACGCCAACACCATTCAGCAAAATTCCACCAACTTGAAGAACTACGTGCAGAGTGTATTTCGCGCTATTACTGAGAGCGCAGTTGACTGCCCGGCGTTGATGTGTCAGATCTTTCATACGCTGAAGGAGTGCGCCATGTCGTACTTTCCTGACAACCGCGAGGTGCGCTACTCGGTCATCTCCGGCTTTATTTTCTTGCGATTTTTTGCGCCGGCTATACTTGGACCAAGGCTTTTTGATTTGACCAATGAACAATTTGTAAGTTTTTTTTCTTCAATTGTATAAAACAAACATTTAATATTTGATTGTTTTGAATATTATTAGGACAGACAAACGAATCGTACGCTCACGCTAATGTCTAAAACCATCCAATCGCTAAGCAACCTTGGAAGTTGTCGCTCAACGCAGCAGGTGTGCAAAGAAGAGTACATGGAGGTAATTTACAAAGAGTTTTGCACGGAGGCACACGTTCGGGCCGTGCGACAGTTTCTCGAGATTATCTCGGCGAATTCCAATACGGACATGCCGCCCGTTGACACGCCGGTGACGCTCAAAGAAGGGTGAGTGTAGACTACCGCTTGGTTAATCATTTTGTAGACTGATTGAATTATCGCCGCGTCAGCGACTCGTTTTTTGCGCGCGCCTACACGATTAACGCTGCGTTGTTTTTTGTTACTTTTGCGAAGGGAGGCGAAAAGGTAACCACAGCAGTAAGCACGTAGACATTTACGACGCTTGTATTTTGCAGAATTGTATGTGTGTCTAACGAAAATATTACACACAATTAAATGGATTGTTATTGACCTTTTGCGTTGAATATTTCAGAAATATGATAAAGCGTGCTCAGGGCAGGCGGCGTTTCGGCCGGAAGAATTTCAAGCAGCGCTACTTCAAACTGACCACGCATGACCTCAGCTACGCGAAGAACAAGGGTCGCGACCCGCTGTGGCACATTCCGCTATCGAACATTCTAGCCGTGGAGCGGCTGCACGAGCGCTCCTTTAAGATGCAGAACATGTTCCAGATTCTGCAGCAGGAGCGCGTGCTGTACGTACAGGCACCAAACTGCGTAGAGGCGAAAGAATGGATCGATTTGCTTACGAAAATCGTGCAGACGAATAGCAATCGACTAGATCGGTATCATACTTGCGCTTTTATCGATGGACAATGGTTATGGTGATGATTATAAGACAATTTGCTTTTATCAATTCTAATCAATTGTTTTATGTACAGCTGTAAATCGACAATGGAATCTGGCGAGGGATGCACCGAGGTGTCTGCAAAGGAGAGCAATAATCTGCATATGACGCTGGATCCGGAGCGAGACCTGCAACGAATGCACTCACTTGTGATATCGCAATGCACTCGCCTGGAGAACCTGCAAAAGATGTGTCAGATCCAGTATACTGGGACGATACAGGCGGGTAATGTGGTACCCTTCATCGCCGACGACTTGGAAGGCTGCTATACCACTATTCAGCAGATGTTGGAGTGTGCATTTGATATCGAGCAGAAACATCGATCTTATCAGCGTACTCTGGTACGGGATACTGTTCGAGGCAGCAAGTAAGTTTATTCTTCATCGTTAACAATGAAATAAATATTGCAACAAATCGTATTTCTGTATTTTTAGGGCTGCACCGATTGGAGATGACAACTACCTGCATGCGTCGCGAATGAATCTTGATTCGTTTATGCGCACGCGCCGCGAGGAACTGTAACAAAGAATACTATTATTCGAATAAGCCGTAAACCAATTCAATTAGCAAATTGTATAAACAAACACAAAACATGATATTCTTCATTAAGACTGTGAATTAATGTAAGCAAACGAAACACCACTTTAATCTATATTTATATTTACAAGACAAGATGGTTAAGGAAAACTACCAAAATTCTAAAAATTTGACGTATCTATTTCATGAGACATCTGAATCTGAGTTTGCTCATTCACAATGTTCGTACAATCAAAACAATCAAAATGTGACTACAGAAGCGCAATTAGTTCAAGTTAAATCATTGGTACATGGATACATTGATTTTAATTAACGCAAAGTACAAATAATATTAATTCTATATTATGTCTTCTAGAAAAATATTGCAATGTTTGCGATTATTTAACGATTACCGAAAATGAAAGTTTACAAACGTGTTATTTATTGAGAAAACATATACCGTGAAATACTTGCTTTGTGATGTATTTCTTAGGATTTTAATTCTTAAATTTTATTGATTGATGTGAAGTTGCCAATTTCACATTTTATTATACAAGAAGTTACGGGAGGAATTATAGGAGTTTGGCGACAATGAGATGATACTATATTATATACCTAAATACTACGGAAACCGCAAGCAATAATTAAGAACAAAACATATTTTTGTATATTTGTTGTATTGTAAATAGGAAGATTTTATTTGTTGAGTTTGAGCCATCGAAAGTGGGCATTTCTCATTCTTAAATCGTAGATATCATCCAAACTCTAAATCGATTACGCGTCTATTAATAATTAACTAACTTATTAACTCGCATATTAATTTTTATTATTGTTATTTTTATTTTTTGTTATTGCAAAACAAAAACCATATCGCTTTATTATTTCGATGATGTGTGTTCGAAAATGTATAAAATGTATTCATCATTGACGATCATTTGTAAACAATTTTGTATATCACTGAAGCTACATTCAAATTTGTACAGGAATTTAAGTTTTCTCATAAGTTGTATACGTTCTAATTTAATTATTTATTATCGCCGCAAGACGCAACTCTGAAACATTGAAATTCGACTGTTTCGATTGTTATTCATATATTTTACCTAGAGTTGATTGCTATCATTAATTCAGCGTTGTTTCAACGGACAATTACGTGCTATTAATTAACGATTATTATTACATTTGAGATGTATGTACATTAGTGTATATTTTTTATATTATCGATTGTTTGTATGCATTTAATGCGTTTTCTCATTAATATTATTTTTATTAACATATAACTTATTTTTATTTGATAATAAATAATACATTTTAAAATTTTTGTGATGCTTGCTTACTTTTTGAATTTTCTCGTGTTTTCATAGGACTTATATCATTTTATTATAAATTGTTATCTTTGTGTATAATTCTGCCCTCTATAGTCTCTAGGGGTGACGGCAGAAATGATTCGTTTCAGGGCACCGTATGAGGCTAGCAGTAAAAGTGATTCGGGATCAGAGCAACGTAGGGAGTGACGGTAGAAGTGACTCGTGTTCAGAGCACCGTACCAAGGTAGCGGTAGAAGTGACTCGATTCAGGGCACCGTATAAGGGTTGCGGTAGAAGTGACTCGTATTCATAAAATATAATTGTTTTTGGACCATTTAGCCCAGTAACTTTAATTATTTTATATTTTTACCTGATAGAGAATTTTCTAAACATTCAGAATCGTCGAAAAAAATGATTAGGCACCTCCCCCTTTGCCCATTTTTTCTTAGGAATTTAGATTTCATCTCTTAGATTTCCATTTTAACTAGCCTATTTTATAGAACGTAAAAGTTGATTTCGTGTATGTGTGTATTGCCATATTGTTAATTTTTAGTTTCGGCTTCTCAAGTACGTTTCTCTTCTCAAGTACTCGTACGTTTGTGTATAAACAACTTTTTTTGTTTGACTGACTCGTATTATCGCTACGTACCTGCCTTGTATCTGGCTACAAGCAGCGCACACGGTAGTCGTATCACCGCGTGGTTCGCGAACGCGTCTCTCTAATCGCCACACGTTTTCAGACTTCTATTATTCAATTAATCGTCGTGTAATCTTTTCGTTATCAAGAAGATATTCGTAACGAGTATGTGTCGCTGTTTTGTTTGATGAGTTATGGCGGTTAAAGTGTTCTTAAGTAAGAAATAAGTGTCTGTTAATCTCCGCGCGAGTTTTCAGTTGATAAGATATATTCCTGGATCTAAAATCTATTCATCAATGCACTGGTGGGTGTGTAATCACTTTTTTTTGTAAGTTAAGGCGGTTTAACTTAAATTTATTATTTTATTAGACGGATATTAATTTTGCAGGTTACCAACACGTGGTAGTATTTGTATCAAAATTTATAGCCCCATTACCGAAAATAACATCCTTGATTTAATTATTGGGAGTCAAATCTGTTTTTTTTTTTAACTTTTATAATATTCAAAATTGATTGTCAAAACGATTGAAAATTATTTGTCATAATAGATATTTAAGTAAACAATGCTTAAAGGCGGTTGCAATAAGTATTTTGTTTATAATTGAAATTATATTTGAGTTCTTCCTTAAGTGACCCCATTACCCTTTTTACCCTACAACCACTGTATTACAAAAGTATCTTAGGATTATTAAAATCACAATATTCATGTGGTTGACCACGCTCACATTGCCGTCGACCGTCGGCTCGTTCTTCTTTTGCTGAACATGTAAACGTTTTTAATCGAATTACACTCCTTAGCAACATCAAATTAAATCGTTTCTTGTTGATTTAACATCCAGAACATTGAATAGTTTTCGCTATCTTAGTCTCCATATATCTTAATATTTTCAAAAAATAGTTATTTTTATCGTATTTACCAACTACGCGCCGTGGCTTGCAGTCTGCCGATTTGTATGCTTTACGCCGGATGTTCTTTTATATTGACATACGAGTATAAAAATCATTTTTTTTTCATTAAAATTTAAATAGTCAACTAAGAATTAAATTATCTATCAAAATCTGAAAACAGTATTGAAATATTCCTATTATTTCAAAACTGCATTTGCTGAAAAATATTTCGTCATAAAAAAATTTAAAACGTGGTGAGAATAACCTCCGGTATTTAGTGAACTAATTGACCTTCTTAGAGTTTCTTTACGCCAGAATAGAGTTAGAGAGTTTCTCTACAATATGCATAACCTCCAATCTTCCAGTCCCTCCGGAAATGCTCTAAAATGCCCTTCAAAAATGAGCAATTTTAAGAAAATTTGAAAACATGGTGTAGAAAACAGCCTGTATCTATTGAACTAATTGACTTTTTTAGACTTTCTCTGCTTCAGAATAAAGTTAAAGAGTTTCCCTACAAGATACCTAACCTCCAATTTGCCAGTCCTTCCGGAAGTGCCCTAAAATGCCCTTCAAAAATGAGCAATTTTAAGAAAATTTAAAAACATGGCGTGGAAAACAGCCTGTATCTATTGAACTAATTGACTTTTTTAGAATTTCTCCACTCCAGAATGAAGTTAAAGAGATTCTCTATAAGATGCCTAACTTCCAATTTGCCAGTCCTTCCGGAAGTGCCCTAAAATGCCTTTCAAAAATGTGCAATTTTAAGAAAATTTGAAAACATGGTGTGGAAAACAGCCTGTATTTATTGAACTAATTGACTTTTTAGAATTTCTCAACTCCAGAATAAAGTTAAAGAGTTTCTCTATAAGATGCATATCCTCCAATTTGCCAGTCCTTCCGGAAGTGCCCTAAAATGCCCTTCAAAAATGAGCAATTTTAAGAAAATTTGAAAACATGGTGTGGAAAACAGCCTGTATCTATTGAACTAATTGACTTTTTTAGAATTTCTCCACTCCAGAATGAAGTTAAAGAGATTCTCTATAAGATGCCTAACTTCCAATTTGCCAGTCCTTCCGGAAGTGCCCTAAAATGCCTTTCAAAAATGTGCAATTTTAAGAAAATTTGAAAACATGGTGTGGAAAACAGCTTGTATCTTTTGAACTAATTGACTTTTTTAGGATTTCTCCACTTCAAAATAAAGATAAAGAGTTTTTCTACAAGATACATAACTTCCAATTTGCCATTCCTTCCGGAAGTATCCCAAAATGCCCTTCAAAAGTGGGCAATTCGTTAACTTTTTTTCGGTTGAATTTTTTGTAAACTTTTTTTCGCTCAATTTTTTGTAACTTTTTTTCGGTCGAATTTATTGTGAACTTTTTTCAATTTGCCATTCCTTCCGGAAGTATCCCAAAATGCCCTTCAAAAGTGGGCAATTTGTTAACTTTTTTTCGGTTGAATTTTTTGTAAATCGCTCATTTTTTGTAACTTTTTTTGGTCGAATTTTTCACTAGCATGAACTAAAAATTATAAAATAGAATTGTATTCGTTTTGAATCATATCAGCTTTTGTGTATAAACCAATTTTTATCGCATTTGCCGTGCGATATGCTACGCGTAAGATTCTCGTCGCGCTGTCGCATGCCGCACATTTAAGTTTAGTTCTTATCACTGGTACCGTGACGGCTTTGCGCATCTATTGCAAATCGCGCACAAGGTCGCGTGGCATCGACGCGCTGGCTTTGCGCATTTATTGCTTTTACTTGCCGGGTTTATGCAGCAGGCTCAGAGTCTTATTGTGAACTGTCGCATTCTTGCGTGCGCAGTTTCGGCATGCTCTATTGATCGATTGCAGCTAGTTTCGTGCCGGTCTCTGGCGTATCTAGACGGATATCGCGCAACGCGTTTGTTTTATCTATACTTCTATTTTCCAAGTTTGCATTATATTCGGTCAATCGGCTTAGTTGTAATATGCTTCTGCAGTGTTTTCTTAATAAGTAATTGTGCGTTTAATGTGCATAAATGTTTGTTTTGCTTGCTTTTGATGTCTATATTTCAAATTACAATGCTGTGGTTTTATTGTCCGTTATTGTGGGAAGTGGTCGGTCGCTAGATCAATCGGAAACCTATTCGTGCTTGAGTAAGTTACTTTTATCTGACCATTGCGATACTCAGCACAGAAAGTTTGTTTTCTCCCATGTGTGAATATAATATTTATCATATTGTACGAGTATGAAATGTTTTTGTTTTAACTTATGTTTTCTTTTAATTACAGTAATTGCCGTACCCTTGCAATCCTATCAGCGGTGCATTGGTAAGTTTAAAATTAAGTTATATTATTCGGTTAAATGTTTTATCACAATTCACCTGCGTGTTGCAATAGCTTGCGAATTAAAGGGGCCGTATATATTTCACTTAATGGTAATATGGAAAACGAATCATATTGCGGAAAACCTTTGTGAAATGTTCAAATTATTTATCGGATTCTGATAGCGCGAAAAGGGGTTTTGTTAATTTTTTTTGTTGATTTTATTGAGTTTCATTCGGTGTACCGTAGCAGGGTGGCGATAGAAGTGACTCGTGTTCAGAGCACCGTACGAAGGTGGCGGTAGAAGTGACTCGTGTTCAGGGCACCGAACGAAGAAAGCGGTAGTGAGTCCTATTCATTAAATATAAAATATAAATTGTGCTATTCGGAATTGAATAAAAAACTGGGAAAAAGGGCCGTACCGCCTCTCCGATTCTAATACTTTATTTTATAGAGAATATTTAAATTAGTCTCGATGTTGGGAACATAAATTATTTAATTAACTAAGGTCTACAGTAAACTTGTACGAAGACAATTAGAAGACATTAAATTATATATTTGTATTGGTAAATTACAAATTCCTGCTTTTCCTCATCCTTATTGCATTCCAAAACCAATATATTCTTATGCCGAGAAATATTGAAAGTAAAAGAAGATTTCGTGTATGTGTGTTATTTCAATATTGTGCATTTTTACTTTCGCTTTTCAAGTACGTGTTTGCCATTACGTTTGTTTATAAACAACTTTTTTGTTCGACTGACTTGTATTATCGCGACGTACCTGCCTTGTACCTGGCAACGCGCAGCGCACACGGCAGTCGTTTCACCGCGTGGTCCACGAGCGCGTCTCACTACCAGCCACGCGTTTTCAGACTTCAGTTATTCAATTAATTGTCGTGTATTCTTTTCGTCATCAGCAAAATATTCGTAACGACCATGTGTGGCTGTTTTGTTTGATGAGCTGTGGCGGTTAAAGTGATCTTAAGTAAGAAACAAGTGTCTGTTAATATCTGCACGAGTTTTCAGTTGATAAGATATATTCCTGGATCTAAAATCTCTTCATCATTGCACTGGTAAGTGTGTAATTAATTTTTTTTTGCGGAAAGTTAAGTCGGTTTATATTAATTAATTATTCCATTTGAGGGATATTAATTTTGCAAATTACTAACACGTGGTAGCATTTTTATCTGAATGCATAGCCCTGTGTCCGAAAATAGCAAGCATGATTTAATTATTACAACCCTTTTTCGTGAAATATTTGTGTTTTTGCGTGCGATCTAGGCGGCGTAGTAGCTCTACCGTGACGTCTAGAAATGCGGAATTAAATTCTCCGCCGTGTGGTATTTAATTGTTGCAGGAATTCGACCGCTAAAATTTGCATATAAAGGTAATTTTCAGCCCTTTTTCGCGAAACGTTTTTGTTTTTCGGGTTTGCGCGCGATCTAGGCGGCGTAGTAGCTCCCTAGTGACGTCAAGACATGCGGAATTACATTGTCCGTCGTGTGGAACTATCTGTTGCAGGAATTAGACCTGCAACCCGCAAAAATTTACATATAAAGTTAATATTTCAACCCTTTTTCGTGAAATGTTTGTGTTTTTTCGGGTTTGCGCGCGATCTAGGCGGCGTAGTAGCTCCACCGTGACGGCTAGAGATGCGGAATTAAATTCTGCGTCGTGTGGTATTTAATTGTTGCAGGAATTCGATCTGCAACCCGCAAAAATTTGCATATAAAAGTAATTTTTCAACCCTTTTTCGTGAAATGTTTATCTTTTTCGAGATCGCGATCGAGGCGGCGTAGTATCAATTTACGATGATGCTTCTTCCGTCGATTACCTTATGCAGTTGAAGCTATCATCAAATATATGATTATTATTATAATATATTATTATTTATTCTTGTAGCACCTTTTCACTCAACTTTTCTAATGATTTTCGAGTAAAATTTTTGAATTCATATTAAAACCTAGTTGTTTTGTTATAAATTTCCCTCGTTATGATATTGACCATATTTGTAGTTTTAAAAAATTCTGCACATCCTGTATATACGTTTTCCCTACAGTACGTAGTAAATTGCCTATATTTGTGAGTTTTGAGTGTTCTTTGTTTTAAACTTGGGATTTTCCTTCTGGAACACCCTGTATATTTGCTTTTCTTTGTGTGAAAATTTTGCTTTAGTTGTTGTTTTAGGGCTTTCTTTTTGCACTTTAAATTTTCTAATGTTGGAATTATGGATTTAGGTACCGGTGATTTTATTAAATAATTACGAAGTTTAATTGTGAACGATTGCCGTTTATTCAAAATTAGAGTTTTCGGAAGTATGTCTTATCGATATCAAAGTTCGAAACGAACTAACAGCATACAACTCTGTATGTCAGAGTTGCTCTGGTTGTAGACTAAACATCTTGTCATATTTGGTTTTAAGCGGTCTAGACTGCCCTTAATTATACCTAGATTTATGACTCTTAGCTCGAGTACTTTTTCTCCACTACTTGGAAATAAGAAAATAAATCTTTTACATGGTAAATATTACCCTCAAACAGAAAACATATTAAGTTGGAAGAGAATGAATTTTGTAGACGAACTCAAACTTCAACATCTAATTTTTGAATTTCCTGTTTGTGACACCCTGTATAACCGTTTTCCTTCACATCCCTGAAAATTTTGCTTTGAGTCTTATTAGCATTTATCTTCTGGCACTTCGAATTTTTTTGTAACACTCTGTATTTCGTTTCCCATACGTAGGGTGAAAAACGAGTGATATTTGTAGGGTTTGAATGTTTTTGTGTGCACTTTAAATTTTCCTTTTGTAACAGCCTGTATATTTGTTTCCATTTTCAATGACGTAGAAATTGAGCTATTTGCTAATTTCTTTATCCCGGTAGAACTGTACGAAGTGGTACTTGTTTATATATGCGCAGCTAAGCAGGTCGCAAGTCCTGTTTTAATATGGCGACATGTATTTTGTTGACTGGTAAAATCTAAACTTGTATTCTATTGTTAATAAAGAAATAGTAAGATATATAGGCTTCTTTAATTTGAGTGTACCCCTTCTATCATTTCGTGTACAGGTCTCTAAAAGAGTTCCCTCTCTCAGGGATGATCCCCACTGTAAAAATTGTTCAGGTATCCTGTGTGATTTGGGTGTTCCTTCGTTCATTTCAGCTACAGGTCAGAACTTGTAAGAATATTTTTAAGTGTCACCTCTCTTGAGGCGACTTAAAACTTAGAAATATTTGACCAAGACTTTATAAGGATTGTCCTTATAAGGAGTTCCTCTCTCTGGGGTGATCCCCACCATAAAAATTGTTGATATGCCTGAGAATCCTTGGGATGAAGCGTAGAGACATCGTAGCTGTAGGATGGGCCGGGAGCAATGGACGCATCGAAGCAGTGAGCTATCTAACGACACGGGCCAAAAATTTAAAAATCTGATCCTCCCCAGTTGATCTTTCTTCTATCTCCTCTTCTTCTCTACTCTATACTCTCTTGTTCTCTTCTTTCCATCATCTCCTCTTCTCTACTACTACTACTTCTCTTCTTCTTCTTCTCTTATTTCTCTCTGCTCTCTGCTCTCTTGCTCCACCACTTACTTTCTTACTTCTCATATTGCCTTCACTTGTATTTCAATTTCTCTTATATTTCGTTGCAATTCATATATGCAACCCAAATTACACCTGATATTTTTATATTTGAGAAAAATGCCTTTTATACCTGAGATTCGATCCGTGTCTGCCAGCATGCCAGCAGGTGCACGTCTCCACTCGACCACCGAGTGTTTTTATCATTTATATTTGATTCTTCTATTTATGTTTCTACTTTATTCAAGTTTTTAAAACAACAACACAAGCCTTAGCTATAGCTATGTTTCACTCGCTCCACGTGCAATAAGATATATGTGAAACATGACTTAAGACGTCAATACTGAAAACGATAAAAAGGTTACCACAAAGAAATATGCATGAGATTATAATTTTACGTTGTGTTTTATTGGCAACAATAATATTAGATACATTTTATTAAATAGAAAAATATCGACAGCTACCAAATTCGGGAGTAGTAAAAACTTGCCTTAAAATACGCGCATCTCCAACACTTCACCTATAGATATTGCAAACTCCATTCATACAAACACAAACAAATAATTATATATCCAAGTTATTCTTATGTGCGAAACGATAACTGATTGCCGACGGACACGTGAACCGAGAATTAAGCCACGATTGATAAACACAGCAGCATGCAATCACGCTTGGAAAACCCCGGTCACCACCGTTTCGGTATATGCCGTTAATTGCTTAACAAACATAAATCAAAGTACTTAATTATGATCTGAAACAACAGGACTAGTCGTGATGAACAAGCGCGTCTCACCCGATGTCCAGAATAGAACTGCGTGTGCAGCAAACTGCACACAGCCAACAGCGACAACACGAGGACACTATCAGTATTGCGCGATACGTTCGTGTCATGCGATAAAAAATTATTTACATACAAGCATCGCGCGTACATATCTAAACTATGAATGCATAGCAGCGCCAGCGTTGGTATTACTAGCGCACTCGCAAACATTTGAACGGGGCCACACTGGAAATCTTTAATCACCAGGACAAAATATTTGGTAAATGGCAAAATAAATGGAGATTAATTTTAAAGTGCTTCCCGATACTCAAATGTATTAAAATCGAGTCAAGGAAACGGGATATAGATATAGACCTTTTTCAACCACAACTTTTCAAAAATGATCAAAATTGCTGACTTCCCGTCAATTGAGGGTGACTGAATGTAGTTCATAGGATTAAAGAAACCTTCTTCTCTCATCTGAAGCAAACATAATTAAAATCGAGTCAGGAAAACGTGAGATACAGGGCGGTTTCCACTACAAATATTCAAAAACGACCAAAATTGCTGAAGTTTGAGACTGATTTAAGGGCATTTCCCGACAATTGAGGGTGACTGAATTTCCTTCATTCGATTAAAGAACTCTTTCTCTCTCACCTGAAAAAACAGAATTAAAATCGAGCCACGGATACGCGAGATACAGACTATTTTCCATCGCTACTTTTCAAAAATGACAAAAATTGCTGAAGTTTGAGTGATTTAAGAGCACTTCCCGACCCTTGAAGGTGAGTGAATGCAATTCATACGATTAAAGAGCTCCTCTTCTCTCATCTGAAGCAAACAGAATTAAAATCGAGTCAAGGAAACGAGAGATACCGACCATTTTCCACCACAACTTTTCAAAAATGACAATAGTTGCTGAAGTTCGAAAGTGATTTAAGGGCACTTCCCGACCTTTGAGGGTGACAGAATGCTGTTCATACGATTAAAGAACTCTTCCTCTCGCATCTGAAGAAAAGAAAATAAAAATCGAGCCAGATAAACGCAAGATACAGACCATTTTCCACCAGAACTTCTCAAATATGACAAAATTTTCTGAAGTTCGGGAGTCTTAAATAACTCCCGAACTTCCCGCGCCTGGAGAGTGACTAAAGGCAGTTCATACGATTAAAGAACTCGTTCTCACTCATCTGAAGCAAACAGAATTAAAATCGAGTCAAGAATACGCGAGATTCAGACAATTTTCCATCGCCACTTTTCAAAATGACAAATATTGCTGAAGTTTAAGGGTCATTTTAGGGCACTTCCCGACCCTTGGGTGTAACTGAATGCAGTTCATACCATTAAAGAACTCTTTCTCTATCACCTGAAGCAAACAGAATTAAAATCGTGTAAAGAAAACGCGAGATACAGACCAATTTCCACCACAATTTTTCAAAAATGATCAAAATTGCTGGAATTGGAGATCAATTTATGGGCACTTCCCGACATTTGGTGGTATTAAAATGTAGTCCACTTAATTAAGCAACTCTTCCTCTGTTATCTGAAAAAAATAAAATAAAAATCGAGCCAGAGAAATGCAAGATAAGACAATTTTCCACCAGAACTATTCAAAAATGACCAAAATTGCTGAAATTGGAAATAAATTTAAGGGCGCTTCCCGATATTTGGTGGTACCAAAATGTAGTCCATTTTATTAAGCAACTCTTCCTCCGCTATCTGAAGAAATGAAAATAAAAATCGAGCCAGAGAATCACAAGATACAGACCATTTTCTACCATCTCGACAGCTAGTAAATTCGGAAGCAGTAAAAACTTGCCTTAAAATACGCTCATCTCCAATACTTCAGTTATAGATATTGCAAACTCCATTCGGGCACTCACAAACTTGCCTGGGCACCAAAGTTATCCATTTTGCTGGAATTAATAATAAATCCACGTTATTCTTAGTTGCGAAAAGTTATCCGAGTGCCGGCGGACACAGGCGCGCATAGATGAACCGCAAATTAATCCACGACTGATAAAAACAGCCGCGTCCAATCACACTTGCAAAACCCCGGTCACGCACGATTCTTGTATATGTCATCAATTGTTTAACGAATGTAAATCAATTTACTTTGAAATACAATGGTAGGTAGTACGAGAGGGTGAGTATATATATATATATATATATACTTAACTTTACTCAGTCTATTTACTTTATTATGATGTGAAAAACAAGACTAGTCGCCACGAATACGCGCGTTTTATTCGGTGACCGGAATAGAACTGACTATCAGTATTGCGAGATAAGTTTGCTGAACGCAACAAAAATTGTTTACATACAAGCATCGCGCGTGCACATCTAAAGTATGAATGCACAGAATGGTGCTACTAACGCACTAGGCAAAATTTCTACGGCGCCAAAATGGAAATCATTAATAGCAATGCACAAATTTGACCAAACATAATGAAATTGGAGATCGATTTAAGGGTACTTCCGCACCCTTGACGGTGTCAAAATGCTGTTTCTATAATTAAACAGTTCTTCATTTCTTATCTGAAGCAAAAAGAGTTAAAATCGAGCCAGGCAAACGCGAGATATAGACTAGTTTCCACGATAACTTTACAAAAGCCACCAAAATTGTTAAAATTGGAGATCGATTTAAGGGCACTTCCGGACCCTTGACGGTGTTGAAATGCAGTTTCTATGATTAAACTGCTCTGTCTTTTTTTAATCTGAAGCAAAAAGAAATTTAATCGAAAATAATAAAATTACTCAAATACAAAGACGACCCTGCTATGTTCTACCACAGCTTTACGGAACAAAAAGAAACAGTACGGTTTGGTCAAATGCGATAGAACTGGATCAACTCACGGGCAAAATCACTGAATAAGAAATTGACGATGCTCTTGAGGCGAAACATGTTTACTATTGTAATTCAAATCACGTAAATAATTTAAGTAAAAAATTGTGTTTTATCTTTTTCAATTTTTAGAACAACAATTAATTCTAATAACCAAAAATAGTTTGAAATACTCACTTCTGTTGACACACTTCGAGGACTCCCACTTAAAACAATTACTTTAAAATAAAGTAGGCAAGATAAAGCAAATTGCGGTCGTGGACGTAACGATCGTTGCGGTCTCTGGCGTAACGTCCGTGAGGTATTTCATCACTTTCGCCTCCTAACCTTACATTCTCTTCACTCAAAGTTAACATCTGTTAATGACGTGTGGTTGCAGAAAAATCCAATATAAAAATGCCTTCTGACTTAACCCCGGATCAAAAATACGAGCTCCTTGCGAGAAACCTCCAGGAAGTCCTCGGGGAAGAGAAAATCAAAACCGTTCTTAAAGAGCGCGACTTGAAAATCTACTGGGGCACCGCGACCACAGGCAAGCCTCATGTCGCCTATTTCGTACCAATGTCCAAAATTGCGGACTTTCTACGAGCCGGTGCCGAAGTTACCATTCTTTTTGCGGACCTACATGCTTATCTGGATAATATGAAGGCACCTTGGGAGTTGTTAGCTCTTAGGGTGCAATATTATGAGCATTCCATTAAGGCAATGCTACAATCCATTGGAGTCTCCATTGATAAGCTTAAATTTGTCAAAGGGACTGAATATCAACTCAGTAAAGAGTACACTTTGGATGTATACAGAATGAGTTCAGTCATAACTGAGCATGATGCAAAGAAAGCTGGTGCTGAAGTTGTCAAACAAGTTGAACATCCTCTTCTAAGTGGACTGCTATATCCAGGTAAGCTGAGGAAAAACTAACAAAACAAATTTGCCTAAATGAATAATCTTCCAATAGTATAACTTTAAAGGTCTGCAAGCTCTGGATGAAGAATATTTAAAAGTCGACGCCCAGTTTGGAGGTATTGATCAACGAAAAATCTTCACGTTCGCCGAGAAATACCTTCCGCAATTAGGTTATCAGAAACGCGCGCATTTCATGAACCCCATGGTGCCAGGTCTTACCGGCGCAAAGATGTCCTCCTCTGAAGACGAGAGCAAGATAGACCTACTTGATTCCCCCGCTGATGTGAAGAAAAAGTTGAAAAAAGCTTTCTGTGAGCCGGGAAACATCGAAAATAACGGTATTCTCTCGTTCGTGAAGCACGTAATCTTCCCACTATTCAAACCGGATGAGATGTTTGTTGTGCCCAGAAAGGAAGAGTTCGGAGGTGACGCCAAGTATGATACATTCAATGCTTTAGAGAAAGCATTCGCGGCGGAAGAAGTACATCCGGGCGATTTGAAAACTGCCACTGAGAATTACATCAATAGGTTGTTGGAACCAATTAGGAAAACCTTCCAGGATCCTAAACTGAAGGCATTGGCAGCTAAGGCTTATCCAACTCCAACTAAACAAAGTAAGTCAATATAAAATTAATCCCAATACATGAAAATTTATATCATTATTACTTTTTAGAAGGTGGAGCTGCTGCAGGTGCAATTGAAGAAATAACTCCATCAAGATTAGACATCAGAGTTGGTAAAATCGTCGAGGTTGGTAAGCATCCAGATGCGGACGCCTTGTACGTGGAGAAAATTGATTTGGGCGAAGCTGTACCAAGGACTATAGTCAGTGGTTTAGTTAATTTTGTTCCAATTGAAGAAATGAACAACAGAATGGTGGTTGTTCTCTGCAATCTGAAAGCAGCAAAGATGCGTGGAGTTGAATCACAGGGCATGGTCTTGTGCGCATCTACGTGAGTAATTTTGGTTAATTCACAAACTATTTACTAAAAAAACTTACTTTTAATCAGTGATGATCCGAAACAAGTGGAACCACTCCTGCCGCCAGAGGGCGCTGTTGTTGGCGAACGCATTTCCATTGAAAACTTCGACGGAACACCTGATGAAGTTCTTAATCCGAAGAAAAAAGTATGGGAGAAGCTACAAGTTGATCTTAAAACTAACGGGGAATGTATGGCGCAATGGCAAGAAAACTACCTGCTGACTAAAAGCGGCGGGAAGATTCGTGCCAAGAGTATGTCCAACGCCCCTATACGATAATGTTAATTTACCAGTATTTATAAACAATTGACAACATATAACATAATAAATTTTCTTTCTACTGGCATGTTTCAACCGAATCTAACGCTTGTGAATTCGCTGGTTCCTCACCACACTCAAACCGCTTAAACTCTACGATTTCAACGCCGTTCTCTTTGAGGACTTCGCCGACCAGTAGGCTATCATCTAGCAAGTACTCCTGGTAGATGAGACACTTCTCATCATCGACGTCTTTTGCAGGCTCGTCGTTTTCTGTGCCCAGCTTGTTTGGATGCATGCCAACAATATGCTGGCAGAGTTTCTTTCCTAGGTCTTCTGTGGCCTCCGGTGTTGGTGTTTTCGTCAAAGCCACGAGTCCGCCAAACTTTCCAAGTTGAGTTTCGTTCTTTGCAACGCCCGAAGGATGCGCATAAGAGGATAAGTGCAGTGTGTCGTTGGATTTGTAAATTAGTGCGCGACGCAGTGACGCGTTCTCGCCAACCGTGCCGATCATCAGTGCCAAATGGTCCGCAAGTGTTTTACCATCGGATAACTTGAGTGATTTCAAGTCATCAGCATCCAAATGCAACTGAAATTATTAATTATTAGTATTAACTTGTTAATTTATTTCACTTCATTGAATGAATTGTTTTTACCTGAACTAAATTTCCAGCTACATTTTGTTCACTTGCTTTTTGTAAGCAGGCATTTGCTACAGTATCCACCATAGTTTGAAAGTGTTCATTTCTTGCAACAAAGTCAGTCTCACAGTTGAGTTCCACCATTGCAGCAATATTATTTTTGCTTAAGACGCCAATTAATCCCTGCGTCGTTTGTCGTCCTTGGAGTTTTGTCGCTTTTGTCCAGCCCATGCTTTGGGCTTGTTCTTTTAACCATGCTTCAGCCTATTGCAAAATAAAATTCACATTATTTTCTAGATAAAGAATAATATTTAATATTTTTGGTAACAAAGAAGAATTTAAATCAATGAGTTTCTTACTATTATATTTTTGTGCAAATTTTACCTTAACAACATCATTATTATTTACTTCCAGAGCTTTCTTGCAGTTTGCAAATGTATAACCAGTCTTTTTTCGAAGAGTAGCCAGAACTGATGATGGTTGTGTTGACCATAAACCACTGGCAATGTGAAACTGTCGTCGCAAAATCCACCCAGCTAGCATCTAAACAGAAAACACAAACAATTTTGTTTGATTTCTATTGATTAAACAATCTATCTAACTTTAGTCATGAAGAAAATGTTTGAGAGAATACATTTGTTGTAACACAAAGAAACTAAGTGAATTTAACAATTTACAAGAATCTCTTACCTTGCGTAACTAATTTATATCCTTAAATGTTAAATAGAAGTGTTGTTACAGTTAAATTATGTGTTATTTTCACAAAAAGTTGAAGAAAAACCGTGAATTTGTGTTCTAACCCAACCACCAAAAGTGCATGAGATGATTGAATAATACAATGTGAACATTTACCTTAGGCAACCAAACTTACATCGCAATTATTTTCCTTCAAAAATATAAATTGTTTGAATTATTGACAATTTAAACATCATTTCCACTATAACACTTATCGTTATTTTTATTTGATGTGTTTACAAGTTTATACACGTTTATAAATCAAAATGTCTCGAATAACGAACGAAAAACGAAAGCGAGAAAAAGAGAAGTTGTTGGCGATAATAGCAAGAGGTCAGAATCTTGTTATCGAAGATCCTAGCACGTCGACAATAAAAGTCCCACGAGTATGCATTCCTGAGGACTATGCCAGTAAACTGGAACCTAATTTTACAATGCCACCACATTTAAATCGAGCTTTGATCCGAGCCAAACCAAAACTCACAAAATACAAAAAAGGTTTGCAATTTTCATACATTTCTTCATTTTAAAATAATATTAATATAACTTATATATAGTTTCATATTCCGAATTACGCCGAGAACATGAAAATGTTCGTAAATTAATCGTTTTAAACACATTCGGCGACATAACTTCGGAAATGACCGAGGAAGAATACAAGGAATTCGACAGCAAATATTCACGCCGATATTCATACTTTATTCGCTATGGATCCGATACTATTCACGTAGCACCTTTACAACAGAATATTCTACACAAAGTGTTAAATTTGGTACCGTACAACTTAAAAAAATGGCGGAGCGTCCTCGGCGACTGCATTCAAGACATGAAAGACGATTATACCAGAGCGATAAAGACGTGTATCATCGATTTCGTCCTTTCTGATCCCTTCGCCTCCAGCGCGAGTGAACGTCGACTTCTTACCAAGGAAAGGATCGAATGCGAAGAGTTGACACTCACATCTAAGTCGCGATTCATTTTGATGTCAGCAAGTGTTCAAAAGTCTTTGTATCTTGTTAATCCCTGCATTCACGCACTACTGAACCTATTCTACAAGCACTTTGAGTAATACAATTCATTAATTTATTTTTATGGTATATAAATATAACGCAATAATTTATAGAAAATATCGAATGGTTTATACGGCAATTATCATGGAACGTATGAAAAAACCGTTTCAATTGCCGAGTTTTATTATAAACTTATCCGAGTTAATAAAACAGGGTAAAGATTTCCTGGCAAAACACTACTTAAAAATGGTGGTCAGCATTTTTCTCGAGGGTAACCAGAAGAGATACCTTCCTAATCCAGGCGACGTAAAAAAACGCACGCATTTTTATGCCTGTACCAATATTATTATGCAACATCATGTTGGAATGATGTTTAGGGCTTCGATACAAGAATTCATGGATTATATTACAGATGTCAAGGTTACTCTTTTTTGTTTAGCAGTACAATATATAATCAGAGTGGAAAACAATAAATTCATTCATTCAATAATTTATTATGCATATTTTAGTATAAAAACATCGGCTTCCAATTGATTCTGATGGCGACCAACAAAGAATTAGTGTTTGAACCAACTTTCGATGAAATACAACGTGCGATTGCTGATAATCTGGATGAAATCTACGCATCATTCTGTAGTCTGCCATGTTTAGAATCGAAAATCTATATGGATTATCAAGGACGCGTTAAAAACTACACGTAAGTAAAAATCGCACCTCTTGTACAGATTTAAATTCTAATTGTAATTATTATTCAGCCGAATGCAGGCCGTGAAGTAATAAAAATCCAAAAGCAGCGCATTCGTGATTTGATTGCCGAGCAACGCATAGCTCCAGAAAAACGCATGGCTGACTTCAATCCATATAAAATCTTCTTCAATGGTGAAGCGGAAGAAGATATTATGGACTTTATGCAAGGAGAACACCAATTTGAAGAATACTGCGATAAAATTGCGTATTTAAAGGGAAGGGCTGATGAAGTTCCCATTGTTTTGGAGCATTCCGTCCGATTGGGAATGTTTGATGTACATCGCGCGCCTTTAATCAAAAGAATCACCACCACAATAACCGATCTTAAGTTAAAGCTTTTACGAAAATTGATTAATGAGTATCAGGGTGAAATCAAGGCATTGCATGAAGAGTATATAGAAATTATAAGAAGAACTTCAATTGTTCCAGAAAACACTGCAGAATTAATGAAATTGATTTCCTTTCTGTGTGATTTAGAAGACTTTATTCTCACTGAAATGGAGGATAGATTGCGGGATTGCATGAAATATATTTTATTTTTAACGGATTACCTTCCGTTATCGGATCGAGAGATAATGAACAATTGTACAACAATTTCAGAGTAAGTTTTACTCAAATTACAAGAATATAAGATCAGGAATTAAAAGAAACATATTTTTGTAGATATTTAGATATGCAATCAGTTCTGGATGACAGCCATGAAATAGTTGAGTTAAAAATGGTGGAATATAAAGAAAGCCTTGCAGGCAGAATACAAAAGTTTATCGAGGATCTGGAGTTGTATTCCAAGATGGTCGACGAGTTGCAATACAATGGCAATATTGATGAATTACCCAGATATTTAAAAAAAGCAATATTTTTAGACAACAGGTTAGAAAAGTATTCAAACATTGTTTCATTTATATAATAATGATTAATTATTTTATGCGTAGATTGATCACAGCTATGGAACGTATTGATCAGTTTAACGACGAAGAAGTGGCATTCAAAATGGATCAATCCCAGTATCCCGACCGAAAGATAATCCACGACAAGCTGCGTCCGTACAAATCCCTCTACGATAACGCCACCGATTTCCTCCAGAAGAGCGACCTGTGGCTGAACTCGATGATCGGCTCCTTCGAGCCGGAGGAAATCGACACGGAGGTGTCGCAGTTCTTTCGTGTCATCTACAAGCTGGAGAAGCAGTTTGCGGACAGGCCGGCCACGAAGGATCTGGCGGGAACGGTGCGCGAACGCATCGAGGACTTCAAGGATTACATGCCCATCATACAGACGCTTGGTAATCCAGGGTTGAAGCCACGGCACTGGGCGAAGATCAGCGAGATAGTCGGCTTTCCGATTGTTGTCGATGAGAGCCTCACACTCAATAAGATTCTGGACTATTGTCTTGAGGAGTTTCTGGCTGAGTTGGAAGCGATTTCGGAAGCGGCAACAAAGGAAAATAATCTCGAAAAAACACTTAATAAGATGTACACTGAGTGGGCTGATCAGGAGTTCCAAGTTTTAATTTACAAGTTTGTTATTTCAATTGAAATTAGCAAAGAATTAATTTTAATTTAATTTTAGAGATACAGGAACATTTATTATCTCCGCTGTTGATGAAATACAAGTACTTCTTGATGATCACATCATAAAAACTCAAACAATGAAGAATTCGCCTTATATTAAACCATTTGAAAAAGAAATAATGTACGTAATTTCATTATTTTTAATTTAAAAAAAAAATTTTTAAACATTGAATTTTTAATCATTTTAAGGGAATGGGAAACTAATTTATATGCCTTACAAGAAATATTAGATGAATGGCTGAAAGTTCAAGCTACTTGGATGTATCTAGAACCGATATTTTCCTCTCCTGATATTCAACAACAGATGCCTGAAGAAGGACGAAAGTTTGCCGCTGTTGACAAGGTATTTAAAATAATAATAATACTTTTATACAATTAAAGTATTAAAACTTATGAAACATTTAGATTTGGCGTGATATAATGAAAAATGTCCACGCTAACCCACGTGTAATGGAAGTAATCAACATCGAGAATATGTGCGATCGTTTGAAGAAATGCAACAGTTACTTGGATGATATTCAAAAAGGTCTTAATGATTATTTGGAGAAGAAACGTTTGTACTTCCCGAGATTCTTCTTTTTGTCCAATGATGAACTATTGGAGATTTTGTCTGAAACTAAAGATCCCACAAGGGTACAGCCCCATTTGAAGAAATGTTTCGAAGGTATTGCAAAGTTATCATTCAATGAAGACTATGACGTGTCCCAAATGAAGTCCAGCGAAGGGGAAGAAGTTGATTTAGAAGATATTATTCAAACCGCACTAGCCCGTGGACAAGTAGAGAAATGGTTGCTTGAATTAGAAACTGATATGAAGAAGTCTGTTCATAAAATGACGCAACGTGCAATTGAGAGTTATCCGAATAGAAAACGACATGAATGGGTTTTGCTTTGGCCTGGGCAGTGTGTGCAAGCGGTAGCAATGACCTACTGGACTTCTGAAGTAACTGAATCGATTTTACAAGATTTAACTGCTATGGAAAATTATCTGGTGAAGTCAAACGAACAAATTTCAAAAATTGTTGATTTGGTTCGTGGAAAGTTAAGTCTCCAGAATAGGATTACTCTGGGTGCCTTGGTTGTGTTGGATGTTCATGCCAGGGATGTTCTATCGGAGATAATCACCTTAAAAGTGGTCAGTGTTAATGATTTTAATTGGTTGTGTCAGTTGAGATATTACTGGGAGGAAAACGAAATGGCTACCAGGATGATCAACTCTACATTGATGTATGGATATGAATATCTTGGTAATACCCTAAGATTAGTAGTCACACCCTTAACTGATAGATGTTATCGAACGTTGTTTGGAGCACTACACTTGCACCTTGGTGGTGCTCCTGAAGGACCTGCGGGAACTGGTAAAACAGAAACCACTAAAGATTTAGCCAAAGCAGTTGCAAAGCAATGCGTGGTCTTTAACTGTTCGGATGGTTTGGATTACATCGCACTGGGGAAGTTCTTCAAAGGTTTAGCGTCGTGTGGTGCTTGGTCTTGCTTTGACGAGTTCAATCGGATTGACCTTGAAGTGCTCTCTGTAGTTGCGCAACAGATTCTAACTATTCAACGTGGTATAAACTCAGGGAATAAAACTTTACTATTTGAAGGTACTGAATTGAAGTTGGATCCAACATGCGCAGTGTTTATCACAATGAATCCAGGTTATGCAGGTAGATCCGAACTTCCAGATAATTTGAAAGCACTATTTAGATCTGTGGCTATGATGGTTCCCGATTATGCGCTTATTTCTGAGATTGAATTATACTCTTATGGTTTTCTAACGGCCAAACCATTAGCTGTAAAAATTGTTGCAACTTATCGTCTTTGTTCTGAACAGTTATCATCACAATGTCATTATGATTACGGAATGCGAGCTGTTAAATCTGTGCTTAGAGCAGCTGGAGCCTTAAAACTTAGATACCCGGAAGAAAAAGAAGATATTTTAGTACTGCGTTCAATTAAAGACGTAAATTTGGCAAAGTTTTTAGTACATGACGTTCCATTATTCCAAGGAATCACCTCTGATTTATTCCCGGGTGTTGATCTTCCCCCTTCTGATTATAAAATTTTGAATCAAGCAGTTGAAGACACATGCGAATCAATGAATCTTCAGAATACTCCGTTTTTCTTAGAGAAGGTCCAACAACTTTATGAAATGATTGTGGTGCGGCACGGTTTGATGTTGGTAGGAATGCCCTTTGGTGGTAAGACTAGCACGTACCGTGTACTCGCTGAAGCTCTAGGTCTAGCTGAAGAACGAGGTGGAATGAATGAACACCACGCTGTGTATACAGTAATGAACCCAAAAGCTATAACAATGGGACAACTCTACGGACAATTTGATGCGGTGTCCCATGAATGGTCAGACGGGGTCCTGGCGGTAAGTTTTCGAGCTTACGCAATGAACCCAACGGAAGAAAGAAAGTGGCTCTTGTTTGATGGACCTGTGGATGCCATTTGGATTGAAAACATGAACACAGTTTTAGACGACAACAAAAAACTGTGTTTAATGTCTGGGGAAATCATTCAAATGTCCCCACCGATGAATTTAATATTTGAACCAATGGATCTAGATGTTGCCTCACCGGCAACTGTATCCCGCTGTGGGATGATCTACTTAGAACCTGTTTCTTTAGGCTGGGAACCACTATTACTCTCTTGGGTAAACACCTTACCTGAAGTTTTTACCGAATTTAACAAAACAGTCATCCGAGGATTATTCTACAGAATAGCACCACCTTTATTATGGTTTGTTCGGAAAGGTCCTGGAATACGTGAAATGGCCCCAACCTCGGAAGCCAACTTAATGAGATCTACCATGAATTTATTTGATACATTCTTAGACGATTTTCATGATGAAAAATACCTGGAAACTATAAGTGATCTAGAAATGCGTGCCCAATTAGAAGGAGTATTCTTCTTCTCTTGTATTTGGGGCATAGGTGGTACAATAGACACACCATCACGCAGTAAATTCAATATTATATTCAGAGCACTCTTGGAAAAAGATTTCCCGGATGAAATATGCACATTGTTCGAGATGCCTATGTCTGTATCTAAACCAGATAAACCATATGTATTTGTGCTACCACCACTGGATTCCGTCTATGACTATCGTTTTACAAAAGAAAACAAAGGCATATGGACCCGATGGACAGACGAATTAGAATTAGAACCACCTATTCCAAAAGACTTACCAGTGAATCAAATAATAGTTCCAACAGTGGAGACTGTACGAAATATTGCCGTTTTGAAAATGTTGGTTACCCACCAAAAATCCACAATGATTGTGGGACCTACAGGCACTGGCAAATCAGTGTATGTCTTAGACTATTTGTTGAAGAAAAGTGACAAGGCTAGGTTTATGCCACTATTGATCAACTTCTCTGCACAGACATCAGCAAATCAAACACAGGATATCATCATGAGTAAATTAGACAAACGTAGAAAAGGAGTGTTTGGTCCGCCGATAGGTAAACAATGCGTTATTTTTGTGGATGATGTAAGTATGCCGTTGAAGGAGACATATGGGGCGCAACCACCAATTGAATTGCTTAGAATGTGGTTTGATCATGGGATATGGTATGATCGGAAAGAAGTTATCCCAATGAAACTGATAGAAATACAAGTATAATACTAATAATCATAAAATATTAGGACTTTTTAATTTTTAAACATTTTCTAGTTCATTTGTGCAATGGGTCCACCAGTTGGTCAAGCAATCACTCCTCGGTTTCAAAGACACTTCAATCATATCTGCATCGACGAATTTGACGATTCCGTAATGACTCACATCTTTCTAAATATCATGCTCTGGCATTTGGAGAAATTGTAAGTGTTCAACAAAAACTATATTAAAATAATAATATCTAATACACTCTCAACATATCATTCACATGATATTGTTTGTTTAGGGGATTTGAGCCTAGTTTTCAAGCATGTGGTGAACAAATTGTCAACGCAACCCTTGAAGTGTACAAACAGAGTCGCCTAAACCTACTTCCAACTCCTAGAAAGTCTCATTACCTATTCAATCTTCGAGATTTTTCTAGAGTTATACAGGGTGTTCTTCTCAGTACACCTACGAGCAATGAAGACCCGCTTTCGATGAAACGCTTATGGGTACACGAAGTACTCCGTGTTTATTACGATCGTTTAGTTGATCAAGAAGATCAAACATGGATCGTCACGATGTTGCACCAGGTTGTTGCTAGTCATCTGGAAGAATCAATGAATACAATGTTTTCGGATTTACGAACCGCGAACAAAGATGTATGTAAATTTTGCCAATTTAATGTATAATTTCAATGTTTTTAAAAAATTTAGATCGGAGAATCTGAGTTAAGAAACTTGGTCTACTGCGCATTCTCCAATCCACTTGCAGAAACAGAACACTACATTGAAGTGGACAATTTAGATGATTTAACAGACGTTGTCGAAAACTATCTATCGGAATACAATAGCATGTCGAAGAAACCAATGAATCTTGTCTTGTTTAGATTTGCGATTGAACATTTAGCCAGAATCTGTCGTATTGTAAATCAACCCAGAAGCCATGCTTTATTAGTAGGAGTTGGTGGTTCTGGTCGACAATCGTTAACTCGATTGGCTGCGCATATAAACGAGTATGACTTATTTCAAGTTGAGCTTACTCGTCAATACGGTGCTTACGAATGGCATGAAGATGTTAAAACTATTCTGAAAAGAGTCAGCAGCACGGAATTACACGGGATATTTTTATTTGCAGACACACAGGTTTTAATTAAGATTTTTTTGTTTGATTTAGTAAAGTATTTGTTTTAGATTAAAGAAGAATCATTCCTTGAAGATATGAGTAATCTTTTAAACTCTGGTGAAATACCAAATATTTTCACAATGGAGGAACGTGTGGAGTTATGTGAAAAAATGCGTCAGCTTGATCGCCAGCGAGATAAATCCCTGCAAACCGACGGAAGTCCATTGGCTTTGTTCAATTTCTTTGTACAGATTGTTCGCGAACAATTACATATAGTACTATGCATGTCCCCAATTGGAGACAGTTTCCGTAACCGAATTCGTAAATTCCCGGCGATTATCAATTGTTGTACGATTGATTGGTTCCACCCGTGGCCGGAAGACGCCCTGAAAGCGGTGGCAACGAGATTTTTGGGTGTTGTAGATTTACCGGAAAATGAACGCGTTGCTTGTATAGAAATGTGTCAACTCTTTCACACTTCAACAGAAAGAATCTCTATGGATTATTATCTACGTCTTATGAGGAAAGTGTATGTTACTCCAACTTCATATCTGGAATTGATAAACACTTTCAAGACGTTTTTATCAATCAAACGAGAGTAAGTTCTACCAAAAGAGAAAAACTTTTGGTTAGTAAAATTTAAATTTTTTCAGAGAAGTATTGGTATTGAAAAGCCGTTACGAAGTAGGAATACAAAAATTGGACAATGCTGGTTCTGAAGTATCTGTAATGCAAGCTAGTTTGGAAGCTCTTCAACCTGCATTAGTAGAGGCAGCTGATAAAGTAGCGAAAACAATGAAAAAAGTTGAAACAGAATCTGCCGAAGCTGCTATAGTAGAAAAAAATGTGAAAATCGATGAGGAATTAGCTAATGAACAAGCAAAAGCCGCAGGTGCTATCAAAGAAGAGTGTGACGCAAATCTCGCTGAAGCTTTACCTATACTGGACGCTGCAATGGCTGCACTTAATACATTAACCCCTGCTGATATCACCATTGTGAAAACAATGAAGAACCCACCTAAAGGAATCAAATTGGTTATGGAAGCAATTTGTATATTGAAAGATATAAAACCAGATAAAATTCCGAATCCATCTGGAATGGGATTAATGGAGGACTTCTGGGGACCATCTAAGAGAGTTCTAGGAGACATGAAATTCCTAGAAAGTTTAATCACTTATGATAAAGATAATATCCCACCGAGGATTATGGATAAACTTCAGAAAACTATTCTGACCGATGAAAATTTTGACCCGGATAAAGTTAAAACAGCCTCTACCGCCGCGGAAGGTTTGTGTAAATGGACTATTGCAATATCAAAGTATGATAAAGTTGCTAAAGTAGTTGCACCTAAGAAGATTGCCTTGGCAGCTGCAGAAGCAGCCTATCAAACAGCAATGGACGCTTTAGAAGTAAAACGTGGTTTATTGAGAGAAGCACGTGAAAAGGTTGCTGCTCTAGAGTTGGTCCTCGAAGGAGAAAAGAACAAATTTCAACTACTCACAGATGACGCTAACTTATGCGCCTTGAAACTTCAACGAGCTGAAGAATTAATTGGAGGCCTAGGTGGAGAAAGATCCAGATGGGAGAGCACTGCCAAAGCCCTTGGAGATAGATATTTTGTCCTTACAGGAGATGTACTGATTAGTTCTGGAGTAGTGGCTTATCTGGGAGCATTCACTTTACAATTCAGACAGATGCTTATTGAAGAATGGGTTGCAAAACTCACCGATGTGTATCATATTATTTGTTCTAAAGACTTTCAATTGACCAATGTTCTCGGTGAGCCTGTTCTCATTCGACAATGGAATATATTTGGTTTACCCACAGATTCCTACAGTATAGATAACGGTATTATTATTAAAAATGCTCGAAGATGGGCTTTGATGATTGATCCCCAGGGACAAGCGAATAAATGGATCAAAAACATGGAGAAACACAATAATCTTGCTATAATTCGACTCAATCAAACCGATTATGCACGAACACTTGAAAATGCTATACAGTTTGGTTTACCAGTGCTTTTGGAGAATATCGGTGAAGAATTAGACGCCATATTGGAACCTGTGCTTGCCCAGCAAACTTTCAAACAAGGTGGTGCACTTTGTTTGAAACTTGGAGATGCAGTTGTGGAATATAGCACGAAATTCAAGTTTTACATTACGACCAAGTTACGCAATCCTCATTATTTACCAGAAGTAGCCGTTAAAGTCACTTTAGTTAATTTTATGATTACTACAGTTGGTTTGGAAGATCAACTGTTAGGTATAGTCGTTGCCCAGGAGCGTCCTGACTTGGAAACTGAGAAAAATCAGATGATTGTGAAAAGTGCTGATAACAAACGCCTTTTGAAAGAAATCGAAGATAAAATTCTCGAAGTTTTGAGCAGTTCAGAGGGAAATATATTAGAAGACGAATTTGCAGTGCAAATTTTAAGTTCTTCTAAAGTCCTATCGAATGACATCGCTGCTAAACAAGCAATAGCAGAAGTGACAGAACAATTGATTGATGTGGCTCGCTTGGAATACAAGCCAATCGCTGTACACTCCGCCATTTTATTTTTCACAATCGCTGATTTAGGAAACATTGATCCAATGTATCAATACTCTCTGGTTTGGTTTATAAATTTATTTAAAGCTGCGATTGACAATACGCCAAAAGAAGAAAAAGTAAAACAAAGACTTGTTAAACTAGAAGAGCATTTCACGTATTCTCTATACTGCAACATTTGTCGGAGTCTATTCGAGAAAGATAAATTATTATTTTCTTTACTGCTGGCGATTAATATGATGAAATCGAGGAATGAAGTTGATGTCACCGAATGGATGTTTTTGCTCACTGGCGGTGTTGGTTTAGACAATCCTAATGTGAATCCAACGGAATGGTTGGTTCAAAAAAGTTGGGATGAGTTGTGTCGTTTGACAGATTATAAAGCTTTCAAGTAAGGTTATGTAAAGGCAATTTTCGGGTTATATTGATATTTGTTTCTCAGGGGGTTAAAAGAACATTTTATCAAAAATTCAGCAGCATGGAGGAAAATTTTTGACTCACCAGAACCACAAAGTATTCCATTACCCGGAAATTGGGAGAAGTCATTGACGAAATTCCAGAAGTTGTGTGTTTTGAGATGTTTCAGATATGATAAGATTGTGCCAGCTATTCAAAATTTTGTTGAAGGTTATGTTTTAACAATAACTTTGGTAAAAAGTTAAGAAAAACCTTTTTTTTTAAATTTTAGACCGCCTTGGCAAGTTATACATAGAACCACCTCCTTTTGACCTTGGATCTGCATACATGGATTCGCACTGTTGTATCCCATTAATTTTTGTGCTTACCCGGGTGCTGATCCAACTGCACTTTTGTTGAAGTTTGCTGACGATCAAGGTTTTGGGACATCACGACTCTTCTCCTTGTCTTTGGGGCAAGGACAAGGACCCATCGCTCTTAAGCTAATTGATGAAGGCACCAAAAACGGCACGTGGGTAGTGCTCCAAAACTGTCACCTTGCAAAAAGTTTCATGCCGCAACTGGAGAAGATCTGCGAAAGCTTCTCGGCCGAACAGACCCATCCGGACTTCCGCCTCTGGCTGACATCCTATCCGGCGGAGCATTTCCCCGTGGCGGTACTGCAGAACGGCGTGAAGATGACCAACGAACCGCCCAAGGGTTTACGGGCCAACATTCTGCGTTCATATTTAAGCGATCCGATCTCGGATCCGGAGTGGTTCGCGGCGTGCAACAAGCCGATCCCGTTCAAGCGCTTCCTGTTTGCGCTGTGCTTCTTCCATGCGCTCATTCAGGAACGGCGGAAATTCGGCCCGCTCGGGTGGAACATACCGTACGAGTTTAACGAGACGGATTTGCGCATCAGCGTCATGCAATTGCAGATGTTCCTCGATGAATATCAGGTTCGAGGGATTTTATTCACATTCATTTCCGTAGATTTAATCTCAAATCGGAAATATTTTTAGGATATCCAATACGATGCATTGAGATACCTCACAGGCGAATGTAATTACGGTGGACGGGTCACAGACGATTGGGACCGGCGATGTCTGATTACTATTTTGAACGAATTTTATACACCTAAACTTATGAAGGATCCAAAATATCCATTCGATCCAACTGGTAATTGCGTTTATTATATTTCAAACATTTTTAAAATCATTTTGCTTTTAAAGGACGTTATTATTGTCCTACACTGAAGACAATCACCGAATACATGAACTACGTAAAGTCTTTGCCGTATATTACACATCCGGAAGTGTTTGGAATGAACGAAAACGCAGATATAATGAAAGATCAACAGGAAAGCGATTTAATTTGTTACAGCGTGATAAAAACTCAGGCAAGTACTTTAAATTACTTCTTTAAGCCATATTAAAATAAATTTGCTCAATTGCTTTCAAAAAGGACCGCATCGTAAGTATAAACGTCAAAATTTAATATAAATTGAATAATTCTATTGCTATTTATTGCTATCATGTAGGATTTAGTACAATTACGAGTAAGTTTAAATATTTGATCAATCCAGATATAAATTAATGAGTTTCTTCAAAAGGACGCTACTGGTTCTGGCGGTGCAGAAAAATCATCGGATGAATTAGTGACGGAAGTTGCAAGCGATATTCTAGAACGCATCCCGGATGTATTCGATCGCGAGGAAGCCATGCGCCTCTACCCAACTTCGTATTCCCAAAGCATGAATACTGTTTTAGTCCAAGAAATGGGGAGGTTTAATCGGTTGATCAGCGTTGTTCGCGTCAGTCTTAAAAACCTCCAGAAAGCCATTAAAGGTGTCTTCAAAATAATTTTATGAAAATAAAATTAAAACTTGTTTTTTTGTTTTCAAGGACAAATTGTTATGTCTGAAGAATTGGAAGAAGTAATGAAGAGTATTCTCATTGGAAAAATTCCACAAATGTGGGCCACGGTCAGTTACCCATCATTGAAACCACTGGGAAGTTATGTTAATGATTTATTGGCGCGTCTGGCATTTTTGCAAAAGTGGTTCGAAAAGGGCCCACCACAAACTTTTTGGCTTTCAGGCTTTTTCTTTACTCAGGCTTTCCTCACGGGTGCTCAGCAAAATTTCGCAAGAAAATACACCATCCCGATTGATTTGCTAGCGTTTGATTTTACTGTGAAGAGAGAAGAGGTTCTGACAAAAGCACCTGATGACGGTGTTTATGTGTATGGTTTATTCCTGGATGGTGCAAGGTGGAATAAACAAACTATGGCTTTGGATGAAAGTTTACCGAAAGTTTTGTATGATATTGTACCATATGTAAGTATCAGATTCCTAGGTTGAAGGTTTTTTGCTTTGTACTGAGGTTTTCTTTGCAGCTTTGGTTGTTGCCATTGCGTCGAACGGATTTAGTTCATCGGAAAACCTATAAATGCCCAGTGTACAAAACTTCCGAGAGAAGAGGGTTCTTTCTACTACTGGACATTCGACAAATTACGTCATTGCAATGGATCTCACTACACATGCGCCTCCATCACACTGGATCATGCGAGGTGTTGCAATGTTGTGTCAATTATCACAATAAATTATCAAAATTTTAATTAAAAAATTATGTAGTAACTACGAGTAGATTTTGCTCGCGGATTCGTCCGCGAGGATTTTTATTAAAAGTAACATAACTAATAATATCGTTATTGCTTGAATATCTTTTATATTTGCGTGTTGTAGACTTTGGGAGCATTTTACACCGTTCCACTTCAATTTTTGCCACGAAAAAGTGATGTATGTGCTATTCTGATGTAAAATCTATAACTTTGGAAATTTTTATCAAAATCAGTTCGATGATTTTAGTGTTATCGCGTCACAAACATCCATCAATTTATATCAACTCACATTTATAACAGTAAGTAGGATATATTTGCACCATAACCATAACAACCCCCCAACTTGTTTACTTCTTGTATAATCAATAAAATATATTTTTTAATGTCAGTGTCACATTTTACAGGGTTTTAATGCGTTTTGCAAACGAATTTACAATTTTTAAAAAATGGCGGGTCGACGAGAAGTTGAAGGAAAACGTTTATTCAAAAAACTAGACGAAATCAAAGCCAGAATCAAATCTCATGGTGTAGATATAACCGTCCCGAAATATCCTCAACCATCAGACTTCAACATCGGACCAACACCACTATTTCAATTACCACCAGAGATTTTAGTGCCAATATTTGCATCGGGCCATCCAACGTATCGCAAAAAACTCCGACAACGCCAAAGACAGGATGAGTTGCAACGCATGAAAATGCAAGCGTTTACAGCTCTACGCCGTGAAAGAGAAGAGTTTCGTAGAAGAGTGATCGCCATTATTGTCGGCCATGAAGGTCCCTTTGATCCCACCGCGAGAGTACCATCGGACGACGAAAGGGAACTGATGCGATATTACTTCTATATTCGTTACGGCATAGACGATAAATACGTAGCCCCAATTGGAGAATCCACCCTAAAGAAAATATATAGACTGGTACCGAGTAAGTATAAGAAATGGAAAAAGACTCACGATGAGGTTGTGATCGAGATCAAAGAAGACTTCAATACGGCGGTGAAAAAATCCATTGTCGATTTTGTTCTGAAAGATCCACAATGTGAAGCGGGTATTGAGGATTTCCAAAGCAACGAACGCAACGAATGCGAAAAAATGAGCATCGTTTGGAAACCTGTCTACGATTATAATCGCGGTAAAATTGCCAGGACTATCAACATTATTAATCCATGTATTGTTGAACTTGTTGATTTATGGTTTACAAGATTCGAGTAAGTTTTAAAAAAAAATTTTTTCCGAAAAAATTAATTTTTTTAGCAATTTTCGTTTGATCAACACTGAAGCATTGAGAGAAAACAAAACAATTTTTGAACTAATAGATTTCAACTGGAATATGTCCGAACACATCAAACGTGGCAAAGAAATGTTAATAACCAATTATTACAGAACAGCTGTGGATATTTTTGTTGGTGGAATGGCGAAGAAAAAGATTCCATTAACACCGGTGAAACTGAAAAAGTTTTTCGCTTGCGTAGCTGTCATTATGACACAAAATATGCAAAACTTGTGCTTGAATTCACTGGCGGACTTTTATAATTACATTACTGACACTAAGGTAACAAGTTTATCAAATCATCAAAGCTTGTTTGATCTTTTTTCATGAAAGATTTTTTTTTCATAGAAAAATCGCGGGTTTCTTTTGAATCTCGTCCTGAAAGTAAACTTCTTATCGTTCGACCCACCGTTTAAGCATTTTCGCGAATCGATACTCAAAGTGATTGATGACATCACCGAAGCAGTTCTCAGTTTTCCACGTGTAGAGACCTACGTTTTTCCCAGCAAGGCGACGAAAGGAAATTTACAAACTTTGAACGTAACACCAAACTCATTCACGTCGTCAAAATCGTGTTACTCACGCGCCACGTTTTGATTTTCCAGCCGGCGATACCGGAAGATTTGGTCATGAATTACAAACAGGGTATAATTAACTTCCTGCATGAGCAACGCATTCCGCCCGAGTTGAAAGTGCAGGATTTCGATGATTACATGGCGCTTATAAACGGCGACTACGCGACGGACATTGAAACATTTTTGAGCGAAGACCACTCGTTTGAAGAATACTGCGAGAAGATTTTATTTTATAAAGATATCGCGGATAATATTCCAATCAAAATGGAGCATATGGTGCGAATAGGAATGTATGACATCGATAGGAATAATTTAATTCAAGACTTTGTTGATGTGTGCAACGATTTCAAGGATCAATTAGTGAAGAGAATGACGGCTAATTATCAAGCAAATTGCAGACAGTAAACATAACCTTAGATTATATAATTCTATAACCTAATCAAAAAATAATAATAAAAATTTGTAGGTTAGGAGAGGAATATGAAATTATAATGGATAGAGCAGTAACGGTTCCTGAAAACACTGAGGAATTAATGGATTTAATTAATTTCGTTGCCAACGTTCGATCTAATTTACTTAGTGAAATGGAAGATCGTTTAAGGGATGTTATGAGACATATAATATTCTTATCAGATCATAGTATTTTTACACCGCTTGAGATGAAAACAAATAACAACACGTTTTGGTGGTTAGTAATTATAAATGAGCCAAAATTTATGAAATTGTGATAAATTTGTTTGTATTTAGTTATTTGCGTGGTCACCATGTTTTGGACGATCATAATGATATGGTAGAACAGAAAATATTGGAATTCCAAGCGTTGCTCGAGACAAAAATCAAAAATTCGAAGAAAAACTTGCTTTATACGCAGTTTTGGTGGATGAAATGCAATATAATGGAGAATTGGAATTTTTGCCAAAATATTTCAAAAGAGCTAATCAACTAGATAAAAGGTATCATTTTCTCTGTGCAAAGTAGCCTAACTAATTATTTGCTTTCTTAAAATTATTTTTATTTTATTTTCTAGATTGGTTAATGCTTTAGAAATAATTGATCACTTTAACGCTGAAGAAACAGCCTTTAAATTTGAATTATCCCAATATCCAATCCGGAAACAAACCCACGATAAGCTCCGCCCCTTTAAACAACTCTATGACAACGCCACTGAATTTCTAACCAAGTATAACCTCTGGATGAATTCAAAAGTAGGCACCTATGACCCGGAAGAAATCGAAACCGAAGTGGGGCAAATCTATAGAGTTGTTTATAAATTAGAGAAATTCTTCTCTGATAAACCAGCAACATATGGTTTAGCTTGTATTATTCGCGAAAAACTTGATACATTTAAAGATTATATGCCCATTATACAAACCCTTGGAAATCCTGGTCTTAAAGAACGTCATTGGGAGAAGATTTCGGAAATTGTCGGTTTTCCTATTACTGTAGATGATTCTCTAACACTTGCAAAGGTATTAGACTACCAGTTGGAAGAATATCTTGCCAAGTTTGAGGTCATTTCTGAAGCCGCAACCAAAGAGAGTAATTTGGAGCGTGGTCTTGCAAAGATGAAAGGTGAATGGGAAGGTGTCGAGTTTTCTGTTCTTATCTACAGAGATACCGGAACATATATTTTATCAGCCATTGATGAAATTCAGGTGTTGTTGGATGATCACATTGTGAAGACTCAAACAATGAAGAATTCTCCGTATATAAAACCCTTTGAAACAGAGATTCTCGAATGGGAAGCACTTTTAGTTCTATTACAAGATATCATGGATGATTGGCTTAAAGTTCAGGCAACTTGGATGTATCTGGAGCCAATTTTCTCATCACCAGATATCCAACAACAAATGCCTGAAGAAGGAAGAAGATTTACTGCTGTTGATAAAATCTGGAGGGATATTATGAAGACTGTCAATGAACAACCTGGAGTTTTGACTGTTGTAGAGATAGATAAAATGTCGGAACGCTTGAAGAAATGCAACAGTCTTCTGGAAGTTATCCAGAAAGGTCTTAATGATTACCTGGAGAAGAAACGCTTGTTCTTCCCGAGATTCTTCTTCTTATCCAATGATGAATTATTGGAGATATTATCAGAAACTAAAGATCCCACAAGAGTGCAACCTCATTTGAAGAAGTGCTTCGAAGGAATTGCAAAGTTGACATTTACAGAAGACCTGGTTGTTACTGTGATGAAGTCCAGTGAAGGAGAAGAAGTTCCCCTAGAAGATATCATTGAAACTAAACTAGCACGAGGTGCAGTAGAAAAATGGTTGCTACAATTGGAAGCTGATATGAAGAAATCTGTTCATAAACGGGTGCAATTAGCAGTGGAAAATTATCCAAAGGTCAAAAGACACGAATGGGTTTTGGCATGGCCTGGACAGTGTGTCCAAAGTGTTGCGATGTGTTATTGGACAATGGATGTTCACGCAGCCATAGAGACCAGTATTGATTCACTGAAGAACTATTATGATAAATGTAACACCCAAATATCGAGGGTTGTTGATCTAGTCAGAGGAAAACTGAATACACAAAACCGTATCACTCTTGGTGCTTTAGTTGTTCTAGATGTTCACGGGCGTGATGTCTTACAGGAAATAATTGAGTTTAAAGTGAGTAATGTCACAGAATTTAAATGGTTGTGCCAGTTGAGATATTACTGGGAGAGAAACGAAATGGCAACCAGGATGATCAACTCCACATTGATGTATGGATATGAATATCTTGGTAATACACCCAGATTAGTCATCACACCCTTAACTGATCGATGTTATCGAACGTTGTTTGGAGCACTACACTTGCACCTTGGTGGTGCTCCTGAAGGACCTGCGGGAACTGGTAAAACCGAAACTACTAAAGATTTAGCCAAAGCAGTTGCAAAGCAATGCGTGGTCTTTAACTGTTCGGATGGTTTGGATTACATCGCACTGGGGAAGTTCTTCAAAGGTTTAGCGTCGTGTGGAGCTTGGTCTTGCTTTGACGAGTTCAACCGAATTGACCTTGAAGTGCTCTCTGTAGTTGCGCAACAGATTCTAACTATTCAACGTGGTATAAACTCTGGGAACCCAAAGTTAATGTTTGAAGGCACTGAATTGACGCTTGATCCAACTTGCGCTGTGTTTATCACCATGAATCCAGGTTATGCAGGTAGATCTGAACTTCCGGATAATTTGAAAGCACTATTTAGATCTGTGGCTATGATGGTACCCGACTATGCGCTTATTTCTGAGATTGAATTATACTCTTATGGTTTCCTCACGGCAAAACCATTAGCTGTAAAAATTGTTGCAACTTATCGACTTTGTTCTGAACAGTTATCATCACAATGTCATTATGATTACGGAATGCGAGCTGTTAAATCAGTCCTCAGAGCAGCTGGTACTCTAAAACTTAGATACCCGGAAGAAAGAGAAGATATTTTAGTACTACGCTCAATTAAAGACGTAAATTTGGCAAAGTTTTTAGTACCAGATGTTCCTTTATTCCAAGGAATCACTTCTGATTTATTCCCTGGCGTTACACTACCAGCACCCGACTATGATATCCTCACTAAAGCAGTACAGGATACTTGTGTTCAAATGAATCTACAATTAACTCCATTTTTCCTAGAGAAAATCGAACAATTATTCGAAATGATTATAGTGAGACACGGTTTGATGTTAGTTGGTTTACCATTTGGCGGTAAAACATCTTGCTATAGGGTTCTGGCTGATGCACTAGGCCTGGTTGAAGAACGTGGTGAAATGGATGAGCACCGTGCAATTTACACAGTAATGAATCCCAAATCAATCACAATGGGACAACTCTACGGACAATTTGATCCGGTCTCACATGAATGGTCCGATGGAGTACTAGCTGTGAGTTTTCGAGCAATGGCCATGTCCCAAACAGAAGACAGAAAATGGCTTATATTTGATGGTCCAGTAGACGCAATTTGGATAGAAAACATGAACACAGTTTTAGACGACAATAAAAAACTATGTTTAATGTCCGGAGAAATCATTCAAATGTCCCCACAGATGAATTTGATATTTGAACCAATGGATCTAGAAGTAGCTTCACCTGCTACCGTCTCACGATGTGGTATGATTTACTACGACCCAGCATCCCTTGGCTGGGAACCACTTTTAACCTCATGGGAAAAGACTCTACCTGATGCTTTGAATGAACAAGACAGAAAAATGATCGATAATCTGTTTCATCGTTTTTGTCCGCCGCTACTCTGGCTGATCAAAAAGGTGGTCTCAAGGAGATGTGCCCCATGTCAGAGTCTAATCTCTTGGTATCAACTATGAATCTATTTGATTGTTTCTTAGACGACTTCAGAGATGAAAAATTTTTGGAGAATTGTACTGATTTAGACAAGAGAGCTCAATTAGAAGGGTCTTTCTTTTTCGCAGCTATCTGGGGTTTGGGTGGGACACTAGATGCTGCAAGTAGAAATGACTTTAATTTATTATTCAGAGGTTTATTAGATAAAAAGTTCCCTGAATCTACCGCAAAAGTATTATCGCTACCAATGACTATAGACAAGCCTGACAAACCGTATATTTTTGTAATACCCACACATGAAACCGTTTTTGATTTTCGATATATCAAAGAAGGCAAAGGAAAGTGGAAAAGATGGGTTGATGAACTCGCAATGCAACCTCCAATATCCAGAGATATTCCTGTGAATCAAATTATTGTTCCCACAGTGGAAACTGTCAGAAATATTGCTCTAATGACTTATTTGGTTCAACATCAAAAAGCTTTAATGATTGTTGGACCAACTGGAACTGGAAAATCAGTTTATATCATCGTAATATCTTCTTATCATTAAACTAATAAAAATATACTTAACGCTTTTATTTTAGGATTTTCTATTGAAGAAAAACGATACAAAAACATACAAAGCTACTTTTATGGCATTCTCCGCTCAAACATCAGCAAACCAAACCCAGGATATCATAATGAGTAAACTAGATAAAAGAAGAAAAGGTGTTTATGGTCCACCGGTTGGTAAAAAGTCAGTATTCTTTGTTGATGATGTCAGCATGCCTATCAAAGAAACCTACGGAGCACAACCTCCAATAGAACTTTTAAGACAATGGTTTGACCATGGCATTTGGTATGATAGAAAAGAGGTAGTTCCAATGAAACTGGTTGATATTCAGTTTATATCCGCAATGGGACCACCTTCGGGAGGCAACACAGTCACACCACGTTTTGCAAGACACTTTAATCACATTTGTATTGATGAATTTGGAGATGAAGTGATGGTGAACATTTTCAGTCGGATTATGCTCTGGCATTTGGACACCAGGGGCTTCTCAAAGGAATTTGATCCATGTATTGAACAAATTGTAGGCGCTACTTTGTCTGTGTACAAGTTAAGTCGGGAAAATTTGTTGCCAACTCCAGCAAAGTCACATTATCTTTATAATTTGAGAGATTTTTCAAGAGTTATCCAAGTATGATCTACAAAAATGTTGTAAAACTGTTTTAAATGTGACTTTTTAGGGAGTACTTTTATCTGTACCGGAAACAATGGATAGTTTAATAGCTATGAAACGTCTCTGGGTACATGAAGTCCTCAGAGTCTACTGTGATCGATTAATTGATCAAGAAGACAGAAATTGGTTAATCAACACTTTACACACAATTAGTCAACAGTATCTACATGAAGATATGAATAAGATGTTCAAACGTCTATTTCTACCAAACACTACAAATGTAAAACTCAAATTTTTTTGTGTTTCGTTTAAAAACCGTAAAATTACTGTTTTTAGATTGGTGAAATTGAACTGAGAAACCTGGTCTACTGTGATTTTGCAAATCCGAAAGCTGATCAACGTTACTACGCTGAAGTAGCAGATCTCAATTCCCTCCGAGAAATAGTAGAAGGTTATCTTCGAGAATACAATAACATGACCAAGAAACCAATGAATCTGGTAATGTTCAAATTTGCTATTGAACATTTATCAAAAATCTGCCGCATTGTAAAACAACCCAGAAGCCACGCACTTCTAGTTGGAGTAGGTGGTTCGGGACGTCAATCATTAACAACATTAGCCGCTCATATTTCTGAATATGAACAGTTCCAAATTGAGTTGACCAGACAATATGGCCGCGCGGAATGGTTCGAAGATTTGAGGCATATTCTACGAAAAGCAAGTGCTACTGATCAACATGGAATATTTTTGTTCTCTGATACACAATTGAAAGACGAATCATTTCTGGAAGATTTAAGCAATTTGCTGAATTCTGGGGAAGTGCCCAATTTGTTTCCAATGGAAGACAAAGCAGAGATTTGTGAAAAAATGCGTCAGTTGGATAGGCAACGAGATAGATCACTACAAACTGATGGAAGTCCTGTGGCATTGTTTAACTTTTTCGTACAGATTGTCAGAGAACAGTTGCATATCTCCTTGACGATGTCTCCAATTGGGGACGGGTTCAGAATACGTCTGAGAAAGTTTCCTGCTCTTGTTAATTGTTGTACAATTGATTGGTTCCAAGTAATGTTTGTCTTTTTATGTTTGGAGAGTTTTTTTTATTGCTTTAAGTGTTTTACAGCCTTGGCCTGAAGATGCTCTAATTGCGGTCGCGACCCGCTTTCTGGGAGAAGTGGATCTTCCAGTTAAAGAGCGACAAGTCTGTATCGACATGTGCCAAACCTTCCACACCAGTACTGAGGAATTGTCCCTTGAGTTCTTTAAACGATTAGGGCGTCGCACCTACGTCACGCCTACTTCGTACTTGGAGCTCATAAGCACTTTCAAAACTTTCCTGGATCGAAAGCGACAGTGAGTTGGCCCCGCAAACTTTTAATAGCCACATAAATTCTTTTTATCTATCTAGGGAAGTCCTACTCGGCAAGAAGCGGTATATAGTTGGTTTGGAGAAACTTGCAGCCGCTTCAGCTGAAGTTTCCGTCATGCAGGCGAGTTTAGAAGCACTGCAACCCGCTTTAGAGGAAGCAGCCAGCAACGTACAAGCAACACTGGTGAAAGTTGAAGCGGAATCAGCCGAAGCCGCAATTGTAGAAGCAAAAATTACAGAAGATGAAACCGTCGCCAATGAAGTCGCCAAAGCTGCACAGGCAATCAAAGATGAATGTGATGCTAATCTAGCTGAGGCACTACCAATTCTGGATGCTGCAATGGCCGCTTTGAATACACTGACACCAGCGGATATTACAATCGTCAAAACAATGAAAAATCCTCCGAAAGGCATCAAACTCGTTATGGAAGGCATCTGTGTATTGAAAGATGTCAAACCTGATAAGGTCCCTGCTCCGAACGGCATTGGAACAGTGGAAGACTACTGGGGTCCTTCCAAAAGAGTATTGGGAGACATGAAATTCCTGGAGGGATTAATTAACTATGACAAAGACAATATTCCTCCGAGAATTATGCAAAAATTAACCGAAAAATTCTACATGATCCTAATTTTGATCCTGAAAAATTAAAACAGCTTCCACAGCCGCTGAAGGTTTATGTAAGTGGACCATCGCTATTGCAAAATACGACAAAGTTGCAAAAGTCATAGCGCCGAAAAAGATCGCACTTGCTGCCGCCGAGGGTGAGTTTCAAGAAGCCCAAGCTGAATTGGATGTTAAACGTGCCCTATTGGCGGAAGCCAAAGCACGTGTAGCTAATTTAGAAAAAATCTACGATGATGAAAATAACAAGTTTCAAATGTTGCGCGATGAGGCTGACCTTTGCGCTCTGAAACTCCAACGAGCTGAAGATTTAATCGGAGGACTTGGTGGTGAAAAAGATCGATGGAGTGCAGCAGCTAAATCTCTCGGAGAAAAATATTTCATATTAACAGGAGATGTCCTGATTAGTTCCGGTGTTGTGGCATACCTAGGACCATTCACAATGCTTTTCCGTCAACAACAAATCGAAAGTTGGGTGAAACGCGTGTCTAGTTTCAATATTGTCTGCGCTAAAGACTTCCAACTAACTGCAGTTCTTGGTGAACCTGTCGTGATCCGACAATGGAACATTCAGGGTTTACCTTCGGATAGTTTCAGCATAGATAATGCCATCATTATCAAGTGATGCTTTAAATTAAATCGCTGTAATTAAGTTTAATAGTTTTATCGTTTTAGAAATGCACGCAGATATCCGTTAATGATCGATCCGCAGGGGCAGGCGAACAAGTGGACGAAAAACATGGAGAAACCCAATAATCTTTCGACGATACGCCTGAATCAGGCCGATTACGTCCGCGTGCTCGAGAATGCAATTCAATTTGGCCTCCCTGTAGATATTAATTAATCGCGTTACACTCTTGCGCTGTGAAACTAATCCAATCAATTTCAGGTGCTGTTGGAAAACATCGGCGAAGAATTGGATGCGGTTCTGGAGCCGATTCTAGCGCAACAAACCTTTAAACAAGGCGGAACTTTGTGTCTTAAATTGGGCGATGCTATTGTAGAATACAACAAATCGTTTAGGTTATACATAACCACAAAAATGAGAAATCCACATTATTTACCAGAAGTGGCAGTAAAAGTGACATTGGTTAACTTTATGATTACTACCGTTGGTTTAGAAGACCAACTTTTGGGTATTGTTGTTGCTAAAGAACGTCCTGATCTAGAATCGGAAAAGAATTCTCTAATCATCCAAGGTGCAGAAAATAAGCGCCAACTTAAAGAGATAGAAGATAAAATTCTGGAAATTCTAAGTTCTTCAGAAGGAAATATTTTAGAAGATGAAACAGCTGTTAATATTTTAAGCTCTTCGAAAGCCTTAGCAAATGACATTGCAAGCAAACAAGCAATTTCAGAAGTAACCGAAAAGCAAATAGACTCTGCGAGATTAGAATATCGCCCGATAGCAGTACACTCCGCCATCTTGTTTTTCACAACAGCGGATCTAGCGCAAATTGATCCGATGTACCAATACTCTTTAGTATGGTTTATGAATTTATACAAAAACGCGATCGATAACACCGAACGCGTAGAAGACGTTACCGAAAGACTAAAAGATTTGAAAAAGTTCTTTACCCACTCGTTGTATGTGAACATTTGTCGAAGTTTATTCGAAAAAGATAAACTTTTATTTTCACTTCTGCTGGCGATCAACATTATGAAAAGCCAGAATTTAGTGGATCATTCAGAATGGATGTTTCTGTTGACAGGCGGTGTTGGCCTCAGCAACAAAGTTAAAAATCCGACTTCCTGGTTGATTTCGAATAACTGGGACGAATTGTGTAGATTATCCGATGATTGTGCAGCATTCAGGTACAGAAATAACCATATTTTTATCAATATCTGAGGTTATGTTTTTCTAGGGGTTTACGTGAACATTTTATAAGTCAAGTAGGTAAATGGAAGAATATATTTGATCATAGTGAACCACACAGTCAGAAACTCCCGGAGCCATGGCAGAAAAAATTGAGCACATTTCAAAAATTATTGATTTTGAGAGTTATTCGCCCAGATAAAATGACGCCAGCTGTACAGAAGTTTGTCAGCGAGCGACTTGGAAAAGAGTTTATCGAACCACCGCCGTTTGATTTACAATCATCTTATTCGGATTCACATTGCACAGTTCCATTAATATTTGTATTAACTCCCGGGGCGGATCCGACCGCCATTTTGTTAAAGTTTGCTGAGAACATGGGTTATGGAAGCCGGTTACACTCATTATCCTTAGGGCAAGGCCAGGGACCAATCGCAGTGAAGCTAATCGATGAAGGCGTTAAATTTGGTACGTGGGTAGTTTTACAAAACTGTCACTTGGCGAAAAGTTGGATGCCTACATTGGAACGCGTAAGAAATGATTTTTGTGCGTGAATTTATTTTAATGTAAAACATGCAGATATGCGAAGGATTTTCGATTGAAACGACACACCCGGACTTCCGACTGTGGCTGACGTCCTATCCGGCGGAGCATTTTCCGGTTCTAGTGCTGCAGAACGGCGTTAAGATGACGAACGAACCGCCGAAAGGACTACGCGCGAACATTGTGCGTTCGTATCTCAGCGATCCGCTGACGAATCTCGAATGGTTCGAGAGTTGCAAGCAGAGCGACAACTTTAAGAAACTACTCTATGGCCTGTGCTTCTTTCATGCGCTCGTCCAAGAACGCCGGAAGTTCGGCCCGCTCGGCTGGAACAATCCGTACGAATTCAACGAGACGGATTTGCGCATCAGTGTAATGCAATTGCACATGTTCCTCGACGAGTACAAAGTAAAGTGTGAATTTTACACAGATTTCAATAGCAAATTAAAAATATTTCACGATTTTTAAGGACGTTCAATACGAAGCGCTTAGTTATCTGACAGGAGAATGTAATTACGGTGGACGTGTCACCGACGACTGGGATCGGAGATGTCTTCGCACGATTTTGAGTCAGTTTTACTGCCGTGAACTGGTTGAAAAAAAGCATTACAAGTTCGATCCAACTGGTTGGTAATACAATTAAAAATCTGAAGGGAAAATTGATTTATTTGTCATACTAGGAACATACTATTGTCCGGAGGTAAAAGAGTACGAAGAGTTTATGAGTTACACGCGTTCGCTGCCTTTGATCACTCATCCGGAAGTGTTCGGCATGAACGAGAATGCCGACATCATGAAAGATCAACAAGAGACGAACCTGTTGTTCAGCAGCACGCTACTCACACAGGTAAAACACTAAAACTACCCCAAAGTTGGTAAACAAAAACTATACGATAGAAACTAACCAAAAACGTTATATTTTCGCAATCAGGATCGTTTGGTAAGAACCTGTCTTTCTATGCAAACAAATTTTATACTTTGCTCAATTCTCTTGTATTCATGTTTATACCAACCAGGATCTAATTCAATTAGAGGTAAGAGAAATCAATTAACAAACATGAATGCAGCCGAGTCTATGCTTGTTTGGTTGCCGGCATTGAATAGCCCACACGCGCACAATGTGTCAATGCAGAGTTGTGCGGGTAATTACGAACGCGCGCTTATTGTTTATTGACGAGTTCGGCGGCGGCGGCAGGCCGTGGGAGTGTGGGAAATTTGCATCCGACCATCCGACCCTAATCGCTTTTAAGTACATGCGAGTCTCCCGCCCCCCACAGCCAGCCGCTCACGCACATTCACCTCTCCGGCGGGATTTTAGGGGTTCGCATAATGCGCGCACAAATCGAAAGGTCTAATGCATCCGTCGAATTCCCATAGCGATACGGAACCAGTTTAATCGCGAAGCGTATTCGCCAAAATTGCCCCGAACAAGATGTAACCAGCGTGTGCAATTTGTGCGTCATGAGAGAAAATTTATACAAGTAGTTAGTTATTCATTAACAAGTCAAAAATCAAATGATTTACACAACAATTTAAATAATTCTAGCTTTTGCCCGCGACTTCGTCCGGTAGTGTTACATAAAAATGTAATTCGTTTTTACTCTCTTGTTCTAGATATAGAATGTGTCAATTCTATCAATAAGATACGCAATTTTATTTTAAAGAAATTAATTATATAAAGAATTGCTAATAATGCACTTCAGCGCGCCATCTCGGATTTAACTAAGTAACTATAACTATGATTGTATCTCAATGCCAACTTTTATCTTATAGAAAAGGGCTGTCTTCAGGTTTTTCCCGGCAATTATTCGAAATTTTCTCGCCATAGAAACAATCCTTGGACTTTAACGAACATTTAAAAAAAATAATTGGGCAAATTAGTCTGGGCGTTGTTGAGTTATGCGCTTCCCAACAGATTTTGCGATTCATTTTCATATTATAGATAGATATAAGTTGAAAATTTTAAATTATTTTAAATGCAATTTGTCTGATGTTGATGATGAAACAACACAAAATGGCTGCCAAAATAACAAACACCAGCTGAAATGTTTGTTTCTACACGTTATGAATACTTTAGGACGCGTTATCGACGTCCGGAAGTGCGAAGTCGCCGGACCAGGTCGTGATGGACGTGGCGAGTGATATACTCTCGAAATTACCACCCAACTTTGACCGCGACCGAGCAATGGAACGATACCCGACATCCTACTCACAGAGCATGAACACCGTCCTCGTCCAAGAGATGGGCAGATTCAATAAACTGCTGACTGTCATCCGAACTAGTTTAATCAGTGTTCAAAAAGCAATCAAAGGTATGCAACCCATACAACTAACCTCACTTCTACACTATATTACCTAACATAAAAACAAATATTATCAGGATTGATTGTCATGTCCTATGCTCTGGAAGAAGTTGTAACAAGTGTACTAATTGGTAAGATTCCACAAATGTGGGCAGGAGTGTCATACCCGTCATTGAAACCTCTTGGGAGTTACATCAACGACTTTCTAGAGCGTTTGGAGTTTCTCAAAGTTTGCAGTTTAGAGTGTGCTCTTGCAATGTTTTAAATTATTAATTTTTTAGCTTTGGGACGACGAAGGCGCGCCTCCGAGTTTTTGGCTTTCAGGGTTTTTCTTCACGCAAGCGTTTCTTACCGGTGCGCAACAGAACTACGCCCGGAAGTATACTATTCCGATTGATTTACTTACATTCGACTATGAAGTTTTGGAACAGACTGAGTTTTATCGTCCACCTGAAGATGGGGTCTATGTGTACGGGTTGTTCTTGGATGGTGCCCGTTGGAATTATAATACTATGGCATTGGATGAATCTCTGCCCAAAGTTTTATATGAAACCGTTCCATATGTATGGTTATTTCTTTTAATATTAGCCGTTAAATTTAATTTTGTATTTTTTAGATTTGGATGAAACCCATTAAACGTGACGATTTGATTTCTCGTCATACTTATACTTGCCCCATGTATAAAACCACCGAACGTCGAGGAGTACTGTCCACAACAGGACATTCGACAAATTTTGTTATTGCGATGATGCTACCGACAGTCAAGAGCCCGGAGCACTGGATCATGCGAGGGGTGGCTCTACTCTGTCAATTATCGCAATGAGGAGTGATGTAGTAACCGAAGAAATTGCGTAATAAAAGTTTTGTATTCGCGAAGATATGAGCAAAGTTTGGCGAGTTGTGTTTTTTATCATTAGAGGTCGAAAGTTGGAGGCGTTTGCTTTTAAGAACACGAGGCGTGCGCGCGCGAGATGCGAAAAAAACGTGTAAAAGTGTAACATTTGCGGGGGCCGCTTGGCATAATCTGATTTGGGCCCTCCCGGAAGTCCCCATTATGTAAGTAACGTCTTAAGCTAATATAGAATGGTCGCCCGTGGCAACGGGATCGATGATGTTCACCCTTGTGAGAGCGAGCGCGCGCGCTGGTGCTCTCCCCGGGTAACCAGGTGACTTCTCTCCCCCCGGTTATGCAGTTCGGCGTCGCGCGTCCGCCGGTTCCGTTCCTTTTCGGCCCCGGAGAGAGACTTTGCTTTCGCTAGCCCGCCGCATGTATGCGTGCCCGGGACGGGATCAAGGGCCTCGCCCAGTTTTCCGTCATCGGTCTCTCCTGGGCGGCGTGCGCCGCTCGTTTGTTTCTTCCTTCGCGGATGCTGCGCGGTGCAGAGGGACGCTTTGGGGGAAATCGCCGATTCGCGGTGCCGCACCTGCTATTATCGTTCAGTTAAACGCGAGCCGACCGCCCCCACTCGAGCTATTCCCGAAATTTACCCTCGAGTGCCTGACACTCGCACTCTGCACGAAATTGAAATAAAAATAAATACATATTTATACGTTTTAATATTTATTTGTATTTTTAGATCTTATAGGGCTTATCTCGATCAAAGAGAGCATTGGCGAAAATAAGCGACGCAACAACAACCCTTCATAATAAAAATGCGCTTTGCTCATGTTTTATTCGAGTTTTGCTTTAAAACCGCCGACCGCAAAAAGGAACGCGAAAATAATATGGAAACGGCCTCGAGTGACTCGAGTGGCACCCCTCCTACTCGTTCATCGCCAGAACATGCATAATTAAGATTCTCTTTTGGCTTATTATGCCGGCAGCCAAAAGGAAAATAAAATCACTTGCGCGGAAAATATAAATTGTACACTTTATTGAGAGAACCGGAGTGTAACCACCTAAAAAACCACCTACATATACATGAGTACAGTAGGGTTGACAAACCGAAAAAAAACTGAACTTGCAGCCAAATATAAGATACTAACTTTTGCCCGCGACTTCGCCCCGGTAGTGTTTAATAAAAATATAATTCGTTTTTACTCTCTTGTTCTAGACAATTGTCAATTCTATCAATAACATTCGCAATTTTATTTTAAAGAAATTAATTATATAAAGAATTGCTAATAATGCACTTTAGTGCGCCATCTCGGATTCAACTATTTAACTATAACTATGATTTAATCTCAATGCCAACTTTTATCTTATAGAAAAGGGCTGTCTTTAAGGTTTTCTCGGCATTTATTCGAATTTTTCTGGTCGTAAAAACCATCCTTGGCCTTTAACGAGCATTTTAAAAAAAGAATTGGCCAAATTGGTCTAGGCGTTGTTGAGTTATGCGCTTACCAACATATTTTGCGATTCATTTTTATATTGTAGATTTTTTAATAATTTTCCTACTGAAATAATGTTATAAGACAAATACTAACTAAAATAATAGCAATCTTCGAACAAATGCCATAGAAAACTGCAGTTAAAGATGAACAAAAGAAGCCACAGAAAAGAACTCAAAGAAAATATCACTGTAGCGCCTCTCCATTCAAAAAAACAAACTAAATATCTCAGATAATGATACTTAGAAGTAGAAGTCTCATAGCACTTCGATATTTCATAGTTTTCTGAAAATATACAAAAAAGGACCAAATTGTTAAGATTTGAAATTGAAGCAGGTTTCATTTCTTCATGTACTCGAGACGAGATCGTGCTTTTGTGTTAAGAACACGCGGGGCGTTGCGCTTTTCTCTGCGGCGAATTCTAAAACTTCAATTACAATTCGTTACCGCGGCGCACACGCCAAAAAGGACGCATGTAAATGCACTCCGCTGAATGCAAATACCCATGTTGTAGTAGCGAAACTTGCGCCGTTCGCCCTCGAGCTCGTAAAGTCGCTTTGTCGAGCAGATGGAATAGAATACAAGATGCACACGCCAGCGAGAAGAAAATCGATGCGCAAAATTAAACACCCAAAAACCAAGCAAATCGCGCCAACTCCTGCAACACGCAGGATGCGAGAAAGAGCGATACGAAATAAAACAATTTGCGGGCGGCAAACGTCGCGTGCGATGTGCGAAATACATCAAAAGAAACGCGGCGACGTGTAACGCGAAAAGAATAACACACAACGAGGCGGGCAAATTGCACACACGCCGAAAAGAAGGTCGCACGGGCAAAAGTAACGGGGGTGGCATGTACTCCTACATATTTTTTTTGCACGCGTTGCACGCGTACGGGGATGCTGTGTGAGTGTCAGTATATAGTGTTGGGGTCGATGATGGTGAACACCGCTGCTGCTGCTGCTGCTGTGGCTGCTGTAGCCGGCCGTTTCGGGGATCCCCTTTTGCAGATCAATATCTACCCGGGGTGGCTGGCGGCGTTGCCATGGCGACCAGCTCTGCCTGCGAGACGGTGTGACGCCCCCGCATCCCGGGCACGATTCGCGCAACTCTCGCCGTTGCTTTTCTCCTTTTTCTTTGCCTTTGACCGGCGCACGCTTAATCGCTTTTCCAGTTGTCGTTAGGAAATTAATTACTACCGCGCGCTAAACGAAATTTTGTTCATTCTGTCCTTTCCATTTTCATTCTACCACCACGCGCAGTACTTTGATATTGTTTCAACGCGAGTAGATATTCATTAAATATTTTTGCCACCATGCTAGTGGAATTGGGAGTGTGAAGCAGAGCATATTTCTGTTACTCTTGCAATGTTCCAATGTTGGTTGGTCGGTTACCAGCGGTAACGACACGCCGCGTCGTGTTACTATGGCGCGCTCGGCGCACAATATCGTCACGTATCACGAAATTCAATAGCGCCTCGCTGGAAAATTTCAGCAATCTGGCGGGTGCTGGATCCGGGCACGCTGACACGTCCGTGATTACCCTTCCAGTCGAGGATAGTAGGAGACTTTGAGTGGCAATCGGCCAACGCCGAAAACTGCAGCAAACTATTCCAAAACTCATAAAAACACTTTTTTATGTATTTGTACGATTTGCAATTGGTTTAATTTACCTCTACAAATAAAAATCATTACTTTACCTGGTTTAATTTACAAGTTACAGTGATTTTATCTCACTATTACTCACCTGACATTGAGGTTATGATTAATGTTGTTTCATTCAACACTTAAATTCCACTTTCAAATAACCAAAACACTTTTAAGAGGATTCCACAGCTATATAATGGTGTGACGGACAGAATAAAGCAAAGACGGATTATTTATCTTGCAATTATTGGCCGTTTTATAGCTCCGTGCGGCAAGTACGCACGCACACATTAAACACAACACAACCAGCGGGCGGTATGAGGTTAAGATCCAGCTGCTGGCCGGAAAATCGGGATGATTTCGTGGGCCGTTAATTCCCGGTTAAGTGACGCTTACTACCGAGGCGATGCCCTCGAGTCTTCTTTATCGCCGTCCCCGATATAAACACATGCCGAGCGCAAACAGTCGCGTATACTTTATACTCACACTGCAGATGCCATGAATATTCCATGCGTCACACACGCGAGCACACAGAGCATTTCTTCTGCCTTAGAAGTACGGACAGGAGACATCCAGCATCCTCCGTTTGAATTTCGCAATTCGTGTGTGCAAGAGAACAACAAACCGAATTCCCTGAAGGGCGCACGGAATTTCTGCATGAATAACATTCTTCAATTATTATATACACGTACAAGGTGTATTACACGCGCATAACCGCAAGTAGGCAACCAAATTTACATGCGTGTGTGTTTGGAAGGATAAACAATGTACCTGGGGATGTTGCCGGTTTACAAAACGACGAGACACGGCTCGAAGCGTAAAAGCCACATTTGAAATGCCTTTTGTTCTTTGTTCTTTGTCCTTTGAGTTTCAACTCGCGTAATCAAATTAGAATGAAACAAATTATAAAGCTATTTCGCACGGGTAAGACGTAGAGAGTTTTAATTTTAATAAAATGATTTGAATTCGCCATTTTTTTTTTTTTTTGTGTGTAGTGGCGTGCTTCATCTCCTTAACAAATCTCGAGCCCTTCATCTTCACTAACGACGCCGCGAGTGAATATATTTCACGTTTTAATCCCATATTTCATTCGGCGGGGCGAATTAAAGGGTCGCCGGCCCGACCGTGAGAGCGCCGACAAATGGACTGTTATTTACCGTCAGAGCAGTAAGCAGTAAGTAGTAAGCCGACAGGCGCTGCTTCCGCCAGCTGTAAGGAGCTGTCATCCTCCGGGGGCGGTTTGAGATTACCTCGTGAAGAACGTAAGACGCCCGAGTCATCGCTTTAAATTAGGCGGCGTGCGACGTCCTCAGATTTTATATTTAATTACGCCGTTATGAATGACGAAGGTAGGCAAAACAAAATGGCAGTCTATTAACCTAGCTTCAAAGCAAACACAATATATGCAACCAGCGCATTAATTTCATGAGATAATGGTGGATTTCTCAGCTGGATAAACCCCGAAATGATTCATTTCTCGAGTGGTGCAGTCGTTATAGCAAGTGTGTGCTTGTTGAACTAGTAAATCAAAGTGGTTTTCTACTATAATGCGCCACCACCGCTGAGTAGGCAACAAGGCGCGCACATTGTTCATAAATGTGTGTTAATTGCGAGCAAATTAGATTTTATTGTCGTTTACAAGCAAAATGTTTGCGCATTTATGACGCATTTACACTCAGGGTTTAACTGCTTTTGGTGTTATAAATATTATTCATAAATATTTTAATTAAGTATACAAAAAAATAACAAAACAAGAAAATAACTTTTTTAAATTTTATTGAAAAGTTTTAAATTCAATTTTTGAATGTTATAATTATTCATTACTAGTTTTTGCCCGCGACTTAGTCCTGGTCGTGTTTAATAAAAATGTAATTCATTTTTACCTCTTGTTCTAGATATTGTATGTGTCAATTCTATCAATATGATTCGCAATTCTATTTTAAAGAAATTAATTATATAAAGAATTGCTAATAATGCACATCAGCGCGCCATCTCGGATTCAACTATTTTACTATAACTATGATTGAATCTTAATGCCAACTTTTATCCTATAGAAAAGGGCTGTCTTTAGGGTTTACCCGGCAATTAGTTGAAATTTTCTCGCCGTAAAACCATCCTTGGACTTAATAAACATTTTAAAAAATAATTGGCCCAATTGTTCTAGGCGTTGTTGAGTTATGCGCTTACCAACAGATCTTGCAATTTTTTTTATATTATAGATATTTCAAACACGGCATACAAAAATAAATCACTTAAAAGTTACCAAAGTGTGTTTCAACCTATTTTAGAACAACAAATTGAAATAAACTGTAGATGCAAAAGATAATAATGGCTATTATTATTATTTTTTTTAAATAATTAAAACTGCAATTTTATTAAACCAAATATTTACTATTTTTATTTACATTATTTAAATTACTATAACAAAATAGGTTATGTTGTGTTTTTATGTGTTATGCAACACTGAGATAAATGTACATGAATCTTTCCGAAATAATCCTTCAATCTGTTGCTAAGCGTCTTCATCGCATCCACAACTTAGAAATACCCATACCCATACGTATACATCCAAACTGACTCCGAAGATTTCCAGCGGATATGAAAGGATGCAAAGTATATTCGTCGTAAAACGGTTGTAATGTAATGCAACCATAATGATAGAGCACGCGGCCCGCCCGAAAGTAGCAAATTGAGTGGAAAAGATGCACGATAAGGACGCGAAGGATACAGATGATTGCTTACGTGCAGGCAGCGAGCATATTTCAGCTCACGCATGAAAAGTTTGCGACTCTACTTGATGGCCGGGATTCAAAGCATTTGAGACGTGAATAAATCATCATGAATGCATTCTGGGACTTTTCAAGGGTGCAAATAAATTATATAAATACATCTATACATAAAAAGTAAAATTGTGTTAGTTACAACGTTTATAACTCAAGAACGGTTGGAGGGATTTTGATGATTTATGTTTTGTTGGATTTATTTTTGCCTTTAATAGGATAATAACTATTAAAATATCAAAAATTATGATTTAAAGTGTGTTAAATAAGGAATTAAAACTTATATGGAGAATCATTCATAGTTATAGTTGAAGAATTGAATCCTAGATGGCGCTGAAGTGCATTATTAACAATTCTCTTTTTTCAAATAAAATTACAAAGCTTATTGATGAAATTGATACATATTACTCGTAGGCCTTGAACAAGAACCTAAAAATTAATTACATCTATAATATAAAAAAGAATAGGATAATCTGTTAGTAAGCGCATAACTCAGCAACGCTTAGACCAATTCGCCCAATTCTTTTTTTTAAATGCTTGTTAAAGTCCAAGGATGGTTTTAAGGGCGAGAAAAATTCGAATAATTGCCGAGAAAACCTTAAAGACAGCCCTTTTCTATAGGATAAAAGTTGGCATTGAGATTAGTTAAATAGTTAATTCCGAGATGGCGCTCTGAAGTGTATTATTGACAATTCTTTATATAATTAATTTCTTTAAAATAAAATTGCGAATCTTATTGATAGAAAGAACACATACTATGTCTAGAACAAGAGAGTAAAAAAGAATTACATTTTTATTAAACACTACCAGAATGAAGTCGTGGGCAAAAGCTAGTTTTTATTAAAATTATGAAGACAAAAATGTTAATGCTACGCGGGTAAAAGTTAGTAAGTTAAAACTATAAAACGTTTATATTTCTCTAAATTTGATTTGTTTTCAAATTAATTGACTCAGAAGTGTTGAAATTGATGCTCAGTTTTCAAGCACGGCGCGCTGCTTTGTACGCTTGTCGCGTATCCTTTCAGTTTGGAGCTTCCTTTGTTCGGCGCACTTTTCTGCACGTTATTTATTTATTTGCGCCGGTTTTAATTTCCCAAAGGAGCCGACATGGCAGCGGCAGCGCAGGGTTGACGTGTCGGGGGTTGCCGCGGACGACGAAGATAGATGAAAAGCGCGCGCGCGCATGGGGTAGCGAACTGCACACGCGGCACGCGTCTGTTTCCGTTCGTCCTGTTTCTCTCGCGCATCGCATCGCATCGCGTTCCGGGCAAATGATGAAAAGCATCCCACATCCACCACCAACACACAGAGAGAAGAGTATCGCGTGTGTGTGTGTATTTGTGAGGGTGGTATGTATCGATCCCGGAGAGTTGGTTGCCCCGGCAACAGATTTCATCCCGCTGCCGGCCAGCCATCGCCCGGCTTTCGAATGTGTAACTCTCGAATGATGTGCGCGCCGCGCACGCTCCCGCCCTTTCCGGGAAGTGGCTGCGTGATGCCCGACGCTTGACTGTGCCTGGGGGGCGGGGAGTTTTCGGCTGCAGCAGGGATGCGAATGCGTGGAAATAATGTAATAGATACAAAGTGGCTGCTCAAAATGCATTTTACTGCGTTTTTTCATGCATTCGGGAACTTTATTTTCATCTCGGACTACATAACCAAACATAACATAACAAATCATAACCTAAAAACCACTCAACCATCATTTTCACGTAGATTTTTATAAAAAACAAAGAAAAAAAACAAGTTTTAAGAATTATTTTGTAATTTTTATACTTTTTACTTTGGAATTTAACGCATAACCTAAAAAAAACTTTTTTTTTTCATTTTTAGAAGTCAAAATAAATTAATTACGTTAACCATAACAAATGTATAATATGTAAATACCCGTCTGGCTGGATTTGAAAAAATCACCCTCATTGAAAACTAGTCCTAGTTTTAGTCCTAATCCTAGCTTGCAATGGTCGAATGGTCGCGTCGAGGGTGACACAGTGAGTAAAACATGCACCCCTTATAAGAATGAGTGGCATTCGGCGACCCTTGCTGCTAGACAAAATTCACACTCACACAACACACACAAACAAAAAAAAATCTATTCATTCATTGTTTCCCTTCGTAATCCATCAAATTTTTAGGTTAAAACTTACCAATTTACCAATTTCTTTTTAAGGTTATATCTTAAGGTTATGTTTTGCGAAAGAGTTGATGATTGTTGAATTAAGTCTGCTCTTGGCATTCACCGCGTGCCTTATGGATAAACGAACATAAGGGCCAACAGTGAACACTAGGAGAACGACAAATGCCGACGAGATAAGCTGATAGCAATCCGAATGGATGTTATTCGATTAATTTTTATGTGCCAACACGCATCGTTAATTATTTATCAACAATGTTTTACGATTGCGGCGCACGCACGCCGCGCAATTAAACTGAATTAAAACTGGATGTGAATGAACACCATACCCACCACATGATTACCAATTGGATATTCCACACCAAATTCAACATTAAAAATACGATGCGTCAACATTGAAGTTATAATTTGCACTTATTCGAAAAGATTTTTCGAATCGATTTCGGAAAGCACTGAACATTAACTGAAGTTGTACGCGATACGAACGCGTTTATAAAACTTGTTCAATCGAATGGCGTGCGTTGCACCCTGGCGTACTGCAGCACCCGCCGGCCGTGAATACACACAGAAACCCGTGCGTCGCGCCCGGAGTTGCACAATTTTTTGGGGTGGTCGCCCTCCGCCCCATACACACACGCACACGCAAACACACATCATACACACATACATAGATTACCAATACGCGTAATGTACAATAGTGAATATGCTCGCTGGACCCCATTCATCCCCGAAGGCACGTGCTCCCTTCCGCGCGCACAATAGACGCATC